CTTGGTTAGGAACTTAATTATGATCCTTAGACCTTAATAACAATGTTACAATGGTAGCTAGAAAATATATCAAAGAAATTTGGAGGATAAATGTAAGTAACTCTATACTATTTATTTTCTTTTTAATATTTTGCTCATATATTTTGACAATTATGGCGACGATATGATCCCAAATAACTTTTGATATTCTAGTCATACACGATCCTAATCAGGCTCTAAAATGCTTTGAAAGTACGAAGAGGTTCATTTGAATTGTCTAACGAAAGTGAATAACTTGATTTGATATACCTGGAAGACTAGGTCGCGGAGAGATTTTGATAGCAATGTCCAAAAGTGACAGCAATATCAATTTCTCTAGCTCCAATATCAGCCCAATTTTCTTTCTTTTGTTATTTCACTGAATTTAATAGAACGGATACCATAGCCCCGCATGTTAATTATAAATTTTAATTTACTTATTGCAAAGGTTTTGAATATTAAATTTTAATTCAACAAAAGATATATATGAGATTTTAGAAACCGAGTGTACTCTATAAAGGTATGATAATCAGACACATATAGTTACAAATATCGTATGATGTTAAGTTAATTGATATGGACAGCTAGCAGAAAAGAAATAAGGTGCAAAGCTGATAAATAATTTTTAAGATTTTACTTGTACGTTCAGGGTGTTTGGTCTAGTGGTATGATTCTCGCTTCGGGTGCGAGAGGTCCCGAGTTCGATTCTCGGAACACCCCAACTCTTTTTTTTATCAAGTGAAAGGCCTTTTAAGCCTCAAACCAGTAATAACATTGGGCCATGAAACGACGCCGTCTCCAACCTCTAGATGTCCAGACCGTCGTCGGATTCGCTTCCATTCTCTGTGGAATCGACTGAGTTCTGAGCTGAGAATAAACCCTAATCTTCCCTTCCCGTCTTCTCCGATTTTGCGAGTATGAGTCGATCAGGTCAGCCCCCGGATCTCAAGAAGTAAGTTCTCTTCGCCACTTGTTTCCTTTTGATTTTCAATTCTTCTCTTCAATTCAACCACTGGATGTTTTGGTTTCATCCAAGTGTTCAACATCTTCTTCGTGTTTCTGATTTTATTCTTCTTGATGTGATGCAGGTACATGGACAAGAAACTTCAAAGTAAGTTCGATCTCTTCTTCCACGTTTCCTATTTAAAGCATTTCACTTTCACCTAATCAGTCTCTTTGCTGCAAATTGCTTGCAACTCTTGAACCGATCGCGGTGCTTAAGAGAGATATGTTTGCCATCCCAAATCATATATCTTCTACGGAATCGAAGTTTTTTTATTGGATTGCGTGATGATTCTTGTGTGGGAATTGAAGTTGTGTGTGTGTGTGTGTATGTGTGTGTATGTGTGTGTGTGTGTGTGTATGTGTGTGTATGTGTGTGTGTGTGTATGTGTGTGTGGTTTTCAATAGTTTCTTTTGGTTCAACGACTATTGGCACACTTACTCGTTGCTTGAATATATATCCATATAATATAAAAGCTGGTAATAATGTATATCATTCATACTTCATGGCACAGTCTCGTTACAATTAGTTATTTGTTTAGTCAAGGTTGCAGATGGTTTATGGATTCTTTGGTTTTGCTTCCCGTTCTGTTTTCATATATATATATATATATATATATATATATATATATATATATATATATATATTTACTTTCCTTTGTTTATTATGTTATTCTTGTAGCTTGGAATGGTTCAGAGAAGTAATTGTTTCTCTTCTTGTTTTTTTGTTGTCTTCGTAATGTAGTTAAGCTTAATGCCAATCGAATGGTTGTTGGAACTCTCCGTGGGTTTGATCAGTTCATGAATCTTGTTGTGGATAACACTGTTGAAGTGAATGGTGATGTGAAAACTGACATTGGGATGGTGGTACGTTTCTCCTATCTCTTCTCTTCTTCTCTTCTCCAAAACCAAATAACCTCTTTAGAGTAGTGTAGTCCATTTGATCATTTGTTTTGTGTTTAATTCTTCCACAATTCCTGGATGCAGGTGATAAGAGGAAACAGTATTGTTACCGTTGAAGCTCTTGAACCAGTTGGAAGATCTTAGCTTTATTACTTTGCACCATCTGTAATCAACTTTTGTATCATGACTTAGTTTTCCCTCTGTGTCGATCTTAAAAGAAGTTTAATTTTGATGAATTTCCTCTTCTTTGGCTCCTTTACTCCTATGTTCCGAAGATTCCTGTGAACTTGTTAGATGGTTTTTATGCCAATCTGATTACTATTTTTTTTTTTTTTGTAATTACTGTCCTCGAGTTTTGAATTCTGCCAGGTTTTGAATTCTGTAATCCATATTTGGTGGTTCTTTTGGTCCGACAATTGATGGTTTCCTTTTGTAAACATTGCTATAACTTTTCAAGAGAAATATCAAAGCAGCCATGGAAAAAGGCCTAATTTTGGTTGGTCCAAATCCTAAACAAAGTAAAAGGCTCTTGTTTGTTGTGGGGATCTGAAATTTGGGTAACTGAGCCCCCCAACGGTCGTTGCTCTTGCTTTATTATATTACTATCTTAATCTCCTTTTATTTTCTTTCCTCTTTTTCTCTAGCGAGAAGATCATAATGATGCCGTGTGGCTCCTCCTCTGTTTTATGATGTCCAAAAAAGGCTCCACTGTTTTATAAAAGCCGTTTTTACAAATAAGAAGCACCGGAAAAGAATAAGAAGAAAGACCAAAAATAATGAAAGAGAAGTATAAGTGAAAGTGGAAGGAATCAAGGGAGCATGTGACCCACGAAGTATTGTTGCAATGCAAATGAGAATGAAATGATACCATCTCCAATAAACACAGCAACAACAACACGTAACTTACAACGGAATGTTCGGCACGTGGGTCGTTACCACACGTGGTGATGCTAATGGTGGTCTGATTCCAAGCTCGATTCATTGTCTCGTTTTTAAAAAAAAAAATCAGCAAAACTTATAGTTCACATCTACCACAAACTATGACTCCATGTACTTTACTGGTAGAAAGTAGGTATTTGTGTTATTGTCTAGAAATTCTTAACTTTTTGTGGAAGTCATTTACAATTTGATGTATTTTCTTAAACATTGAATCCCAAAAAAACTTTTCGGGGATCTCCAACTCATATAACAAAACTTTGATCTATATAATTTTTAAACACATGGATCTACAACTAATCCATAAAAGAACTTTCACTTCACTATTCTTTCCTTTTTCTTTTCTTTTATACTTTTCTTTATAGTTATGGGGAAGAGGTAAAAGACTTAGAGATGGCTTCCATATAACGGTAACAAATGTTTTATTCTCGTGGACCATCGCAAGTTACGAAGAGATTCACCTTTGGCTGCAAGTTGTTCCATGAAACTTCACCATGAGTATTCGATTTCTTCCAAATCTGATTACACATTTATATCAATTAACAAGTTGAATACTGAATAGAAAAAAAAAAACAAAAATTAAAACCAACCAGCGTTAGTTTTTTTTTTTTTTGTAAAAAGAAGCAAAGATAAATTAATAACCAATTTAGTTTATTGATGAACCCGGGTGGTTTAAACTTTAGAGCAATCATATTAGCATGATACAAATATTCTACGGTTTACTAGTGATGGATTTAGGCTCGTGGAATCACGATAATATGTTCACTTTTCTGTAATCCACACAGATTGAGAATTTAGATATTAACCAAAATTCTGTTATTACATTACAAAATATTTTTTGTTATCTGCGGATTTGTGTTACTAATAGGAGCATTGGTTGTTTATATGTACATAATGAGACTGGTATTATTGTAGATTTTTCTCTAAACTGATTTCTAATGGAAGATTTATCCAGTAGCCGGTAGGAAATGACAAAATGAGTAACATATTAGTCAGAATTTGAGATATTTTTAGTAAATTTGATAATTCACTTGGAAACAAAAGTTATTTCTTCTGCTTGATATTATTTTTATTCGGGAGGATAATACACAAATTGCAAGATTTTATTCATAAAGAGTGAGAGAGACACCAACAAAATTAAAAGGTCACAGTAAGAATATAGAGAATATACTTGAAAGACAGCTCGACCTTCATCTTCCTCGTTAACGCTTCACCTTCTCTCACCTAACTCCACCAATCGAACCAATCTCTCTCCTCTCACTCTCTCTCTCTCATCTTTGTAGAATACGAAGAAGAAGAAAGATTGAAGTGATAATTACAACCCACCAACTAAAACCATTTCTTCAATTCAACTCTACGCGTCGCGTAGTACCCAAAAGTTTTAATCTTTTGAGCTTCCCCATTATTTCCCAACAGAATCATTGATTACGCATCACTAATCCATTTTTTTTATATAGGTTTTCTCCTTTTCCCTGAAAATTCACATTAAAGATTTGGTTCTTTATAGCCTTTGATTTTGACCTCCATCACTGTTCTTTCCCTTGAGAGTACCCATCACTCCAAGATTTGATTTTTTTGGATTATCCTTGACTAGAGAGAGAGAGAAGATGGCGAAAGTACTAAAATCTAGCCAATCATGTCATTTCCCTTCACCTTCAAGCTCATCTTCTACATCATGCGGCGGCAATGATCGTAACAGAGACCCACATTCTCTTTTTAACGTTTCTCGCGAGGAAGAGGAAGAAGGAGAAGAAGAGAGAAGCGAGCAAGAGAGCGAAAGATTCGAGCTTTCATCTGCGTTGGAGATTCTTGTTTCTGCGATCAGAAGGTCTGTGATTGGTGGGTGTGTTGGCGAAGAGGATCTTTGTTCAATGGAGATTGGTGTGCCCACAGATGTTAGACATGTCGCACATGTCACCTTTGATCGTTTCCATGGCTTCCTTGGCTTGCCTGTTGAGTTTGAACCTGAAGTCCCAAGACGAGCTCCTAGTGCAAGGTTTGTTTAATTTGGTTTATAATGATGATTGGTCTTCCTGTTGTTTTGGCTAACAAAATCTTGAAACGATATCATCAATTATCGGATTATGCAAGAGCCAATTGTGTGTGTGGTTTACTTCCATGTCCAGCAATTTCCATAGTTGAAATCGTTCTGTTGATAGAAGCATGATGTCTCTACCTGGAAATTAGTGTATTTGTTGACATTAATGATCCGAACATTTTGATGTTCTTGAATCAATTCCCTTAGTTTCTACGAGTTGGGGTGAATTCCGCTATCAAGTAGATGACTTGTCAAGGATCTTGAGTGAGGTAGATAGATTTGAGGACTTCTTGTGTGTATTCCTGTGTTAGTATAAACCCTGAAATCAGTAAAGATCCAAACTTTTGTTTGATGTTCTTGAATGATATTCTCTTATTTTCTACGAGTTTGGGTGAAATGTCTTATAAAGTGAATGTAAATGCAGTGCAACCGTGTTTGGAGTCTCAACTGAGTCAATGCAGCTATCTTATGATACTAGAGGGAACATTGTGCCTACGATACTCTTGATGATGCAGAGTCACTTGTACAGTAGAGGCGGATTGCGGGTGCGTGTGAATCTCTATTGTTTAAAATAAATTGCATCTGGTTTTGTGACAATTGGTAACCAAAGTATTCATTTTTTTGCCGTATAGGTAGAAGGAATTTTCAGGATCAATGGTGAGAATGCTCAAGAGGAGTACATAAGAGAGGAGTTGAATAAAGGTGTTATACCGGATAACATCGATGTCCATTGCTTGGCAAGTCTCATTAAGGTAAAACCCATACTTCTCTTGGGATCTTACTGTCTTATTGTCTCTTTCTTTTCCTGTCGTTTTAAACTTTTGGAATTTGGGGGTTTCCCCTTAGGCTTGGTTTAGGGAACTACCGAGTGGTGTGCTGGATTCGCTCTCACCAGAGCAAGTAATGGAATCTGAAAGTGAAGATGAGTGTGTGGATCTTGTAAGGCTTCTTCCTTCAACGGAAGCTTCTTTGTTAGATTGGGCTATCAATTTGATGGCTGATGTTGTGGAGATGGAGCATCTTAACAAGATGAATGCTCGCAATATCGCAATGGTTTTCGCACCTAACATGACTCAGGTTAGTTCTCTGAACGAATCTCTAAAAGATTGTTTTAGGTTGTGGTGGTTTATCGTAAATGACATCAATCTCAAGTGTGTAATTTTGATTGCAGATGTTGGATCCCTTAACAGCTCTAATGTATGCTGTGCAAGTCATGAACTTTCTTAAGACACTAATTGTAAAGGCGCTTAAAGATCGTAAAGAATCTCGAGATAGGTTGATTCCGGCCTCAAATCCGGGCCCTCGGGACCATAATGGTGATCAGAGCAGAAGCAGACAGTTGTTGCATCTCATGAAAGCTAACAAGGAGGAAGCTTTAGAGAACTTTGAGGCAGAAATGAAAGACAAAGAAGAGTCTGCAGAAGAAGAGGAAGAAGAATCTCGAGAACTTATTGGCATAAAGTCATCACTGGTTAAAAGCTGTCAATATAGTAACGATGGAGGTTTTGGACAGAAACAGAATGATTGGAAAGAGCAGAGGAAGAAGACGACAATGTCGAATGCTAGTAGTATTGTGGGACGTGTGAATTACAGAGTTGAGCTGTTCGAAGCTTGGCGATGAAAATTGATTTCAATTCTTGATGTTTTTGATCCAACTTTTGAATATTCTTGATAATTTTGGTTTTGTCATTTTGTGGGGATGGATATGCTTTTGATAATGGTTGCTTGTATATCAAGAAATGCTACATTACGAATATATTGTCTAATCCTACAAAAAAAATGTTTTATAAATTTGGTAAATTTTTCTTGACAAAAAAAAAAAAATTGGTTTAAAGAAAAATAAACAAACTAGTTAAAGACAAAGCACAACAAACAATAAAAAATATTACACTAAAGAAGTCAACATACATGCAAATTTTCTCTATTCATTAGATTTTGCGTCCACGCGTGGATATTTTGTTAATAAAAATTATATGCAATCAATTGTATTTATTAAGATATAAATTTTATATATTAGTGATTTAATAATATATTAAAAATATTATAATGTTAATATAATAATTTTTATGTAAATTTTGAGGTTTTAACGGTTTTGTTTTAAATCTATATACAATATGTCATATTTCAAAAACGTATTATTTAATCAAACACTTATAAGTTAATACACCCAAATCAACTAAATTTTTTTATAAATTAGTCAAATGGTACTTATTAAACATAGTATTGGCATGATGATAAAATATTATACATTCACTTCTTTAAATCATGAAGATAATTTTTTTATCATTTTCACTTTCCTTCAATTATATATGTATTTTTTAAAAACAATAATAAAATTTAAAATTTAATCATTTTTCTTCTCTTGTTTAACCTATACAAATTTTTATTTTGTTATATTAATTTAAAAAACAAGCTAATAAATAAAATATTTGCTTTGACATTAATAACAACTTTAAATTTGAAACCAAAATAATATTTGAATATAAAATAAAGAAAATCATACAAAATTTGTGAATTAAATATATTTTTATCAATTGGTTGTGTAAACGTTTAAATACTTTTTCAATGATTATACGTCATTGATTCTAATAAGAATGAATTTTTTCATCATGTTCATTTTTATTCTTGTTATATCTGTTTTTTCAACTAATAGATCATATTTATTTATTTCAATGATTTTTGTATGATTATATTCAGTTTCATCAGATTCAATTTTACTTCTTTTAATTATATTTAAGTAGGCAGCCGGTACAATTTAATACATATAAATTTAGAAAAATGAAATAACAAATTGAAATCTCCTCAAAACTAAAAACTTCTACATTAATCTATTGTAATTCCAAGTCGAATATACAAAATATAATTTTTTCGATCATTTTTTCATAATATATTACATGAGATTATGTGGAAATATGTTTTGCATATGTGAAAAAATTAATATAAATTATAATTATTAGTTATTTAAAATTCTACATGAAAAGCCTTAAAATCAAGTGACATAAACTTGTATAAGTAATATATAGTTTTATAGATAATAAATTAAATTTATAATTTAAACAGAAATAATGAAGATTTAAATATCATGTTTTTTATTATTAGAGATTTTTTATTCTTTAATTTACTTTCTTAATAGAATTAGGAAATTTTTTTAAATTTACAATTTTGATATATACGAATAAAATTTAATTTTTAAATGCTGATGTGGATGCCTTGAAAATAGCATACCTTTAATTTTTATTCATAATAGAATAGTTTTAATTAACAATTTTTTCTATATTGTTTTGTATTAATAATGTAATTTTATAATTTACTTTTTTTAAAAAAATTTAGTTATTGATGTACATAATAAAATTGACCTTTTAAATCTTATGTGGATGTCTTTAGAGGCATATAGTTTCTATATTTATTTTTCTATAAACATATTTTTTGTTAACCATATAATTTTAAATTTTGAAAATTTTTCTAATTTTAAATATTGATGTAGACCAATCAAATTGAATTTTTACATCATATGGACATTCTTAGAGGCATATAGCTTTTATTTTTTTTTAATAATAGATTTAGAAATCAAAGCTGGAAGATCCCACACAAGGCAAGTGATTATGGTTTTAGGCTTACCGAATGATTCGCATGTTGCTTGGTCAGCTAATTGTTACACTTTTGGTTAATGTTAGGTTGTTAAAACCCCATCAAATGCCATGTTATTTCAAAAATCTTCCTCGGATACCTCAATTTTCGGCTTAATGACAGAACTTCTTTCTCTATTTTCAGTGCTTCGTTTTTCAAAAGTGTCATGATTTTGGTCTTGCCTCCTTGTTTTTGAGGCTTACCAAATGTATTTGGATGCTTCTTGCTCAGCCAATTGTTACCTTTGTGCTTAATGTTAAGTTGTTAAAACCGTATCAGATGCCATGTTATTTCAAAAATCTTCCTCAAATACCTTAATCTCCTTCGTCTTAATGACGGAACCTATTTCTCTATTTTCAATGCTTTTTTTTTAAAGTGTCGAGTATCAATCACTTGACATGTTTCTCGGATTGCTTGAAATTTATCATTCTTCTCAAATTCGGTGGTCAAGCTTATTTTTCGGTCTCTTTTTCGATACTAAAGCAGCTTGTAATGGCTTTGTTTTATATCTCGTTTCATTATATTCTTTGTAATTTAGCTAATAGTTAAACTTATAGTTTAGCCAAGTTGGTTATTTTACGTTGTAATGATTCATTTTTTTGTGAAACCTAACTCTATTTTTTTGTTTTTTGTTTTTTTGTTTTTAATTTGAAATAGTTGTACACACAGAAAAAAACTTAAAAATTATTATAGTTATGTGACAAAATTTTGGATACTAATGTAAGAATCTCTAAATATGTGTGTATACATCAAATTTAAATTTAAAATTTTCTATTTTAATATTATTTATTTTAGTTTTTTATTATTAACAAAAAAAATTATATATAATTTCTTTATCTTTAATAATTTTTAAAAATAATAATGGAATTTGAAAAAAAAAAAATTTCAATGTTGAGGTGGACCAATAAAAAATTTATATAAATTTTTTTATTCAGCAATAATTAGAATTTGTAAACTTTCTTAATTTATTTATTTAGCAATAATATTAAAAATTTGTAAACTTTCCTTATTTTTGATTGTTGATGTGGACCTCAGGATGCCATTTATAGCTTCAGATTTTATTTTTCTATAAATATTTTTTTGTTAACAATACAGTTTTAAAATTTGAAAATTTTCTTAATTTTAAATATTGACATGAACCAATAGAATTGAAATTTTAAATCATATGTGGACACTTTTAGAGGCATATAACTTCAGGTTTTATTTGTAATATATTTAGATATTAACGCTGGAAGATCCTACACGAGACCCGTTGCGGCAAGTGATTTTGGTTTCTCCTCCATATTTTGAGGCTTACAGAATGTATTCTGATACTGTTTGGTTCAGCTAATTGTTACCTTTGTGGTTCAGGTTGTATTGCTAAACCTTTGTCAGATGTCATGTTATTCCAAAGATTTTTCTCGGATACCTCAGTCTTTTTTGCCTTAATGCAGAACCTCTTTCTCTATTTTTAGTAGTTCGTTTTTCAAAAATTTTGGGTATCAATCACTTGACATGTTTCTCGGATTACTTGAAATTTATCATTTTTCTCAAATCTGGTGGCAAAACTTTAGAGATTTTACGGTCTCTTTTTCAATATTAAAGCAGATTGTAGTGGCTTTGTTTTCATCATATTCTTTTTAATTTAGCTAATAGTTAAACATATAGTTTAGTAAAGTTGGTTTTTAATTTTACATTGTAATGATTCATTCTTTAGTGAAACTTAACTCTATTTTTTTGCCTTTTTAAATTGAAATGGTTGTACACACATAAAAAAAACTTAAAATTTATTATAGTTATGTGACAAAAATTTGGATGCTAATGTAGGAGTCTCTAAATATATGTGTATACATATGTAAATAAATTTTAATATTTTAATTTTTCTTAGTATTTATATAATTGAAACATCTAATTTAAATTTAAATTTTCCTATTTTAAAATTATTTATTTTATTTTATTATTTTAAATTTTATATATAATTTATTCATCTTTAATAATTTTTTTAAACAATAATAGAATTTAGAAACTTTTTTATTTTTAATGTTGAGGTGGACCAATACAAAATTTATACAAAATTTCTTTATTCAACAATAATATTAGAATTTGTAAACTTTTTTAATTTCTTATTTAACATTAATATTAAAATTTAGAAATTTTCTTAATTTTGAATGATGATGTGGACCAATAAAATTTTTAATTTCCTTATTTAACAATAATATTAAAATTTAGAAATTTTCTTAATTTTGAATGTTGACGTGGACCAATAAAATTTCTCTTTTACATTCTATGTGGACACCCTGAAAAGCCTTTAGTTTCAACTTTTATTAGTATAATATATATATATATATATAAGATTTAGTTTAACTGATAATTTCAATATATATTTTACTTATATAAACGTAATTCAAAATTAAACAACAAATATACAGTAAGTATATGAATTTGATTGGATAAAACTTATGCACCTCGCGAACTTCAATTTATAGCTTCTCGTCTTTGGTGAGCCTCTCCCTAGGTCAAATCGGCAGTGATTAGACGGTGGTGATGTGGCGGGTTCCCGAAGATTGTTTCGTTTTCGGTCAATTCTAGTTTAGACTTGTTTTGTAGCTTTTCGTTTCCGGTTATTGACCCTTAACCGGACCCCGGTTGATTGAAAAAATAATAACTTCTTTATTTTGAATTAATAAAAACTCTTTACCAAAAAGAAACTTCAATTTATAGAGATATATTTTAATCAAAAAGCACATTTATAACATGATGAAACACGCCAAGTGTAAAAGTCGCAAATTAAGTCGTTGCATTAAACCCCGTGTTCGAAAAATCGCCCTATATAACATTAAAATCCAAGTCTAGAGAATATTGATTCTGAAATTATGTTCTATTGTCGAGTGCTACATTTTTTTTATGTATGATTTAGTCAATTTTACCGACCAAGGTGAAAGTGTTTGTATTTACCAAATTGACTATAATTTTATCATTTATATCATTACAGCTTGGACTTATTAACAAGATGACCTTAAAAAATAAATTAAAACACAACATACAGTCACAATTTATTTCCCAAGAGTGTCATCACACCATTACACGAGTGCTAAGTCTTAGACTTTATTAACTGAAAAAGGAAACAATGGTAAATACAAACATTTTGCACCACAAAAGCTGATTATTTCTTAATCAACGAAACGACAAGAGTGACACTCGTTTTGTTTTTGCAGCTCGAATGTTTAGTCACATGATATGCATACTTATCAAACAAGATATCAATGATGTCTCCTCCAAAGTGAGCAACGAGCATTGGTTCAGTAACCGCTCTTATAGCGTTGGCTTCATTGTATCCTGCTTCATCGTCATCTTCTTCGCCATCGTCGCAGTTACTATGACCAAGATCGAATCCATGAGTCTCCAAGTCATTGATTTCAAAAGATCCCTCGTTTCGGATCGCTTCCTTGAGTTCTTGTTCGTTTGGATCATAAAAAGGCATGTTGAATGCATCCAATTTTGATTCACTTACTAGACCCTGTATAAAGATTAGACGATCATTAAGAACAGCATGTTTCAATTTCAGCAAAATAATACTATTCATGGTCTTTATTAGAGTAATCATCAAAACAAATATAAATATGTTGGTCACTTTGAAAAAAGAATTGTTTCGCATTGAAATAGAAGCATACAACATAAAATTGATGCCGATAAAAAATCATGAGTTCTTGGTTAGGAACTTCTGATCCCTTATGGTAGCTAGAAAATATCTCCTAGAAATTTGGAGGATAAAAGGTAAGAATCAGTTTATTAACTAGGTAACTCTTTCCTATTTTCTTTTTAAGAATTTGACCTTATTTGTGGCAATTATGGCGAAAATTCCAAATAACTTTTTTATTTGCTCATACACAACCCTAATTAGGCTCTAAAATGTTTTGAAACTACGAAGAGACATATTTGAATTGTTTTTTAAAAAATGAATAACTTGATTTTGATATACCTCGAAGACTAGGTCGCGGAGAGATTTTGATAGCAATGTCCAAAAGTGACAACAATCTCTAAACAATGGATCATTACGTGTGTTTCTACCGACGAAGGTGAGAACCATACGTCCATTAGAGACAACTTCTTCAGAACGCAACCTTAGAAACATCGTGAAATCTTTTTGGAACTGATTCAAGTAAGCCTTGTATACACTTTGAGGGCTTGAGCTTGTGATGTATACACTTCCTTTTTCATTCTCCAGCTTTTCGGGAAGCTTTTTTAATCATATAAGCACACAATTCCATCGTTTTAATACCAAATAACCCAACGTTACATATAAGTAAAGATATTATAACAATAACTTAAAATATATAGATACCTTAGAGAGCCAATGGAGAGCGTAAGAGGAATGTATAAAATGGAGGCTATTGCGAGAGAAGAGCCTTGAGTAGAAAGAACCTGGAGCTCCATAGACGAAATACGATGCTTTGTTTGTGCTCATGAGCTCCTCGTTGAAGAAAGGTACAAACTTGAAAGTCGTGTTGAAATCGTTTTCCGGGAGATCATTCAGACAGCAGTCAACTTCTGGTGGGTTTTTGTTCAATTGTTGACACAACACATTGACGGTGTTGATGATCTCAGATATAGCCAGAAATGTATTTTGTCCCGAAGAACAACCCAATTCAGCAACTTTGATGTACTTAGGAAAGCCTAAGTTTATCATCATTTCTTCTGTATTCTTTACCAATATTGGTTTGGCCATTGATAAAACTCTTCTCTAACAAAAAAAAAGACAAAATGTACTAGTTAAAACAAGTATTTCGAGAAATTAATTTAATTTCTAATAAAAACAAAGGAAGATTCATCAATCGTCCACAATAAACAGGTAAAAAACAAAATACAAGAAATAGAAGAAAAAATATCTATCTATATTCGTAATTTATAGCTTTTCTATTCTATTTCATACTTAATAATATAATGATATTTGGATTTTGTTAGATTCATATAATTAAACAAATATAAATACGTTATTCTTATATAGCAGATTTAAATTCGTTTGTTAATATTTTAAATTTACAATATGATCATAATGAAGAACCTGAAGAAGAGAATTGGCGGAGTAACTGTTGGCTCCATCTCCACCACTCATACGTAGAGCTCTCACAAACGCATATTTATCATCACTCATATCATCATTATAGCTGCATCCCGATATACATATATTAGTACAGTTGCATGACATATATATATATATATACATATATTTCTGAAATAACTAAATCAAAGCAAGATTAAGTATATATGAATGTATTGTAATGATGAATTGGAGAGAAGAACCTCAAGGAAGGAATGGTGTCGATGAATCTTGAATCCATTTTTTATCGTACTTATTTATTTAGTGATAAGATTAATGGAGAGTTGTTAGAAGATGCTGGTGTGTGGAAGATGTTCCTCACGCACTCCAATTTATAGAGAGATATTTAAATCAAGTAGCACATTTAAAAAAAAAAAAGATGAAACACGCCAAGTGTAAAAGTTGCAAATTAAGTCGTTGCATTAAACTCATTGAACCCAAGTCTATAAAAATATTGATTCTGAAATTATGTTCTATTATATTGTTGACTGTTAGTTTGCTCGGTTTACAATTGAAATGTGCAACTCTGTAAATAAGGTAAAATTTCGAAGGATGTGATTATGTTATTGCCATATTTTTGTGTACATAACCAATAAATTTATGGACTTCAAAATTATTATTAATCCGTATCTCTATTGTCAGTTCACGGAGTTGATCTACCTACCTATTTTAAGGAAAATCTATAGATTCAAGTACTACCGATTTTGGATTTCGTTAGGTTGTTATAGATTGTTGGAGAAGAGTGTTGGTGGTCGTCTACGGTAATTATTTGTAACTAACGTGAAGTTTAATTAATTCAAAGAACTTAATGGAGCATGAAATATATATATGAGAGTGCATAAAGTTTAAGTGATTGGTTAATATATGTATTCGTAATAGAACAAATACCCATGTCTTTAAACACACGTGTCTTTTATTTTTGAGTTTGTTGCATCTACCGGATAGTATTTTTAGTATTTGTTGTCTAGTTGAAAAATTGTTCTTCTAAGAATTCTTTTAATATAATCAAAAAAATTTCAGACGATAAAAAAAACAAACAAAAAGTGCTAGTTCAGATAAACATGACGAGTAGCATTTCCAGTAATTAAAGACTAAAAATGTGAAGGTCAGAATCAGCTAATTTTAAATACATGTGAACATACTCTTTGCTGACGAGGATTCGTTTAATCTAGTGTGAGATTAATGTAATACGCGAATTAGCAAATGTGTTTATAATAAATATTTTCTGACCAGAAAACGAATATTAGTTGCAATGCATGCATGTGCCATGTAAGGTCTTATACAATATGTCAATATGTGTATATGCTTTGTCCAAAATGTACATGTTTCATGCCACGTACGTAAGCCTTTTCACATGTGGAGCACGAAACTCCCATTAATTCATTCGAATTTACTCGTACAAACAAAGAAAAGGTACAAAAAAAAAAAACAAACAAAAGGTAATGTGTAACCATAACTTCGTAGCGTTTCATAATACTTTTTATGAATTTGGTCTTGGTCTATATGTGACGTTACGATTGGCAAATACATAATAAATCTCTGTGTTTTTTTTTTTCGTTCAACTGCAAATACATTTGTATCTCACTCTCAGTCTCGAGTTATAAGGAACCACTCGACTACTGTTGGAATCTGTCCGGAAACATGTTGAGAGAGGATGACCAAAAAAAAAACATGTTGAGAGAGCTATATTGCTATTGGGGCTACTGTTAACTAAACTACCGACCTTCAGCAAAAAGAAAACAAATCAATATCAATGGTTGATAAAATAAATTGTATTTTATTTTAGGAAAAATAAGATTATGTTTGAGTTTCAGTGGAATTAATAACTGCTCATTGGTTTGATCAACTTACTAAAGAGGGAATGGTAACACCACGACTAACTATTTCATTTATAATGGAAGAACAGCCGCAACCGCACTAATCTAGCAACGTCAAAGTCTTTTTTTTAAATCAAATTGGATGTAGACTTGTGTTTATAAAATTCGGATATTTTGACCAAAAAACGAATTATCAATAAATAATGCACGTAGGGGTCTTATAACATGTATGGACAACTTGTCCCAAATGTAATGTGTTTTATGCTATATAAAATCCTTAAAACCATACAATCATGTGGAACAAAAAGTCCCATTTAAATATCTTTGTTTTCTCGTACTAACTAACTTATGCCGGTCAAAACGCCACGTTTTTCGTAAGAGGAAATCGGCATGCATGAATAATTCTGTCGACAAAACCAAAAAGAAAAACAGTTTTTCTGGTTGGAGAGAGGTCCCAATGTCCCATCAGTATCCCATGATATTTTGGAAGTTATATGTAGTTCAGTTTTAGAAACGACTAATTCAGTAATAAATTCTTCTTTTTTTGTATGAGAAAAATTGTTTTTCTTTTTGGTTTTGTCGACAGAACTTGAACGTATTTAATTGATCATGCTGCATTTTATTGATCAATTAAATACGTTCAAGTCGAAACAACCAAAAAGAAAAATAATTTTCTCATAAAAAAAAAAAAAGAATCTATTACTGAATTAGTCGTTTCGAAAAACTGGACCTATAGAATTGCTTCCAACATATCATAGGATACTGATGAGACATTGGGACCTCTCTCCAACCAGTTAAACTGGATTCTGAATTTCTGAATTTCTGTTTTAATCAAATAAAATATAAATATTTGGAAATACAAATATGAAATGGCAAGCTTAGTTACGATTTCAGTATATTTTCAAAGTTCAAAAATAAAAGCAAACGATAAAATTCCCTGATTTGAATCTTTCATGCGATTTTGAGGTCATAACATAGCATCGTAACTTCCGACCCAAAAATAAACATATCATCATTAACATTATTAACTTTATCACTAAAATGTGATTTAACTTTTCTGAATCGGTTTTAGCATTCGATTCCATCACTTTTTCAGTCGTTCTAACTTATGATCAGAAAATGGCTTGCCTGCACCTTAGTTCTCTTATACTTTCTATTTAATATATTAACCCTTTGCCCTCTTCCAAAATAATTTTTATTCAATAGTATCGGTATCGCCTTTAGCTGAATTTGTGAGCTAATCGTTTTTAGCATGTGATCATTACCAGAGGTACAATTTGCTCATAGAAGTTATAGATTTTAACGAGTTAATTGTAATGGTTTTACTACTAGATCACACATACAACGCGGTCGATCCTGGAACCTTGATGTTCAAGAAGAATATGTATGGGAATTTATCAAGTTATCCAGGCTTAAGGCTAAAACAAAAGGAGGCTACAATCTCTGCGAGGATTGTTTTACACTTAAATAACACTCTGAAATGACTGTCAATATACTGGAGAAGACAAGTAACTACAACGGAGAATGGAAGTATGCCCTTTTAGAGTTAGCGGAGGAGCAAATTCAGTTGACATAGCTCTTGACACTGAATCCATTAGTTTCGTGTTTTCTTCTTCACAGCTGTTTTCCTTCTTGCAGGAGCTCCTCCTATGAGGATGATTGTCCAGAAAACCATCCCTTTTGTAGAAGATGACACTTCTGTAGTTTCTGTACGCATTTTGTTTGTGGATACATCCCTCTGTAGTACATTCCGCGCATGCGAAAAATCAAAATTGAGCATCATGTTTGTGATAATCTTGGAAAATTCACCAGTAATCCTTGCACGAGCAGAACCCGTCTTTGAAATAATGGAATCGAGATGCATCTCTTACAACAAACCGTCGATCTACAATCTTGCTAACCATCTTGATAAACACGTGACAATTTTCACAAGCCCTCAGGTTCTTTATCACAAGGATTTCTGTGCCTGGTTCTGTGTTGAGAATCCCAAACGCTACTGCTAATCTTTCGCTATGCTCACGTCCACTGCTCGAGACCTCTCCACCTCTATCACAGTCCTTGTTTCCCGCAATCTCCATCACAGAAGTCTCTAACTCATCCAGCATCCTATAGACTTCCTCTGTTTGCTCATGACTTCTGTCGCCAGCCAAAAACAGTTGAACTTTTCCCTTGTGTTCCACGTAACTATACCCAGGCTCTTTCTTGAATCCCCTCTCTCTCATCATTACCCGGATTCTCCAGAATCCTTCTTGATTCTTCGAGCATGAATATATATTTGACATCAATACATAGTAGCCAATGTTCATGGGTTCAAGCTCAATCACCTTTGCGAAAGCTAACTCTGCCATATCCACGTTCTTATAGATTTTGCAGGCACCCAATAGAGCTCCCCAAACAGCACCATCGGGTTCAACAGGCATTGATTCTATAAACTCCATGGCTTCATCTAATCGACCAGCTCTTCCCAGTAGATCAACTACGCAAGAGTAGTGTTCAGGACCAGGTTTCACGTTATACTCTCTCTTCATCGAACCAAATAACTCTAAACCTTTATCCGTTAGCCCTGAATGGCTGCACGCAGATAAAACCATCACAAAGACTGTCCCGTCGGGTCTCATGCCGCTTTTTATCATATCATCGAAAAGCTTTAGCCCAGTCTCTGCCATTCCATGCATCCCATAGCAACCTATCATAGCAGTCCACGACACTAAGCTTTTTACAGGTATGATGTCAAAAACAGCACGTGCCTTTGCCAAGTTACCACATCTAGCATACATACTGATCAACCCATTACTTAAAAACATGTTTGATACAAACCCATTCGCTTCTATTAGCTTCTCTACTTCCTGACCAATCTTCTTAGCTCCAAGATGAGCACAAGACGACAGAACACTAACCAATGTAACAGGGTCAGGACAAACACCCGATGATTTCATCTTCTCATAAAGCTCCAGAACATCGTGAGCTAGCCCGTTCTGTGCATATCCAGAAATCACAGCATTCCAGGTAATCAAACCCTTCACATGCATCTCATCGAACAATCTCCTACCAAATTCTACCGACCCGCATTTCATGTACATCGTGACAAAACTATTCAGAACAGCTAATTCAGAATCTGTTCCTCCTTTAACGCATTGACCGTGAAGAGACATCCCGAGCCAGAGGTGATCAGGAACCGTGCAAACCGGGACAAGTCCAAGCATTGTAACTGAATCCACAGGCACACCAGTTTCCTTCATCTTACGAAACATACACACAGCATCAGTTACCTTCGAGTTTGCTTTATAACCAGCTATCAAAGCGTTGTAACAAACACCAAGATGACGTGACTGAGGATTTTCGTCGAACACCTTGCGTGCTTCTCCGACCAAACCGCATTTACAGTACATTGAGATCAGAGCAGTTAGAACGAAGGGCTCAGCCTCGCAGCCTCCTCTGATGACGTGGCAATGAAGCTGTTGGCCGGAGACAGGGAGCGAAAGGGCGGCACATGATTTGAGAGTGAAAGGGTAAGAGAAGGCGTCGGGAGAGGAGCCTGATCGGAGCATTGACCGGTAGAGAGATATCGCTTCAGCGAACAAGGATTGATACGCGAGCTCTCTCAGACGCACGTTCCATGGCGTCGAAGCCACCGCAGCGACGACGGAGTTCCGTAAAATGCTTCCGGTTGCAGCGACGGTCATTGGTTCTACGCCGGTTACGACTTGTTTGGTTAAATGTATACTTTAGAGTAAGGCCCAAATAAATGGGGCCTAGCCCAAATAAATGGGGCCTAGCCCAAATAAATGGGGCCTAGCCCAAACTAATTGCGAGATGCCGAAATCAAAAGAATAGTATTATACGGACAACCAAAGAGGTTATAATCTGATAGACCATTTCTTCTTAGATGCTTTCCTCCATCTACAAATTGTTACCGCCGCTATTTCGTGCTAAACCAGATTGAACTGATTGAGGTTGTCTTCTTCTTCTTCATTTCTCTCTACCGCCGTGGGTTGGAGGAAGCTCGTGCGGAAAGAAATCGCCGGAGCGGCTTCCGACCGACGGATCGGATTGACTGCGAGCTCGGTTTTTTGGTAAGAAAAGTAGATTTAACACTGTTGTTTTCGAGTTATGGTTGCTGTTTGTTTTTGAGTGTATCGGATTGTTTGTGAATTTTCTGAAGATCCAATAGATCATCTTGTGGGTTATGCATAACAGGGGAATAAAGTGATAAGTCGAAAAAGTAGGTTTTTGTTATTATTATTATCCTTGAGTAATAACTATGTCGTTGATAAATTTGATTAATAACTATCCTTGAGTCTTGAGAGATGGATTTGTTATTGTTCTCATATTGTTTCCGTCGTTTTTAAGGAAATTTAAACTCGGAGTTGTGTTAGTGATACTCTCTGGATAATTGCTTAGTGCTATTCTATGACTAAGCTAGTTGAGCATTTGGGGTCCATTTCCTATTATCGTGGATGATCTTGTATTTATTAGACCAACTGAATATTTATTCTGTTGAGATTCTTATTTGCGGCTTGGCTAGTGTCTCTTTTCAAGACATAGCTTTTTCTAATAGATAAGTTTAGCTTTGTCTACTACTACTACTTGTAGGTTAATATACGTAGAATTGCAGTTGAATATTGACCCGAACCATTGTTAATGCTGACCAAAGTTCAAACTTCTGTAATTTTTGTGACAGAAATCACTTGGAGTAAGGTGATTTGCAGCTCCTGTTAAGCTGGAGAAGTGACTCTGCTGATTCTGCTGTTAAGCTAATTACATTTTTCATCATGCCGAGCTGGAGAAGTGACTCTGCTGTTAAGCTAATTACATACTCTGAGGAGCTTGTGGATGGAAAACCGTTCTATGCTTTTTCCAATTGTCTTCCTGTGAAGGCTTTAAACCGTGAACCTGCTGGTCATGCCTTCCATTCTGCTGCTCTTAAACTTCATGGTTGTGCAGAGGAACCCACAGACAATGAAGGTAGTGATAAGAAAGTTGGAGATGATAAAGAGAAGGAATACGTTCCTTCATTCAACTCGTATGCCAACAAAGGAAAGAAGAAGTCTGGTACGCAGCAACAAGACCACTATGCGTTGTTGGGTTTGAGCAATTTGAGATATCTTGCAACAGAGGATCAGATTAGGAAAAGCTATCGTGAAGCTGCGCTGAAGCATCATCCCGATAAACTCGCTACTCTCCTTCTGGCAGAGGAGACAGAAGAAGCCAAGGAGGCAAAAAAAGATGAGATAGAATCTCACTTCAAAGCAATTCAAGAAGCTTATGAGGTGTTGATGGATCCAACAAGGAGAAGAATTTTTGACTCCACTGATGAGTTTGATGACGAGGTCCCAACGGATTGCTTGCCCCAAGACTTTTTCAAGGTGTTTGGTCCAGCTTTTAAGAGAAATGCTAGGTGGTCAGTGAATCAGCGTATACCAGATTTGGGAGATGAAAACACAAAGCTTAAAGATGTTGATAAGTTCTACAATTTTTGGTACGCTTTCAAGAGTTGGAGGGAATTTCCTGATGAAGAGGAGCATGATCTTGAACAAGCAGATTCCCGTGAAGAACGGAGGTGGATGGAGAAGGAGAATGCTAAAAAAACTGCGAAGGCTAGAAAGGAGGAACATGCTCGAATTCGGACTCTTGTTGACAATGCCTATAGAAAAGACCCGAGAATTGTGAAAAGAAAAGAGGAAGAAAAGGCTGAGAAGCAACAGAAAAAAGAAGCAAAGCTTATGGCCAAGAAGAAGCAGGAAGAGGAAGCTGCTATTGCTGCTGAAGAAGAGAAAAGGCGAAAAGAAGAAGAAGAAAAGCGAGCTGCAGAATCTGCACAACAACAAAAGAAAGCTAAAGAAAAAGAGAAGAAGCTCTTACGCAAAGAACGGAATCGTCTTAGAACTCTCTCAGCTCCTCTGGTGGCTCAGCGTCTGCTTGACATCTCCGAGGAAGATATAGAGAACCTATGCATGTCCCTTAGCATCGAGCAGTTGCAGAATCTATGTGATAATATGGGAAACAAAGAAGGGCTAGAATTGGCAAAGGTGATCAAAGATGGGTGCAATAGTAGTAGAAACGACGAAGCCAACTCTAAAGAAAAAGAAAGTGAGAAAACCAACGGTGGCGCAGAGCCTACAAACCGAGTTTCTCAGTTAGGTAGCACTCAGAAGAAACAACCATGGAGCAAGGAAGAGATTGATATGCTGAGAAAAGGAATGATAAAATATCCAAAGGGGACATCTCGGAGATGGGAAGTTATATCGGAGTACATCGGTACAGGAAGATCCGTGGAGGAGATTCTGAAAGCAACTAAGACCGTGCTTCTCCAGAAACCAGATTCCGCAAAAGCATTCGATTCTTTCCTCGAGAAGAGGAAACCCACTGTTTCAATCTCGTCCCCTCTCTCCACAAGGGAGGAACTTGGAGAATCTCTACCTGCGACTGCGACTGCGACGACCACAACAAAGGCAAAACCGGCAAAAGAGACTGTTGTGGGGAAAAGCTCGAGCAGTCAAAGCTCAGACAGCAACGGTGAAGCAAGTGGAAGTTCAGACACAGATGGTTGGTCGGCTGTGCAAGAAAGAGCTTTGGTTCAAGCTTTGAAGACATTCCCCAAAGAGACAAGCCAAAGATGGGAGAGAGTGGCTGCAGCTGTTCCTGGGAAAACGATGATTCAATGCAAGAAGAAGTTTGCAGAGCTCAAGGAAATCCTCAGAAGCAAGAAAACCGGAGTCTAAAGAAAATCTTATCGGAGCTCCCATGAGAATTTTGGGTTTTAATCTTCTTGGGGCACCGTTACTTTGCGAGAAGAAGACCTTTAAAACTTTTTTATTATTTGTAATGATTCATTTGCTTCTCATGTCTTTATATATTGAGCCACTATCTCATATATTTTACCCTAATCTTATATGTATTGTTTGAGTATCGCTTGTTTTAAATGTCCGACACTGAGTTTCCCTGAATCGGTTAATAGTCACAGTCGATTTGTCATGTACATACTGAACTAAACAAATTAAAACCCGAAAAATTGGGTAAACTCCTTTCGAGGTTTTTAAGAGAAATTACTCAGGTGACAAGAGAATCGAAATCAAACAGTGTATTTTTTCCCCTCAAATCCATAAATTTTCTCTCAACTATAACAAACCGCAAGTCCTCAAAGGAAGTAAGTAAACATGATAATACAGAAAGATCAAATTGTGATGTGGTTTCATTTTGTTACAAAGACCAAACAGGAGGCATATTAGTCCATGCGCAAGACCCAACGCCTCGTGGTGCTTGACCTGATGATGACCCAACAGTCACGTAACTGTTTCCAGTGTCGTCACCACCAAGAAGAAGCGCAAGCGCATCGCTCATGCTGCTCGAGTCTCTAACAATCCCAAAACAGCCTTGGTCAAGCCAGCTCGACGCAAGTAAAACATCAGGCCGTGTTATATCAACTCTCTTTGGCTCCCAAACCTGATCCAACTCTTCTGTCTTTACAACGTTCCCTGCAAAAGCTTCAATAACGAAAAAGGCACTCTCAGTCTCAGCTACAAGACACCAAAGAAACAGCAACTTACGAATCAAACAAGGAAATAGATTAGATTAGACACCAATCAAAGAGTAACTTTGATCTCACCTGTACTAAGTTGTGAGGGAATTGAAACCTCGGAAGTAACCAGATTCTTTTGGGAATCTTCAAATTCACCTGATTTTATTTGGGTTTCACCACCAGGTGGTACATTCAGAGTAGCATCGGTTGTACAAGTAGCTGAACCGAAGCTCTTCTCAGATGATGATGACAACAACCTGTGCTTCGCACTAGTTTTGATCTTGGCTTCATGAAGTAGCATATCTAGTAACCCAGTGTCGCATGAAGAGAAACAATCTGACTCCTCTATCTCCAACGGTGGTGGAGACTGAATATAGGCGTCAACAGAGTCCACGAGATCTGATTGTGGAGATGGCGGTGTCGTCTTCCACAGATCAAATGCACTAGTTTCTGAATATTGGAATGAAGGGAGCTCCAGCTTCACTGCCCCAAATATGGGCTTAGAAGTAGGAAGCATGCCATCCGTAAAGGTATGGCTATTTGGAATCATCATATCAGATGAATGTCGGTTTCCGTTACGAGGATGATCAACCTCACAAGGAGAGATACTGCAAGATTTGTGATTCTTTTGTTGAGCAGTATTCTGAAAATGTTCCGGAGATTGGAATTCATGCTTTATGTTACTGCTGCACATGGGAAACCGAGATCCAGATTCCAAGAGTCGCTTTGGGGAAGGCAATATGGGTGGCATGTAGCTTTCGTACCGGGAAGTAGTTGCACCAGTTCCCAGCATGTTGCACGCAAACATATCTGAAAGGTCAGAAGCGCCAGGTAACAAGCTGGTAGCAATATTTAGATCGTCAAACAGGGCATTAGCTTTGGAATTCCCCAACTGCAAGAAGTCTTGATTTCTTCTTCTATCTACCCCAAAGATGTTACTCGTTGTATACTCTTCACTCCACTGCAGGTCTTCAACATGGATTTCAGGAGGGTAAAGTGGTAAGCCTGCTCGTTGTCGCCTCTTGATACGAGTGTTCCAATAATTCTTTATCTCATTATCTGTTCGACCAGGCAGCTTGTAAAAAAGAAGAAAAGACAATACCAGTGATTAGCTTTTAGGCTCATAAAGATATTGATTTATGAAAATGAACAATAATCAGGTAGCTCCCACAATGCTCTGGTCTTACAAAACTACTTACATGTTCAGCCATATGTGCCCATTTATTTCCCATCTTGGCGTGCATTTCAACAATGAGCTGTTCTTCTTCTTGGCTAAAAGCTCCTTTCTTCAAGTTTGGCCTCAGATGATTAGCCCATCTTAGACGACAGCTTTTACCACAACGAGACAGGCTTGTGTGTTTCTGCACAGCATTCCAGTTACCCTCGCCGTGCTTCTTGACATAGTTAATCAAAATCCCGTCTTCGGATGACGTCCATGGCCCTTTCTTCAGGACTTTTCCTTTCCCTCTGCTTCTATTATCATTGCCAATACTATCAGCAGCTGGTGATTCGTTATGGATGCTGGATTGCATACCATCATCACTCTCAACCGTTGTTGTCGTGTAACTCATCTTTTTCTATTTAAAGCAAGAAAAGCCCCAGCAATTCAATAACCATTTAGACATCAAGCTCCCACCTGAACAGTTTAAAGAAACGAGACAGACCCTTTAATATTCCAGCCAGTGAATATTTTATATCACCTGCAGCATTCATGTATTTATCAACAAAAGAAAGATACTGATAAACTTTTAGAAGTGGAGAAAACTGAAAACAGACAACCACGCAACAACAAAAGGTCTTTGACGAAAAAGTTGACAGAACACTACTAAAATCATTTTGACGAATCACCATTAGATATGCATTTCGATTTGAAATGAGAATCCAGATAAAGAAACACATAAACGAGTAAGCACTCGGAGTAGGCCATATATACGAGAAACTCATCTTACAAACACTAATTAGCAAGTCCCTAAAATAGCATCTGGATTTCACAGCTAAGCATGCCTTGAAGTTCCACTTCGTTTCTCACTGGATCCTACCATAGCAGCTTTAACACTTGAAACGACATATGTATCAAATTCTAGAAACAAATCTAGTTCCCAATATCTATCTAGTTTTCAATCCTAATTTCAAAAGTTAATTCGATGTTCAATTAATCATAATTTATTACTGAACAAGCATATCCTATTCATGAGAATCGAAAAAGCAGACACAGCAATTCACACGAACCCTACCTGAAAATAATCAGCAAAAAAAAATAGAAATCGAAGAAGAGATCTGCGTTAAAGCTTCTACAGCATCAGACGAAATCGGAGCTCGAGTTCAGCTGAACATAGAGAAGAAAAAAAAACTATCCGATTTGGTATTGGAACAACACAAATCCGAAATTTCAAACAGAAAAATCAGCTCAAAATTCAAGCTCCCCACTGATCATAGACGATAAAAACAGGGATTGAAGATCAGAGATCCGTGCAAATGGATTGAAGACTAGTAGTTACGGAAGAACAACAATCTAAAAAGAAAAATTACGAAGAGAGAGCGAGAGAGAGAGAGAGAGAGATTACGCGGGAAAGCTCCACCGATGTTTTCTCAGAGAATCGACAGAGATCAAAGTACCAAAGCAATATTCATCAAGCTCGGGATGCTGAACAGAAGTGGCAGAGGATGAAAAAAAAAACTCCTATTTATTTATTTCTTTTTATTTATTTAGCGAACTCACCTATTTGGTAGTATTTATTTTACTTTTTCTTTCCCGGATAAATTACGGAGAAATTTCATAAAATATAGGACGAATTATGCGATAATATAATGGCAAGATTGTTTTGTAATATGTGTCATCAAATTTTTTTAAAAAAAATACTAGTTTTGAAAATGATAAGGGTCGTAATACTGTAGTACTATTTAAGAAATGTGTCATAAATTGCAATTTATATTATTTTGGGTATAATCGTATACGTCTTTTTAGAAAAGGAGCACCACCAAAGATAAAATTGCAATTTACACTTCATTTAATGATGTAAATGTGATTATGAGTTTAATGACGTAGATACGTTGAGATTAGGATATATAGTCCGCACTCTCAGATTAGTGTCATCCATTGTATGTCAACAAATAGATAATGACAGTGATTCTCAAAACATATTGGCTCATCGATGTAAAAAGGCCAAAGGGTGAATCATGGACTCAGATTAATAAATGTCATGCACCATGAATAATTTTATTTTTTCTTTCTTTAAGTAACTCACAAAAAAAGATTGATCCTCTTTATACGAAAGCAACATAATTGCGTATATACTTCCAGATCATTTGATAATTTGAATGCTATATCTAGGGGAAATCAATACTCAGATCATCTTGGTCATACTAACATAGCTATATTTGATTCCAACATAGCTGTTATAGCGTACCCAACTTTTCAAGGATATATATATATATATATATAATCCATATGTCTTAGGTTATGAATTGATATATAATGCCGTCAAAAAGAATCGTAGATCAAATTATTTCATCACAATTTTCGAGATCAGATTCGATTATTCTTGTTTGAAGCATTTATATAAGTCATCGTGGAATTCTCGTGGCAATTCATATGGAAATCATGCGATTCGTTTTCTAGTAAAGAAAAGAAGGCAAATCATGACGACAAGCTGCAACATGGAAATCATGCGATTCGTTTTCTAGTAAAATTTTCCTAAAATCTTTTTCTTTTTTAGATTTTTTTTAATCTGTTAAAGGAAAAATCTCGTCTTTCGATTTGCTAAGAAATAATAATAGTCCCATAATAACAAATGAGCGAATATACTTAGGCATGATTCGTTTGGACTAGTCTGAATCACATGGTGAAATGTGTGTGTTAACGAAGAGGTAGCCAAGTGAGGTATTGTGAGGAGCCTCCCAAACGTAATTTAATTGCATTATGTCTCAACTCAAGGATTATATGTATATAGTTTAAGGAGATATAACAAACAAAATTTTTTAATTTTTTTCATTTATTCTTATCAAAGTCTGTCGTCAACAGTAGAATTTGGTTTACTTTTGTGGAAATTTATTCAATACAGACATACAGTAACTTTAACCCTAAATTTTATTTTATCATAAATGGAAAACAAAAAAAGTTTGGGAACGATGACGTGGAAGTGGCGGTAGGCCAACTGTAAAGTGGCAGAGAAAGTCTTCTGGTGAACGAGTTCGTCCATTTTCTAATCTGCCCACCAAATTCGAAAATGTTTGGCGACTAATCCTACATTTTCTTACCATATATACCGAAGAAGGTCCAACATTTATATATTCGATGTGTACTGTGTTTTGTATTCTTTTCGAGTTTGACGTCATCAAGTTATTAAAATATACTTGATAGAAATTGACGCAATTTGTTTGAAATCAACGAATATTTGAAAAACAATTTCAACAATAGTTCACAATGACTAACAAAACTATTCGTCCCCAAACATTTTTTTTCAACTATATATGGGGAGTTCCATATCTAAAAAAGAATAACATTTAAACAAAAAATACAAACACAACCATCTACAAAAACAAAAATCAATATATAGAGACTTTATTCACAAGCAAAAACAAATTAAGTGGGAGAAATTGAAAGAAAATAAAATCGTTATGAAGAGGAAATTATGGAGTAATATTTGATTTCAGTGAAGAAAAGGCTCGAAAGTGCTCACCACCTTCTTCAATTGGTCAAGAAACGACAAATACGATACCGTTCCATCGTTACCGGCGAGAACCCTATACTTATCCTTCCTCGTGAAGTTAGTGCATTCAAACCCTAACGTAGCCGCCAAGATTCTCTGAACATAGTTCGCCACATCATGCGGACTCTTCCCGGAAGAACACGTGGCCTCCATCGGAAGCTGGTTCAAGAACGTAACCTCGTAAACCGGTCTCGGGTTCATGAAAAAGAAAATCGGGTCTAACCCTTTCCAACCTCTCGCCGTGGTCGCGTGAAAGAATCCAACTCTATAATTCATCGCAACCGGAACAATCCTATCGGTTAACTCGGCGAAAAGCGCGCTAAATCTTAGCAAGAACGGTTCACGGCAAGTGGTTCCCTCAGGACAAACCACAAGATCTCCTTTAGACAGTTGTTGTTTAATCTTCGCGGCGTCCACATCTCTGATTCTTGTCAATCGAACGGTTGGAATGGGAGATAAGATCTCTGATAAACGAGAGATCGAGTAAGTAACGGCAGGGATGCTGCGTCCGAGCACATAGGATAATACCACAGGGTCCATTAGGGTTCTGTGTGTACATACGAAGAGAACGCCGGAGTTTCCGGCCGCTGGTGGCTGAGGAGGCTTGCCTTTGACGATGATTTGGCCGCCGAATATCTGAGAGACGTACGGTGTGGCCCATAATGGGAGGACGGATCCAAGAAAGATCCGAACGGCGGCGAGAATGATTCCGAATGGGATCCATATGAGGATGAGAAGAGCAGTGGCCGGAGTTGGTCGTTTGACAAGACGTCCGTCGTGAAAGATCACCGGAAGTGGCCGTAGCTCTAGTTGTTCGTTATGGTGGTTGTAGTTCTCTAGAATTGGTGCATGAATGTGCTCCTACGTTTATAAAGACAACAAAAAAAAAATTTAGTTTTGCTAGATTTAACAAGTAGTGCTAGTTGAAATACTTTTTGTTCATTAAGTGTAACAATGAATAAAGTTAGTATTTTATGCAACTTAGTTTTTTAGTGTTTACCTCACATAACGATAAGAAAGTTGTGGAAGTTGTCATGGCCGGTCTTCCGAGACCTAGACAAGGCCTCCGATCAACAAACAAATCAGCAACACGATTCGAAACAGATTGATCGACATCGGATTCACGTATAAAACCGGTGACAAAACCAAACCGGTTCACGATCAGCTCCGTACCGATGACCTCGTCGGCTCTAAGATGCTCTTTAGCGAACCTCTCCACCATTGCTCGAGGCATTCTCGTCACCACAACCCTCTTCGTACAAGAGCTGAAAACTCTCCAACTGTCCATGCTCACGTCATCCATGTAGAACTTAGGCAGGACGGCTCTAGCCACCGATTCAATGTCCGGTTCGCGTAAACCAACCGTGGCTACAAAAATCATTAGCTTGAGAGAAGCGTTTTTGTAGCTGAGAACGTCAAGGAGTGTGATTACGGGCCAGAGAAACAGCAACACTGCGAAACGAATTAGACCAGAGGCTTCGAAGGCAACGAGCATGAAGTAAGAGAATGGATCTGCGTTCTTCAGTATTGCCCCTTCAAATTCTGACACGACCGAATTTGATGTCGTTCTACTTTGCTCCATCACCAAATATCTTTTATTCTCTTTCTTGGTTTTTCTATCTATCGAATATCAGTTTTGACTCGATTGGAGATGGAAGAAAATGGATTATAACGTTTTATGTTATAAGGGTCTGGATTGATCAGTCGATCGTTTCTAATGCAATGGCAGTTTATCAGTATTGCACCTACCGAAATTGTACATGTTTTTTTATTTTGAAAAATGTCGGCTTAAGTCAATATTATATATAGAGAGAGATCAGAGATGTGAAGAAAATACGATTATACACGTCACGTGTTTTTTTCTGATGAAATAGTGCACGTATGTTATGTGGATAACAAAAAGCAAATGATGGTTTAAAATTAACCAGTTTGACCAAATTTTTGGCAGAATACACCACAATTAGGCCGTGTGTAAAGCTAAATATACGGATTTAATTAGGTTACTGACCTTATTACATAAGCAAAGCGTAAAGTTAATGAGATAGAAAATTTCTAGCTATGCATGTAACTAGGATAATGTCATAATGTATTAATGTGTGCCTATATTTAGAATATCTTTTATCTAAAACGTTCACAAGTATATGTAAATGGAAATTAGGGGTATAATTATTTTTCCTGATAAATGTAGGTTTCTTTACGGTTTGGATTCAATTTTTTCTTTTTCTTTTTTTCTTTTGCTAAAGGGTTAATTTGGATTCGGTTTCGTTTTTGTTAAATTCGGTCGGAGAGAAACTTAATTACCATCATAGTCCAATCGAATTAGTTTGGTTTGTTCAGTTTATTCATTTCAGTTTAATTAGTCTGGTCCGGTTTGGTTGGCTTCCTGACCGGTAAAATTACATATGAACATAAAGCTTGGAAATCTAAGTACATAACCATAACAAAAGTGTTGTACTGTATAATAGTATTTTCCCTAAAGATATGATCATAAGACCAATACCTTCTAGTCCTTTATAATTTGACATAAACTTGCGTGTTTACAAAACCTTTTTCCTTTATGAAAATTCTTATCCGTTTCTCTAAGACTAACTATGTTAGCTGAGGTTTGGTTGGAAACAAATCCGCTACTTTCATCAGAAGAAAATATATAAAATATGACGAGTTTATTGCTTTCAGGTCAATTTTGGAGGTAATTTTGTTAGCTACTGTGTAAAGTTGATTTGGTTTTCTTAACTAATTGTATCGTTCTTTTATTCGATTCGGTTGGCAATCAGTACGATTCTAACAGAATCAGCTGTGTTTAATACTATTCTTTTACTTCTATTGATAGAGAAAAATACTGAAGTAAATGTAATTAATTATATATGTTAATACTAAATGGTATGGAATTGAAGAAGTATAGACCTATAGTTAACCAACTTCTTCGTCATGAAAAACAAACAAAACTTACCATGTATTTATAAGTATCGGGTTTGATCGATATTATTTTGACTAATAATACAAAAAGAAAATGTTTGCATATTGAAATACACAAGAGTCCCGGTATTAGCAGAGAAAATCATCATTTCGTGGTTCTAGGAATTTAATTAGAAACCAACTATGATCGAATCTAAAGTTGTATGTGCATATATATATCTCTCTAATTAAAAAAAAAAAAAAACCGTTGTTTCTATATCTTCTCCGAAGATCTGCACTTTCTAATCCTTATCGACATTTCTTTATCCTTTCTTCTTCCTCCTCCTTCCAACACCTCGCAACACTGTCTCCGTGGTGCCTGTCAAAATGTAAAGAAAGCTTCGAAAATCAAAACCTAAACTCATTCAAAAATGTTAATTTCAATATGGAACAAAAACAAGAACAATAACAACTAACCTTGTTCCAATACTCAGGATCCATCTTCATTGAAGTGACCAATATCCTCTTCACTTGGGTTAACCGAGAATGCTCACTCTTCCCGCAATGACCATAATTTTTATCAGCTACGCTATACCAAGTTTTCGTCCCACTATCCCGCACATCCTCTGCACCATCCATGAAGTAAGTGACAGGACGCTCACACGGGTCAGGTTTCAAGGGACGTGTGTTAAAGGTGAAAGGTCCATCGCTCGAAGAACGCCAAGTTTTGAAGGTCTGCAACGGCGTATCCAGCTCCTTGGCGGTCAAGAAGTAAGTGTAAATCTGAATGGAATATCCCCAAGAGATGGATATGGACCATTGACGCTTGCGGTCATGACAATGAATCTGCTGGAGTATTCGATGTGGGTCTAAGTTATAAGGTTTCATGAGGGTTTGTAACGACTCGATCGGGTTTTTGTTAGGGAACATTGGGTCTAAGTAAACGAGGTGATGCAGCGATACGAGCGGTGCCAATGGATGCGCCGCTAGAAACCCGAATGGATCTCCTCTTATGTCAAGCTGCAATATATTTTTCATCACACAACACAACAAAAGAATGGTGTCAGTCCAACAGACAAAAACACCGAATAGATATTATGAATCTATATAATATAACAGAAGATTAATTTTTTTTCTCCCGAATATTGAAAGTTCCCTTGAGACACTACACGTGATCTAATAATAATGACACGCACATACATACAATTAAAGAATAAACATAAATATCTAAGAAACATAGATATGATGTTAGATTAGAACAGCAAGCTGTTCAGTTAAAAGCTTTGTATCCTAACATGACAGAATCACGTGCTCCAGCCATAAATTAAACCCAAGAAAAAGAATTTTCTGCTACACTCATGAACCACAGTAATCACTTCGTAAGATACAAAATTTAATAATTAGGGAAAATAAAAAACGGTCGGTGAGCATTCATCTCATATTCTCATGCAATGAAACTAGCTAGCAGTACTAAACCTGAAACTGTCGCTTCGATTTGATAAATTAATTAACGTCAAAATTCAGAGGAAAGGATACTAATGTCTCTACAGTAACAGTGACAACATCTTCCTTTCTTTGGTCAACAATTGTGTGACTCATTCAATAAATCAAATCCTTAATGCCCTTTTTTTAAGCACTACGCTAATAAGTGATTATTATTCTTGACCCCTTTAATTCTAAATTAATATAAGAAAATCCACGTGGCAAGAATCCACTCAAAATCGTCAAGCAATTCAGCATCTAAAATTCTAAACCCTTTTCAATTTGTCGGGGTTCCAGAAAACGAAATCAAAACTATTTTTCGACACGTGTAGACACAAACAACCAGTCGAAAAAGCTGACACGTGCGTAACAGAACGTACCTGGTGAAAACCGCGTTCTTCGGTGAACGGAACGCCGATCTCGCAAACGCAAGCCGCGATTCTCTGATCCGAACCGTAAAAGTAGAAATACCGTTGGAGACAACCGTCCATCCCGGCGGCCAAACGCATCGCCAAAGGACGACTGATGGCGAAACCGCCACCGCCAAACGCCATATCGTAGGCGTGCATCACGTCCTGCTCGACGCTCTCAGAGTTACCGCCGATATACCACATCTGCTCGTGGTCGTACTTGGAGAGAACCTTGACGAGATTATCGGTGAAGAAGACGGTGTCGTCATCTCCCATCACGAACCACCGCACATCGGGGAGATTTAGCCGGTAGCTATCCCAGATAATCCGAGCGATCCGAACGGCGGCTCGTGAGCTGGAGAATCTGAATCGAGTCCAGCCTGGATCGGAAACTCGAATCGGGATCGAGAATCGGGAATCGGAGTGGTTTTTGGGGAATCTCACCGGTTTATCGAGCCAGACGAATCCACGGGTGGAATTACGCCACCACAAGGAGGTGTAACGGCTCCGATCGAGCCAGGTGTCGGCGGCTCCGGCGATACAGAACTGGATGTGGGAGATATTGATGGGCCCGACGGATCCGGTGGGCGGGAGAGCTAAGGCTTTCTGAGGCACGGCGGGGAAATGGAGACCATAGGAGGAATAGTCCGGTGGGGAGGAGGATAGAAAAGTGGCGCGAAGAACCAGAGAGACGGAGACGATGAGGCACGTGAGGACGGAGAAGCGAGTGAAGAGCACGAGGTAATCACGTGGCCGCTCCGGCATGAAGAAGAAACTGGAAAACTTTAGGGCCTCGTGGTGGTTGCCGTGCTCTCCGCCGCCGCGATTCGTTTTCATATTTTATTTTATTTTATTTTGGCGTGTGTGTGGGGGGGGAAGGAGAGAAGAGAACACCGTGAAATTCACTCCGCCGTGTGGGAGTGGATCTTAATCATCACCGGAGACGGTTTATTTTACCGAATTTACCCTTCTGCCTACGCCGTGGGAATGGAGTTTTCTGTTCAAAAATTACGGAGTTACCCCCGACGGTGGCTGGGATTATTTTTTATTTTTATTTTTTTTTTTTTTTTAGTAAGGTATTTTTGTGTTACCCTCTTTTGGAGTGACAAACTCTGGGATAAACACATAAATGGAAGACGGAGAAGTAGAAGACGGGGTAGAGGTAGACACGTGAATGAAACACACAAATGACGGAGATAACCTCAGTCAACGACGAGAGGACTTTCTAATATTTGTTAATAGATCGTATATCAAGTTTCAAACTATATAGTAGAGCGCATATAATTTCAAAATGTTAAGGGGGTTCCTTCTTTATTCTATCAAAGGGATGAATAAAATGTGTTTTGTGCTCAAGGATATACATATTAAGGTAAGGTGCATCCAGTAAAAATTTGATAATTAATGTAATTTTTTAAGCGTTATTAAATTTACTATTGCACCCATAAGAAAGATTGTTTTTGCCTCCATTCTTTTTTAAACCTAAATCCCACTTAATAATCAAAATGTTGTTTCGAACTTTTTAATACTCCTTTTGTTCATAATTATTTGATGTTTTAGAAGGTTTTTTTTGTTCAGAATTATTTGATGTTCTCACTTTTCAATACAAAATTTAATAAATTTTTATAGTTTTTGACCTTTTATATTCTGCAGATTGTCTTTTTATTGGCTGAATGATATTTAAATGAATTATAAATAATATTTTTAGTATAGGGAAAATAAAAATTAAATGAATCCTTAAACTGTGTGCAAAACCTTAAACATCAAATAATTCTGAACAGAGGGAGTACTCTAACTAAAGTCAAATATGTTGAAAACATAACTGATTTATCTAAATAAATGCTTCTTTCTGTTTTTCATCAAACCTTTTCTAGCTTTGTTTAACGGTTTAAAACGGTTCTTTCTATATATTTTAGAGTAAATAAAAAAAAAAAATTAGAGAAAAAGTAGGAGATGTTTTAGAAAGAACGATGTTTGGACTTTTAATCGGCATGGAACACGTATTTTTGGAGCTTATATATCCTCAACAAACTATACAATATAACTAACCTCACAATTTGTTTTTCCCTTTGGTTATTTATAGCTGAAAAACAATATAAAATGTTAACATTGCATGAAGCATCCCAACCTTGATGACTTTGAGGATCAATTAAGATGCATGTCGTCGATGACCACGTTGTGAATTGTCCTAACTGAGTTCCTAAATGGAGAAACTAGTTTGTTTTCTGTTTACGTACAAATTATATTGTATATTTACATAGATTCTGTTACAAGGACGCTCCACTAGGCTGGGTTTTTTGGTTTGTGCCGGTGCAAGAGATAAATGATAAAGAGTTAGAGACGGGCCTTCTACGATCAAGCAACAAATATCATCAATCACGGATCTGCTATGTCTGGCCCGTCCTCTAAGCATATTTAGAACGCATTACGATATAGTTGAGATTCAGTTGGTCTTCCGTCTACCACTAGCCTTGAATATACAACAAACAAAACAAAAAAAATAGAATGCAAACAATCAATTCTAGGGATCGATCGGCTGAAGGAGCTCCACATATATAATTCTTTTCGAAATTGAACTACTTTCTTTTCAATTCTAGTTTACATTTATCCTATATTTCTATAGACAAAACTCCAACTTTTTAGTGGGCTAAAGCCACCGGGCTTTGTTCTATGATTGAATTAGTTGATCAAAAAAGAAAGAAATAACAATCAAAAGTTAGAGCAGCCATTAAAATGGTTTGAAAGTCTTATTGTGGGAGTATGTTTCAAAATAACACACTCGATTATACTAGTTTAATCGATTAGAATAAGAATTTATGTTGTTGATATCTGAATTTTTTTTATATCAAAATACGATGTTTACTAAAATCTATAATCTAAGTGATAGTTTTCCTTATATATACGGAAATAAACTATATTATACTTGCAAATGGATATAGTGCATAGTGGGATAAGTGTGAGGCGGATGGAATAGAATCAAAAGTCATGAAGATTGGATATCATTTTGCCCACAAATCTAAACCCAAGAAAATAAATGTTTAATTTATATAATTTCCAAACTGCTAAGAAATATTATTTTGTCAGCAATAATAAAGTTGCGTTTCTGTTTTTTTCTGAATCCATTAAGTTAGTGCTGCTTTGCAACCCATTTTCTGTCTTAAAGACCAAAGAAGGGTAAAACATAAAAACAGATCAAAGAAAGAATATATTGGATGAAACAAATAAAATAAAAGTATTTGCTTAATAAATCATTGGGAACCAAAAAAACAAAAGAAAAAACACACCCAATATCAAGAGTCCTATGAACCAAATTTTCGGGCCTTTTTGGGCCATTTAATGAGCTTTAATAGAGGCCTCTCTACGAATTTAGTTTCCTAGTCTACTTAATTCAGTTAGTTTTTCTTGGTCTTTCGCTCCCATTGTCTGTCGATTTCCCCCGGATACTACCACTACTCTTTGCCCATCGACTCATTCACTCTTTTGAAGTTTGATACTTTCTTCAAGGACAAATGTGCTAAATTCATGTCAACAAACTAAAAAACTCCAAATCGAACTCCCGACTTCGTCTAGAAGCATAGTCAACAATCATGTTCATATCTTAACGTCTATATATAGGTTGGTGCATATTCGCAATTGCTCTAATTGTTGCGCAAAAAGGTTGATTTTTTTACAGAACAAACATACTATAGCATGCGATTGGGCAAAAATGAAAACATCAAGGAAGTAGCGACAATATCTAGATTCTCTAAGGCTTTAGTTTGACTTATCACTTTTTTTTTACTCTAGTTTTTGCATTTATGAAACTCTAAGAAGTAGAAACTTGGAATACTACTTCAATGACATCGTTTACGGAACCGGTAACCTTCTTATAACCCATATTGATTACTATCATATATCCGCACATATTAAATAATGACATGGTTTTTGTCACTTTGCTTGATCAAGTTGTGGGAAAAATGTTATTGACATATATAGCATTTGGTCATGGTAAGTGTTGAGGATCGTAATTCGTAAACATGATAACATGACGACTCCGACTGCATCTTCATATATCAGAATCAGTCTTGAAGCCAATTAGCCAAACGAAGTAAGTTTAGAGTTGAAGCTAAACAATATATATCTAGATATGTTGCGGACCTTGCGGTTCATATTCTTAAAAAAAAATTGTACGGAGAGGCGGTATGACAATAAGTAAGAATTTCTTCGTAAGCTCTTCATACCTTTCTTAAGGTTTGAAGTTAGTTGCGTGAAGTCTTGTAACGATTTGTTGTGGTTTACGTTCGTTTCTGTCTTTTCTTCCTCAACGTTTATTTCGTTCAATTAGATTGATTATTAGAGATCTTCTTTATGTGAGTGAAGTCGTAGAACACTTATGGCCGTAAACAAAAACACTTATAAGTGGTTTTGCTACATTATGTAGATCCGCATGATTAATCATAGTAGAATCTACAGTGAATGTGGTAGGTCCCACCGTCCCAGGTTCTGAAGTTTAATTACGAAAAAAGGAGAGAATAATACTAGAAAATTGTTGAAGATTAAAAATATATCGTATGCTTGCATGTTTGGGAAATTGTCATGGTGCATGCCGATTCCACGGCGATGTATACTATATATTATTTGTACACAGATGTCAAAAAGTAGACGCAATTAAATAGTTAACAGTTTTGTTTATTTATTTAGTATATCTTCAAAGAATCAAAATATATACTTTAGTAATTTTCGATAGATACATGCCGAGAAAATTTGGATTCCAGACTAATTTATATTGAGGCTTATAAACAATCAAAATTTAGTTAAACATTATAATAGAGGTTAAAGATCCATCTTATGAAGCATCATCATATTAAAAAGAAGTTTCCTAGACAACTAATTAAGGTTACGTGTCCAAAATAGTACAAATAGTTTAATCTCTTAATTCAAATAGTTTTAATGTAATCAACCTAACTGACTAACTCTTATTATTAGATTAATACTCCCTTTGTTTTACAAAGAATGTCGACACTTTTTTTTGTTTTTAAAAAAATGTCGTTTTAGAATTTCAATGTAATTTTTAACATAAAATACTATTTTTAACTTCAATAAATTCAGAAAATTAATTATAAATATGATTTCAAGAGTTATTTTCTGCAAATTAATAAGGATATAAGAGATATTTTATCTTATTTCTTAATTTGTGTGAAAAATGTTAAAACGACACGGAAGGAAAACGGAAAGCCAAGAGTTATTCAAACCAGCGAAAAAAAAACATGCAAACGTGTCGAGCGAGACCGGTCGAAAATGTCGATGTGTTAGGTTCGTTCCGGTGATCTCTTCATTACAGGTTTGGCCACACGCTTTCTTTTGACCGTCACGTGGCGGTAGTGGTAGGTCTATTTCGTTACAGCTATATTATGCAATGTGTCATAGCATTAGTGGTTTGTTGTGCTTTCTCGCTGTCCCAAGCTTGGTGAAATTAGAAACTGTCTACCTTTATACCAAAGAGGACGTGTGTAAACATCCTGTGGCTTTGTCAAGAAAAATATCAAGGGGGGCAAAATTTAATATTCTATTGTCGTGCTCTTATGGAATCTATAAAAAGAGAGATTTGTTTTCAATATTTGCATAGTGGCTACCATATTTATAGGACGTTATTTATTAATGTTCCAGATTCCCAATGAATAACTTCATCATCATATGATAGTTTTGATAATGAATAACTTCATCATCATATGATAGTTTGATGATTGATATTCAAGAAATTCTGTTCACTTTGTTCACTTTTAAACATCTCTCCTTGAAATATATGTTTTTTGTGAAAAAATATTGTGTAAAATAAAAATAAATTGATGTGCATTTTTTATGAGAACGAACCGTCCATCGAAGAGATTCGAATTGGAATAATTTCAGAAATTGAGGGTATAATTATAAGATTCAAAACACGAGGGCTGTGATCGATGATTTAGAAACAGTGTGAGGACTTAAAGGACAAATAAAGAAAAACAACAGAGAAAAGTATGTATGTGCGTGTAATTGATGGAAACGTGGATAAGCGCCGAATTTCGAGTCATGGAGAAGTCACCGAGGAAGCATCTCACAGTATCCACGTCAGACTAAACACGTGTCGTTCAGACGTCGTCTCGGAGGCTACAAAAAAAAAAAAACAAGATACTTTTGGCAGGAGTCAGTTTCAGACTCTTGAGACTGAGCGGGTCCCAGCGAGAAAGGCGCGTGATTCACACTCTCTCACGGGCTTACGTAAACGCATTCAGTTTTCATTACAGCTGGATTGCGAGGGAGTTAGTGTGGTGCAGATGCAGAAAATAATTCAAAAATAAAAATTTAATGACATGTTCTCTTCTACGCGCGCTTTCGGCTCGTGTGTCACTTTTTTTTTGTTTTTTTCAATTGTTTTGGATATATATTTGTATGTTTTGTTTTTCCATGACTTCTGTGTGATCAAGAACAGAGAACTGATTGAAAATATTAACGTATTTGACACTGATAATCACTACATATGTTTATTATTATTTTTTAATGTCTTCACGTGGAAAGAAAATTACAATTTGTTGGTTCGTTTAGCAAAGCATTGTATTCACGTATGTTCCAACAATTAAAAATGTGATTTGTTAAGTGAGACTCTACTGCGTGTTTGTCAATCAAATTTTATGATATCTGTATTTTAGTTTAGTACTGTTTATGATTAATATATTATGTAAATCGATATAAGAGTTTTGGGATTTTGGCTTACATAATATTCCGAGGCTGCAGATTACAACATTTTAAATTAGTTACTGTTTCACTACCAAAAGTAGAAATTAAGAAACTTTCTTTCTAGCAATTCCCAAACAAATCATCGATCAATATCATCTGAAGTAATAGCTAGCTAGGTACATATTTGTTAATCACATAAATAAAAATCAAACAGAAATTGATAGCAATGGACGGATTTTATAAATTACTATTTTTCCTGACAAAAGAGAGATATTTTGTATAGTATACTAATATATGCATAGTTATGTACTCATGGTTAATTGGTTTTTTCGTAACAATAATATGACGACGAATTTTTTTATAGACGTGGTCTATAGACCTCTTCGTGAACGGTGAATCGGTTATGCGAGTGGAAACTAAGCACAAAACGGTGGATCGGTTATGCGAGTGGAAACTAAGCACAAGTGGGAGACGAACCTTACTACGTGTCAATGATCTAACACTCACATCGACTAAGCATAGGTAGAAATCTAGAAATCATAAACGAATTATAAAAAACAAACAATCAAACAATACAAAATCAAAATATCTATAAAAAAAATCTCAAGTAAACATTAAAACCAAATATAGGTGTGTATATACATACATATATATCTCAAGCATTTTCTTTGTCAACAATATCTGAAGCACATATAGAAGCATATATTCTGAAATATTCATTTTTGGTCTTAAATAAATATATGATTAGATTTGCATGGACAATGCGTGGAATGGGATAAAATACATGTAGTCAAACGATTCTCAAGTTTATATATATAATTTTTGGATTTGACATATCGTATATTTATTCCCGATTTTTTTGTTCATATATCTATTTCCGAGTTTAAAACCAACAATTGTGAATCTGTAAATGCCTGTATTAGATTTTTAGATGGACAAGAAGAGGTAACTCGTTTTATTCGAATTTTGCATATACATCATTATTTTCAATTTACATTGATTTACACGCGTTTAACACTTTTAGGCATAAAATAACTATTCTTTTATTCTTTACACATTTTAGATTGCATTTGTGAAGTGTGAGAACAAATGACATCTCCGTTGTCCGAATTTTTTTGGATCTTACTTGTTTATTTATAGAGTCAATTATATGTTTTGAGTAGCTGCCTATATCATTATGTTTATTAAGGTATTATCAGATGTTTATGGTACGTGGACATGTAATGGAAAGATCAAAGGAGAGTTTCTTTAGTATAATTCGGGTCTCTTCAATATTAAAATGTTAATATTTAGATAATAAAATATTAGAAATGAATTTGTTTATAATTAATTGGCTATCCACGTTTTGTTTAAGTCATATAAATTCTGATAAGTAAATTTTATGGTTAGTAAGTAACTGCTAAAAAAATTTGATGATATACATAAGATAATGTCATAATTCCACGATCAGATAAATCTAATAATCTAAGGAATAATGTGATCTCATAGTACATATCATATATTCTATACGGCTGAAGAGTTATTACATTCATCTCAAAAGTGATTAGTGATTATTGGTTCAACTTTATTTTATGAAAAAAAGTTGACATAAAATTAAAAACCAGTATTTTAGAAGAAGATTGTCTCTCTTCCATTATTTTTGACCTCTGACTCTAATTATTTAATTAACAGCATATTTTTCTGTCTTTAATAATGAAATAAATAAATATAAAACAATTCAACATACGAAAAGAAAAGAACAAAACGAAGGGGTGGACCACATGCGTGTCAAGAAAGGCCGGTCGTTACCGTTAAGCCGTGTCGATCTCTGATTGGGCCACGTTAACGGCGTATAAAAAAAAAAACTGAACACGTGTATAAATCGCGAAGAGAAGGAAAAGAGAAACGGACGGCAGAGATTGTATCTAGGTACCAGGAAATGGAACGTCACACCAGACGGTACGTGTCGGATGCTGCCCGTTGATGGTGACGGTCAGCAACTCTTTAGCTTCCCATTCATGCCCCCGCCTGCCCGTAAATTACGTGTAACCCTTCCATGCGAAAACTCTTTTTTTTTTTTTTTTTTTCTTCACCTTTTCTTTTTAAATCAAACCTTTTCTTTTAAAAATCACATTGCATTTCCTAACGCTCAATATTTCTCTTGTAATATCTCTCTCTCTCTCTCTTTCTCCATCTCAGTGATTGCAGACTCAAATCCGAGATTTCATAGGAATTGTTTGTTTCGTTTTGATTTTGATCTTAAATTGGAGGATTTGGAGTTTTTGTTCAAAATGGCTGGGATTTGCTGCGGTGTAGTTGGGGAGAGTGAATCGGCGGCACCGGTGGATTCGACTACTCGGACTTCTCTGAGACGGAGGTTAGATCTACTTCCGTCGATCAAGATTGTCGCCAACTCCGCCGTTGCTCCTCCGCTGGAGAGCTGCCGTAAGCGGCAAAAACGTGAGACAGCACTGGCTCCGGGAAACATAGATCTGGCATCGAATGTGAGTAGCCTTCATAGGAAGGTGGGGAAGGCGGGATCAACGGTTACGAATCCGGTTAAGAATTCAAATTTGATTTCCAGTCCGGCGACGGAAGCAGAGAGCTGTTTCTTTTCCGACGTGCCTAGGATCGGTACGACGTCGGTTTGTGGTAGGAGAAGAGACATGGAAGACGCCGTGTCGATTCATCCTTCATTACTTCAAAAAAACTCCGAGAATCTCCATTTCTACGGCGTGTTTGACGGCCATGGCTGCTCTCATGTACGTTGCATCTCCTTAATCTCCCCTCAAATTTCATGATATATTCTGCGTAATTACTTACTAAATTTTTGTTGGATGATTAATTTAGGTTGCGGAGAAGTGCAGAGAGAGGTTGCATGAGATAGTGAAGCAGGAGGCTGAAGCTATGGCCGCCGGTGAATGGAAGGAAACGATGGTAAAGAGCTTCCAGAAAATGGACAAAGAAGTTAGCCACCGAGACTGCAAAGCAGTAGCTGCTCCTAATGGTGCAAGTCGGAGCGTGAAAAGCTCCTGCAGATGCGAATTGCAATCTCCTCAGTGCGACGCCGTCGGATCCACCGCGGTTGTCTCCGTTGTCACGCCGGAGAAGATCATCGTCTCCAACTGTGGCGACTCTCGCGCCGTGCTCTGCCGTAACGGCGTAGCCATCCCTCTCTCTTCAGATCACAAGGTATATATTTTAAATAATTTAACCGTATTTTTGTAAATGAATTTTAGAATCGCATGTTTTCGGATTTGCTAAGGAGTTTTGTTGTTATGTCAATGAACAGCCGGATCGACCCGATGAATTGAATCGGATCCAGCAAGCGGGCGGGCGAGTCATCTACTGGGACGGAGCTAGGGTTCTTGGAGTTCTCGCCATGTCCAGAGCAATTGGTGAGTACTTATATATGTTATTGAATTATTGAGCTATTTAATTACATATGTGTGGAATTGAATCTGATAAGTTTTGGTATCAACAGGCGATAATTACTTGAAACCATATGTGATCCCGGATCCGGAGGTAACAGTGACGGATCGAACAGAGGAGGACGAGTGCTTGATCCTGGCGAGTGATGGACTGTGGGACGTTGTGCCGAACGAGACGGCTTGCGGCGTGGCTCGCATGTGCCTTCAAGGTGCTGCGGCGGCGGAAGGAGGAGACGACTCTGATTCGGCGCACAACGCGTGCTCCGATGCGGCGTTGCTCTTGACGAAGTTGGCTCTGGCTAGACAGAGCTCCGATAACGTGAGCGTCGTCGTGGTTGACTTGAAAAAAAGGAGGAATATTCGGGTGTCTTAATTAGCGTTTTAATTACTACTAGTATTAGAGAAAATTGTTACATAGCTAATTGTAATTTTTCCTTGATTTTTTTTTCTACTTTGGTTTTTCTCTTGTTTTAAGTTTTTTTTTTAAGCTGCTCTTAATTCAGGCTAGGGAAGAAAAAGAGCTGATTAAAGAGTTACGTATTCTCTCTTATTTTTCCATATTATTTTTTAGGCAATATTATATATACGTGTATTTTTTTCTTTCTTTCTCGAGTTGGTAAGTAGAAATGTAAACAAGATTAATCAAGAAGAAGATTAAAACCTCTTTGTTTCTGCTTAAGCTTAAAATGCATGTTGTTGAACAGACCAAAAAAGAAGAAGTTTAAAACAGATGTTGACAAGATCGAGTAAAAGAGCAGATAAATCAATTTGCACCGGTTCTTTTACTGCATGGTTCTTGTTATTGATTTAAATCCAAACCGGATTGGTACGAGCAAAACTATACGCAACCATGTGATTTTATTGGTAATGGCTGGCGTGACGTAGCATATCGTGTGTCGGTTTAGCACGTTCGAATTTTGTTAATGTAATTAAATATCGAGTAATGTTGACGATGATACATTCGTAGAAACACAGAGAAATCGATTAGTTGGAACGTTTCAAGGATCTTTTGGTAATGTTGATTCTTGAGTGTGAAGTACTTTTGTGGACGATTACATTTAAAATTTTCTATTTTGAGAGGAGACTCAGCTCGATAAGACACAAAGTTATGATTTAATATATATATATATATATACTTTATAAAAATTTAATGTAAGGTTATTGAGAGAATTGTCTGCCAACATTGTCGAATGCTTAATGTCAGTTAATGTCGGAATCAATCATTAATTAAAAGGAATTGGATTTATTGACTAATTAATATCAACTAGGAAGGAAAGGAAAGAAAAAGAAAATGGATTCCCCAAATTTTTTATTTTTATGTGGATTAACTATATATCAACTTGAACATAGATATTATTATTATTTCAACTATGAACCGTCCATTACTTGCCACTTGCCAGTTGCCGCAATGACTAACCAAATCTTACCTGTTCAAAATCATGTTGTATAACCCTCTATTTTTTTCATCTAAGATATGATTTTACTATTACTGAACAGTTAGTATTACGTTAGAGCCGATGGACTAAAGTAACTGTTTTTTAACCAATGCCACACCAAAGACAACCGGAAACTATAAAAACCATTAAAACCACGCAAAATCACACAAAAATTAACTGAGGTAAGAAAACAACCTAGGAAAAACTTTGTAGATAATTTTTTAAAAAGAAGCAAATTGCCAAATTTGTGGCATATACTCAGGAAAACACCAAACTCACTTAACGAATTCGGAGGCCACATGTGCACAACTTCCAAGTCTAAAAAATACAGTCGGAAATTGGAACTTTGCTGTACAACCCTGCACAATAAGGTTTTGAAACCATCTAAAGAGTGATCATTCGATAAACTTTTTTTTTTTTACAAAATCACCACCATCGTGTGGTAGTTTCAGGCGTTTAGATATTGTAATTTTAGAATATAACACGAAATAACTATAGTGCTATAATTATTCTAAAACAAGTTATGAGGTTTTAATTGAATACATTGTTGCACACCAGAAACAAAACAGCTCAATTAAAGCGACAATTTCACAATCTAAAAACAAAAGTTACAATATTTTTAATAATTAAAAATTATTATCGTGATACTCGAAGCTCTTGGATTAAACCTAACATGAGTGAGTTTATCTAGATCAACTCTTAAAGTTGAAAAAAGAAGATTACTCTATAATCCTATACGGCAAAATTGGTCTTTGGATATTTCAGCATCAAAGATAAGGACACAGCCAAAAATTATTAGATTGCAACAGCATAATGTTGTATATTGCACAATGATGGGTTAGCTGTTGCCTGTTGGGTTCGTGGAAAGAGCGAGAGGGCAATACAATCAGAGTAGGAATTTGAGAGGGACACTACACAAGTGGGATCTAAGATAAGATTATGCCTACTTGTGACAATCAAACAACGACACGTGTCTATTTGGTCTATGTGAGATTTGGTTTCGAAGATTTGATGTTGACCTCTCTTTCTCAATTATTCTTTCCCTTTTTTCTCTATATCAATGATGTTGTCTCATCTTGTGTCTTATTAAATCTTAACTTCATGTTCATTAGTTTTCTACTTTATAGTATTGGAGAGGGCTACACAATACAGGGCGAGTTCCCTGTAATCCATTAAAAATGCTAACCACTTTTTGACCAAAAAAAAAATTAAATCTAACCGCGAGTTCGGTGTGGATATATGAAACTCTTTTCCTACAATTTGGGTGACTTGCATACCATATTATTCAACTGTCACTGAAACACGTGAACCTTGGTTTAAGCCGAGGAAAAGGGTTGATAACCTCATGAATATCTTTGATATTGAAATATGTTTAGGGGGGTTATTGGGAATTAGATTTATGAAGATTTTAGTTGATTTTAAAAATCATGAGATTTGTCAAATTTTTAATAGTTTTGTTGGATTTATAAAATTTAGAGAGAGTTCTATGGATTTAAACAATCTATTAATAATTTTTTAATATGACAGATTTTGAGAATCTAAGGAATATAGGTAGTATTTTGAGAATCATGATTTATGAATTAAATTATAAAGAATCATTATGCCAATAACACTAGATTATAACAGAATCATAGAATCATTAAAATGCAGACTTTTTGAATAACAATGGATTTTTATTAGATTATAAAAATCATCATATCAATAACAACTGATTTTTATAATCTCTAAATGAATAACAGAGGAATCTATTAAGAATGTAAAAATCCACAAACCAATAACTATAGAAGCTTAAACTCTAAAAATCTTTATAAATCAACTCTCCAATAACACCCCCTTAGTTTTAAATTATGTAAATACATATTCTTTTTATATGTCAATGATAAAAAGAGATCTTAAAATAGAAATATGGAAATTTACATTTTTTTTTAATGAATTTTAATAGTTTATGCAATTATGTATGCATCTTTCGTTCTACTTTCTCCTTTTATGTTCAATCACGTGGTAACTAGATCATCTGCCACTACAAATTTGTATGCCTTGTTCTATTACCCTCTAGTAAAATACCACAATACTGAATCATCGATGGAAAAGGGGGAAGAAGAAAGACAACAACCAACTTATATATAATCTTGTTATCAAGTAATTTGATATTTGGACCTTTTATCATTTATAGGGAAAAATATTTTAAGTTGATAAAAGTGTCAAAAATACAAAATATAACCAAAGATTCCGAAAAATTAGGAGAAAAAGAAGTGTTGCCAGTCCGTTAAATTAAAGCAATATGATAAAGTAAAGGAACAAAAAAAAAAAAAACACACACACAGCTTAGGCTCCTAAGCACTTTTTGAACTTAACGACTCCTGAGCTTCTGCCCGAAGCCCGGCTCTGCTCAGACATTTCTAGGTGGGTCTTGGAGTGGCCCACTCAACCCTGAGGATGAGGTTATCATAACCATAGCCATTCAATTTGTTGATTGCCCGTTGAGCATCTTCTCTGCTCACGAAATTGACGAAACCAAAACCTCTGCTCATGCTAGTTTTCTGATCAATCGCCACATAGACACGCGTGACCGCTCCAAACGGATGGAACAGCTCCATCAAGTCTGCCTCACGGGTATCTTCAGACAAGTTAGTTACACGCACAGAGTTCTCATCGTTTCTCCTCCTCATGTCTGAACCAGTAGCGTTTCTGTCTGCACCTGCTCTCATGCTAGGCGGGACATAAGCGGCCTTGCCAGTTCCAGGAGCAGTGGATGTGGTCGATGCTTCCCCTGTAGGTGGCTTGTCGATGAAAACATCGGCTGGTACAGCTAGATCCTTGTAAGGGCATTTTGATGTCCAGTGATCACCTTTCTTGTGGCATGTCCTGCACACCATGAGGACTGCACCACCTTTACCCAGCTGAGACAAGCTGTCTCCTGCTGCCTTTGATTCATCTGCTTTGGTACCTGAAATATCACAAACCCTTTAGATCCTGGAGCACCAGAGAAACGATAGTGTAAACATTTCAATACTTATGGTACAAACAGAGGATTTTGTGCTAAACAGTAACACATAAGCCAAAGCAGCACATAACATGGAAGACTATGTAATCCAACGGCCAACGTGTTATTAACTATGAAATGAACCGGTTTACATAAGCACACACAGCAACCAGTTGAAGCCACAAAACTAAGCATCATATTTGATGGGCTATAAGTATACAGTAGGAGACTGATCAAGAAAGGCCTACTAAGTCATATAGTCTTGGATTACGTAACAAGACATGTTTTTAGTTCATTTTTTTCATATAAATCACGACAATGAATTAGATTCGGACCCAAGTAAGAAGAGATTACAGACAACATGTTTAGCAGCCAAATAGCAGAAGGAGATCAAATGTTACCAAACCAATTGGATCAAAAGTGCACAAACTTCTAATTTACCAATCTTTTTTTGGCAATAACCCAACACAAAACACTCAAGAATGATTGCAGAAAACCTAAAATCATAACCGAGTATTTCGTAATCCAAAATCAATACCCATGATATAAGATTCCCAACAATGCTCAGTATCCAATAAGAAAGCATAAAACGCAACGAATCTAAACAAACAAAAAGTTAGCAGAAACATTAGAGAAAGAGAAGATTACCAGGAGCCCTGGGTCGTTCCATAAGAATCTCTTCGGTTGAAACCATGGTGAGACGGCTACCGGTGTCCTCATTTGCCGCGTCTCCGAACTTGGGCCAGCTCCTCCGCTCCATGGCCCGTTTGTTAAGCCGCGCGGAAGCTAGCTTCCGGACACGTGTCCTGGTGGTGGTCTTGACCTTGTTGCCCTCATCGTTGAACTTGTATTCGATCACCGTCTTCACACCATTCTCGTCTGGGCCAATCACCTGCCTCGGAGGGAGAAGGAAATCGAGATCGTCGTCTTCGTCCATCTCCCCCCATCGGAACTTGCTCGTTTTCTGCTGCGAATCGATCGTCATCTTCTCGTTTGGAATTTCAGATGCGCCGCTTATTGCCTCGATTGTAATCTAAAAACTGGTGGAGAAATTCCCTTAGGGCTTTCGTATCTTATGTGTGTGCTATCCTCCTATTAACCCGAAACGCACCGTTTCTAAAAATGTAAATTCATATTTAGGAAAATGATATAAAATGTTATTTTGTTGAGCGAAAAAAAAAAGTTATGTTTCCGAGCATCTTCACGAATTTTGGGCTTTTTCTTCTAAAAAGCTCAGCAATGTGCCGTTCTTTGAAGAAAACTCTCGCTCAAGAACTATTTCAAGATTAATAGATGGATTAAATAATTATTTAGGCATTTATGATACAGTGTTACCCTAATTTCTATTCTATTATTTAATTACTTTATTATTTAGTTGCTAATGTCAACAAAACTCACAATTTTTACTCTATTAAGAAATTAAAAGTTAGCAATTAATCAAGATCCTTCAAAATTTATTAGAAAATGTAGATCCGTAGACCAAATGTTTCTTTACTATACAAATAGGCACGGCCATGAGGGAAAGGAATTGGAATTCATGCCCCGCTTGGTTTTGCTGCTTAAGTTTCAAGCTTTTTCTTTGACTTAAAGCTCGCTGTAGTTACGCCAGACAGCCCGGAACTCCTCACGGAATGTGTTCAAGCGTGCCTTGAGGTTTGGAGTTCTCATGCTTGCGTGAAGAATGATCACTATGGAGATTGGAGAGAGAAGCAAATCTCAAAGTTAAAAGAGGTTTAAAACCGGACAAACAACAGAACAAAAAAAAAATAAGAGAAAAATCATTGGAAGTGAGTAATAACTTACGGAGAAGGGCAGTGGCAAGTGCGTAGAGGACCCATAACAAACCGCAGGAAGTAAACCACAAGACAAAGCTGGCTACATAATGGAAATCAATTACTTTGCATCAGTTTGCATATTAAGAGGTTTTGGAGGGTTTTATAATGACTTAAGAAGAGATGTTAGAGTATTATTATTAAGTTACCGGTTAAGCCAAGCAAGACGAATACCAAACGTGGTTGGCCACAAACGTAAACCGTCTTTCTAGCTGCAGATCGTCCACGAATGACAGGCCTGAAAGGTGTTCACAAGAGATAAAATCTAAACAAAAACCATATGTAGTAAATCTTCCATGGAAATCAGAAAAAAAAAAAAAACAAAAAGAGAACTCACATGTGGGGAGGCCTCATCTTTGCAGCTAAATGTGGCGAGAAATGCCTAATGGTCCGGATCATCTTCTCGTTAAAAGTAGCTGCAAAACTGCAAAAGACACACAGATCCTACAAATCAAAATGGGTCAAGCAAATAAAAAAAGACGACCAAATCACTGAAAATAGAGAAACTTGCAACACTTGAAGTTTAAGAACCAACGCCATAACCTATTGAATCCAATACTAAGCACAGCCATCTGAAGGGCTAATCACTCAATAATATAGAGAACCGCTTGCTAAACTATTCAATAGATGCAAACTCAACACCAACCGGAGCAACAGATGCGTTTCTAAGCAATGATATATAACGAGAAATCACAGGAAAATTTACCTGTCGTTTAGGAAAGCTATGCTTAAGGCTGTAAGAGCAGCACCAAGAATGGCGAGAGGTTGAGTGATAAGTGCAAGACCTGAGTCCACACCAACAAGAGAAAAAAAAAAAGTTATTGATTGCTTAACACAGCTCAAAGCGGATCTTAAATCAAAACCCAGATTTCTCATTCAGAGCTATTAAAAAAAAAAAAAGAACAAAGAAATTCGGCCAAGCCTTTGGCATACCCAGGACGAAAATCAAGAGGATGAAGTAATTCGTCCTATAGCTGCAACATCACGAAACCAGTAAAAACGAGAAAGATGGAATCAAAATCAACACCTCCGAATTGCAAACACGAATACGGATGTAGAAAGAGAGAGAGAGAGAAAAGGGGGGGGGGGTAAATACTAGTAGAGATTGCATTTGAGACGGCTCATCCATTTAGAGAAAGAGCGAGGGAAGGCGAATCTGGAGAAGAACTCGGCCATGGAACGAGGACGCGTCGACCATTCAACCTCTCTTAGCGCCTCAATCACATCCTCAGCAGCCACGCTTTCCCAATCCATCTCTCTTTCAGAATAAAACTATGGCCACGAATATAATCTGGTTCGAAGGCGAAGAAGAAGATGAAATACAGGGATTCCAATTTTCTCGAGTTATTCTGGGGATTTCGATTCGCGGATGTTTGGTTCTCAGGTTTTGTGTTTGTTTTTTCCCTGTGGGTCAGGAAAAGTGAACTTCTTGTAGTATACAGACACACACGTGTGCCCCGCCGCGTGCGAAATGAACATGACAGTATCGTACTGGACAAAAATTAGGCAAACGTAGCAAAACAATTGTCTGAGCCCGGGTTCGAACCGGGGACCTCTAGTGTGTGAGACTAGCGTGATAACCGACTACACCACCCAGACGGTTTGATAACTTTTCAAGTTAGTAATATCTATACTAGTCTAGGTTGACTTAAAAGATGTTTTATTTGTGAGTGGTGTACTGAGATTAGTCAGGAGATGAGGCAAGAATGATATTCACATCCGGTGTGAGGAGTGTATTCTCTCGATTTTGAGTGATCCATCGTTGGCACTTAGTGATAAAGACGTTTGCTAGTCAATTACAAATTAGGATGCAACAAGTGAATTACTATCATCATCTAGTAATAGCATTTTTCGATAAAAACAGAAAAGTAAAAGGAAATTTACATTTGATAGTTAAGATATGAATTTCGGTTCAACATAGACGTTTCTATGATCTGTCTAATTCCATTCCTCTAATATATATACATATTCGAATACATTAGCCTGAATGGTCAGACTCATATACCTCTCTTTCTCTCTATCTCTCTCTATCTAAAGCATTTGCCGGAGTTGTTGGTTCTCTTTCCGTAACATCTTAATCTCTTTCATGAGCTCTGTTTGATTCTCCAGAACCGAGTTTAACGCCTTTGACATCTCCATCTGTTCCCCAACAGTCATTAAGAAAACATAAAGCATTTCAAAAAGATACTAATTAAGGTCTGCTGCTAAAACACAAACGTTACCTCATGCATATGGAATTGTCTCAAGATCTCAATGTGCAGGTTCCTCATATCGTCGTGGATTGAGTTCTTGAAAGTATCGAGTGTTCCTTCGAGTGTTCTTTGAAATAGCTGAAGCGTGAAACTGTTACCTCGCTGTGAATCCGTTTCAGATTGATTCGACTGCTGCAAGCTTACTCCTCCCTGGTACATAATTCCCTATAAATTTAGTGATAACTGAACGAGATCAATCAAGGATAAAAAGCACGGCAACTTTTCGGGATTATATACATTCATAATCGGAAGAGATCCTGCATCTGTTGCAGCCGCTTTCTCAGGCCTTTGTAACAGATTATTCACAACTTCTTCTCTGGTTTCAGCTCCTGTTTTCTTTGTCTTAGGCGAACCAAAAGAGAGAAAGGCTCCATCGCTGAAGGAAGAGGTGGTGCTGATTCTCTCAGCATAAGTAGAGAACCTACGAGTGAAACTTGGTGATAGCCTTAACGAATCAATGTTGCCTGGAGCTGCGATGCCTTTTGTTATGACCGGGCTGGATGGATAATTGTCAGCAAGTGCTGAGTATTTCTCATATTTTGAGGAGAAGTCTCTTATGCCTGGGAATTCTGAGCTAATGCTAACGTTTGCAAGGCTCGTCTGATTCTGACCAAGCGACAAAGGGAAATCTCTAGAACCAGAAAGCATTGATCCAGATGTACTAGCGCTTGAGCTGGAGACTCCGAGACGCAAAGGCGGATTCAGGTGACTGAATTTATCAGAAAACTTCTCATTAGCAGCCAAGTGTTTAAACTTCTCACCACCCCAGGCTTCTGGAGGTGTCAGAGCAGAGTATTCGATTTTTGATGATACTGTGGGCGTAGATCCAAAAGACGAAAAGGCATTCCTTGTGTCATCCTGATGTACGAAGAGCAGATATTAAACACAGATGAACCAACACGAGGGTTAAATAATCGAAAAACTTAAAGTTTCTTAAAAAAAATGATTATTGCCCCCTAGCATTTTGCTAAACGATACAAAACCTGGAGGCTCAAAAGACGTTTTGAATTCTGAGAACAAAAAAGAACCAAGTCGTGGTGGAAAGTTGAAGTAACACTAACCTTTTTAGAAGTAGAACTCAGTTTCCAGTCATTTATTGGGTGTTCTTTGTTTCCGTCATCCCCAAACGGAAATCCTCCTTTGCTCGATGAAGGAAATGTCAAGGAGGAAGTTTTCTTATCAAGAACTAAATGATCCCTTTTCAATCCTTCCGTATCAGGCCAATTCTCACCAGAATGTATCCCAACGATAGGGGAAAATATGTCCATATCATCTTTAAGACTATCACTGGCACGGTGTGCATGCAGCCTGCTCAGTGGTCCACCAGGCCATAGATGATTTCTATTCGGTGTTTCTTCTGCTGATGATAGATTCACCGTACTAGTGGCAACTCCATGAGAACCTGGCAACACAGTGGAATGTGAAACAAAGGATGTCGTTGAGGGAAAGGGATCTGGAATGACAACTGAGTCTTCCACAGTACCACCAAAAAGAGCCATCTCAGACGTGCAGTTTCTTTCATTCACAATAACTGGTTTTGATGTTTGCCAGGATAAACTAGTAACAGCCTGATAAAAAAAAGCAGAAACTTAGTTCGCTTTGCAACAGTGTTTTTGTTGCATTTGCTGGAGCTTTTAACATTGATAAGTGCAAAATGTGGTGTAACCATAGTAAACCATAAAGACATGCTTTGAGGATTGCACTAAGGCAAAAAGTATTGACCTCTGAACTGCTGTAAGCATGCAGGACAGTGATAGGTTGTGGTTTTCCACGTACGTCGTAGAATACTATTCTACCATTACCGGTTCCAGCTGCCAGTATGTACCCATTATCCCCAAACGCCAAAGAAGAGAAAGGTGTTTCGTATGGAATGCAGGACGAAGGTCTTCTGGAACCAGTGTCGTAAGTGTAAAGCTTTTTGTCTAGCCCCACACTCGCAATGATCTGTCAAACCGTAGATAAACATATGAAAGAGCATTGGAGAAGCTTATGTAAATCGGGGATTTGTGGGTGTTACATGCACATGTACAAGAATATACAGAGTATAAAACGAAGATAAACTGATCTGTTTTGTTCATGTATAAGTAACTAGATCATTCATAAGAATTCAGTAACCTTGTCATTTGATGGAGAGAAACAAACACCGGCAGTTGGTGCAGAATGCTGCTTCAACCAGGACATCTGTGTAAATGAAATTGCATTGTCACAGATATAGAATTTAAAACACGTTACTGAGAAATTAACAAGAAGGGGGAAATATTGTAATACGTTCTTTCCCACATGGAACACATGGTAAAAGAGCAAACCTTTGGGTTACGACCAGTCGTGTCCCAGAGATGCACAGTCCCATCATCACCTGCAGTGAGTAGAAGGTGTTGACTGAACCTTGAATAGTCGAGAACCTTCAATATCTGGTCTTGAATCGATCAGAAAGCCAATTAGTTTGATGGACAAAATCTCTCACCTATAAATGAAAGCATGCATATACTAACCAAACAACCTGCCCGTTTGGATCTTTGAGTTTAGAAGCTCCTTCTCCAGATGCAAGGTTGTGGACTATCAGATCCCCACCAACACTGATAGAAGCCAGATGCTTATCTTGGCAGTTGAACATCACACCCGTTATCGTACTTGTATGACCCTTCAAATTCTTGATACAAAGCTTTCTCAGCAGATCCCAAATCCTGACAGTTTGACCAGTTCCTCCAGAGCATATATACCTAGACCCTTTGTTGCTGAAGTTAATGGCCGACAAACATTCCTGAATTCAGAGAAAGGAAACTACATAAGAGAAAATGCAAAGAGTTGTGAAGGTGACCACATGGCTAATCTTCTGTACAAAATAAACTTTGTTGGGTTAACTATGTTGCTAATGAATGAGCATAATTCTGAATGTACCGCATTGAGTAAGAGATACAGGACATAGAAAATCGAAATCAGAATCTCATAAGCATAAAAGTGATCCGAAAAAGCAGTAACCTCATTGATATCACTGCTGTTCGTCCAATTAACAGGAACTGTTAGTAAGCTCTTCCCATTTTTATGCCAAAGAGATATTTTCTTATCTTCTCCCACACTCGCTACAACCATATCTGCATCCCAAACAAACAAAAACTTGAACACCACAGAGAGTAAAACGAATGAAGGATTCATTCTCCTTCCACTAAATGCACATGTGCACAGGCATTAACGTTAGTACCAGAACCAGCATCAGAACTTTAAACCCCAATTTTAACACCGAAGTTCAATTTGAACAGAAAATGAGAGGCAATCTAGATTCTGATTGAAAATCAAAACCCGAGAAAATGGCGGAAAAAAAGCGAGAATCTATGGTGACTTACTCGTATGGTTCCACTTGACGGAATTGACGACAGAGCCAGGCGTCGGAGTATAGCTTAAAAAAACGCAGGGATTATCAACAACAGGCTCCGCGGCGGCGGACACGTCGAAGAGCTTAACCGTGTCTCCGCCGCTCGCAGCCAGAAGACGCCACGAAGGCTCTACCAAGTTCTTCATAGTCATTGACTTCCTATCACAAACTCTAAAGAATTTCTGAACTCAATGGGAAATTTCGAGAAAAAGAAAAGAAAAAGGAAAAAAAAAATTGTCGCAGCAAAAAGGAAGCTTAATGGGAACTTTTGATACAGTTCGGTTCGGTTTATAGAAGATTCAGTTTTGATTAGTTTTGGTTCTGATTTGGAACATGTCGAGTTATTTCGAATTTCGGTTCAGTTTAGTTGATATAATCTATGTTATGAAAGAGTCGGAAAAAGAAAAAAAAAAAAATCTATGTTATGAAAAAATGTTGAAAATCGGAAGAAGAATCTGAAGCGAGGCATTATAGAAGAACATCTTCCCAACCAGTTCAGTTTTGTTACTCAAACACAAAGAGTCCCCCGATTTTAATCAGTAATAGCTTCAAGTTATTGTAACAAACGTAATCTTATCGTATTACAGAAAGAAAAAGAAAAAACATAAAAAAAATGAAGATGATTACGGAATTCAAAGAAGAAATGTATTCTTGACGGAGTCCCATGAGCGCCGACTAATCTTGGGATGAGCTAGTTAGTTCAGGTATGTGAAACACCTTACCAAAACCCAGAAGCCAACTAATTAACCCAAGCAAGCATGTGTTTGTTAAGTTAGTTTTAGAACCTGGACACGTCTACCAATACGCTTACGAGTCTCCGAGCTCCACGTTGCCTTCAAACAATACAGTGAACAAAAGGAAGCCGCATCATAATTAATCTTGTAGTAGTAGACGGCACTTGGACAACGATAACCACAACTAGTGCAAAATCGTCGAGTGCTATTACTGTTGCGGAGAACCTTCACTCCATTTGATAGGCGATAGTTGAATATGAAACCAGGCTTCATATAAACGGAAGATCCGAATACGCACTCAACGTGGATAGTGGTACAACATTCGTTGCATGTGTAGAACCAATGCATTGGATTTATCTCTTTTTCACATACAATTCACACCAGTAAATACCCTCTTCTGCTCCTTGTCCGTAACAAAGAGAGAGTGGATGCTTGTCGTATTTGTAAACTACTTCATTTGGAATGGTAGCGCATTGATAACACAAAGCAAATTTGCATACAGTACACTGCATGTAAGACTTCAGACACACCTCTTTGCAACCCTTACAACAAATCTCACCTTCAGCTTTGTGGGAAGTGGAGATGAATAGTGGATGTTCATGACTTTCATGGGTGAAATAATCTGGAACTAAAATACAACGAGCATCTATCTGAAATTGATTGTCAAGCACACAATCATCGTTGGAACAATTGTACCTGAAACCGGTGAACTTTCTAGAACAAACTGAACAGCCTTGTAAAGAAGGGAAAACTAGAGGAGAGGGGTCTAGGACAAGAGTGTGAATGTGCAACGCATGATCCATTTTTCGAAGGAGACCGGCACATATCTCGTGGAGAAAAAAATCACATACCCTGCAATTGTAGAAATCAAGAGAGTTGATAGGAAGAATGCATGCATGGCATTGCTTCTCTGCATCTCGAACACCATCATACTTGTAGAGCTTTAGAAGATGTTCATGAGAGAAATGCCTTATCAGATCACTACCAACCTTTTTGAATGGGGCAATATCTTCGGTCTCGTCGGGCTCCTCCGGTTCCCATTCGAGTTCTTTCCCATCCCATACGTTCTCATGCGTTGCACAATTTTGAATGGGCTATGTAAGAGCATTTCTCGCGGTTGCAGTAATATTGGCCATACTTGATGTCAACTGTCTTATAGCAGATCCGACATGGTGAAACTGTGGATTGGAGGAGGTAAGGAGTGTGACAAAGACGATGTTGGTGACGCGTGATCTTTATGACTCTTGGTAAGTCCATGCAACTTTGATGGACCATGTAATTACATTGAAAACAAGCATAGCTTGGCTCCAACACATTGACCAACCCACAAGCATCACATGGAGTTAAGAGTGGTCGAGGGTACAAGACTAGTGAATGATGATGACTCTTTGGGTTTGTGATGACTAGTAGTGGAATATTTTCGGAGCAAGAGAGATCCAAGCACAAGTTACATATAGAACAACGATAGAACCTGTTGCCTTGAATATTTGTTTCACACCATGAGCATTTATCGAATGTGACATCGGATTGAAACCGACTGACTTCGATAGATCCAGTTTTGTCAGTGAGAGAGAGAGAGGGTGTTGGAGATGAAAAGGATGTGTTATCTTCCTCGGAAGCTTGTGACAACCCAGAAGACGACAGAACTCCACATCGCAGGTGGTGCAGTATAATCCATATTCTCCAAGATCAGGGGATGAAAAACATGAAAAACAGCCATGTTCCAACTTTCTAAACTGAAGGAGGTGCCGAGGTTGAGTTGGATGAGCCAAAGGACATCTTTCTTGAGATGTCATATTTATTCGTCTGGCTCTTATAATTGGACGACGTCGAGGTGGAGGCTGCTCAGGAGGGTTTAGCCTATGAAATCGGTTGAATCTAGGAGGTGGAGGAGGTGGAGGAGGTGGAGGCACATCTTTTTTCTCCATCTTATCTTTTTTGCTGCTTTTGTTATGAATTTGTATATGATGGATATGTGTGTGTTTCTCTGATAATGTCTTTCTCACGATTTGAGCAAGACTGAGAAAAATATGCGTCTCCATTAATGGGGAATGACCAACTTGCTGTTTATTTTATTAACAATAACCGAAATATACAACACAATTTAATACTTTAGTCATCGTTCCCAAGACCTGTTTCCAGGCTGTGCACATTCAAATAAAAAAAGATACCAGCATTTAAGTAATAGAGTTCTAAAATTTCTGTAATATTAGATTATACTTTCGTTTAGTTGTAATAATTTCTCATTAAATTTGATCTCAAGATCATCCAAATCTGGATCTGTTAAATATATTTTTCTGAATATTAAATATTATTTTCAATATAATTTCTTCATGTTGATACAAAAATATACTGTAGAACTTATTTAAATATTAGCCGGTACTTTTATAGGGTCCATTTCGGTTAAACCAAAATTCAGGATTGGTTTAGTTTTATGTCGTCTCTTTCTCAGAATTTCTTCACACCCGTACATGTTTTGGAACGGAAAAAAGCTTACGCCGTTGCCGGGGATCGAACCCGGGTCACCCGCGTGACAGGCGGGAATACTTACCACTATACTACAACGACTTTTTGAAAAGTTCTCTTTAAACCAATATATAACGAAAAGATATGGATTGAAAGTTTGATTGATGAATGATATCAGTTTGGTTTTGCCGTCGGTGGCTATGGAGTATGACCACTATAAGCAATTAATCGTGTCAAGTGTAGAGAAACTTCGAAACGAATCTCTATATACACTAGTCAGTGAAAGATGCTAAATTTCTTCGAAATCGGTTTACGCATCAGACAGAGATCTATTGAGGAAGGTAAAGGATTTGAAGCGCGTGTGGATTACAGTGTACTGAGATCGCCTCTGTAGAAGAAAAAGGGGGCAATTTACGCCATGATGGACTCATTCTCAATTAAACGACGATGCTACAGATGTGGAGACAAAAACTATATAGGTTCGAGTTATGTAAATCTCTTTGCTTGCCAATTGCGATCCGAGTATTCTTAATCATTTTTGTCTCTGTTTCTTTGATTGGATTTCTAAACAACAGTCTCTGATTCTCTGTCAAACCAAATTCCAATCTCCTCTGAAAAATCAATATATATATATATATATATATATATATATATATATGTCTACTCCAAAAATACTTCGCTCAGTTGGAGTATATGGTAAAGTTTTATTATGAAAGCTTTTTGAATGATGTTTTACAATTTCAGATGTGCTTTATTTCAGGAATGCAGCTACAAAAAAAAAAAAAAAATCAAAGGAAGCAACTTTTTGGATTTGGAGGAATTGAGCACGAATTTTAGAAAGATAATATGTAAGCAATCAAGTTTCCAAGATTCCGATCTGATGAACCTCCAAGCTTAACGCATTGTTCTGCAGTTTCCTTCATAGGCATGATCCTCTTTCGCATCTCTTCTCCATGTGAGCTTGTCATTAACGCTCTAACACAATTTTCGATCTCAAGTCTCTCTATCTTGTTCTCCAAATGCAACCCGATTCTCCAAACATCGCTAATGTACCTTGCATTCACCCTCTGGTCACCAAAAGAAGGTTTGCATATCATTGGTACAGCTTCACATATGCTCTCAATCGTCGAGTTCCATCCACAATGCGTCAAGAACCCTCCTGTTGCACGGTGAGATAAAACCTCAATCTGTGGTGCCCATTTCACGATCTTACCCTTACCCTCGATGCTTTCGATGAACCCTTTGGGGAGAATCTCAATCCATTCCGTGCCTCGGATTGAACCTGGTCTAACCACCCATAGGAAAGGCTGGTTGCTGTTTCTTAGACCCCAAGCGATCTCCAAGAACTCAGATTCATCCATCGAAGCAATGCTTCCAAGACTTGCGTAGATTACGGATTTCGGTTCTTGCTTGTCTAACCAGGACAGACAGGTCATGTCTTGTGTAAGTAAGCTACTCGAAGAAGCTGTAACGCGCCTGTGAAAGGGTCCAATACAGAAGAGCGGGACAGGGAATTCTTTGAGGGTTTGGTCAAGCTGTTCTGCTTCAAGATCTTCAATGGCGTTGAATATGATTCCTGAGGATGACTTTAGTGACTTTATCACACCTCTCTTTAGTTTATCCCCTGATCTTGGATCTTCTGTCTGGAACCATGGAAGATCTTTCATTCTAAGATACGGAAGCTCTGGAACCGGTGAGTCTGCTTGAGACTCTGTCAAATGGACAGAGAAGAAAAGTCAACAAAAATGAAGCAAGCTATGAGGTAAATCTCGAATTCGATCTGTATTTACCTTGTAAAGAAAGATACCCTTTCTCTCGTAAAACATGAAACTTTGAGAAAGCCACGAAAGCTGAGAGGTTAACCGTCCGGAGAACCATCCTTGGGATACCGAATTTCTCGGTTAAATCGTCAGTGAAGTACCAAAGAGCATCTACAATCACACAAGCTGCAGTTGGTTCTTCAGACAAAAGCTTCTTTAAGCAATCATCAAAAGGAGCAACACACTTGGAATTGAGGTCATGGAGAAGCTCGATGACGTCAGGGTTCGAGGCTTCGGAGTCAGACAAGCCGTCGGGTATGGAAACGAAAGTGAAGTGAGGGAAATTGGAAGAGTTTGGAGAGTTGAACTCAGTGTGAATCACAGTGATGGAGAAGCCTCTGTTGAACAAGATGTTGGCAAGCTGAAAATTTGGGTTTAAGTGACCTTGTAGAGGGAAAGTAAAGAGAAAGATCACTGGTTTTGTTCCTCTAGTCTCCATTTTAATTGATGTGTTTCTCTTTGTTTAGTTCTTGTTCACAGAAGTTTGGCTATTATAGTATTAGTCTATAGAGGTGCAAAGAAAAACTTAAGAAGAGGGTTATTACGTCAGCGAAATACGTAAGCATGCTGATTCGATCTGATAGGTATACTTAATGTATATTTTGTTGTTAAAGAATGACCAAATCCATCTGCGTTACCAAAAATTTTCATTTCTATTGAACTATTCATGGCTACCAATCTTTCACATCATATGAAGGTGTTCAATTTGGTATGTTTGTTTCTAAATTTAGAAAAAACATTTATACAGACTGAGTTGTAATCAACCCCTTTATTTGGTTAAGTTTGGAATATAGTAACTAATTTAGAAACTTTTCAAGATAAAAAAAAAGCTTCCTTTTGTTTTTTCCTATTCGGTTATATTTCAATTGTGGTTAGTGGGTAGTAAGAATATAAAACTCAACAATTTCGATCCATTTTAAAAAGGATTGGTTTAAATTGGCCGGAGCTTGCAAATTGTTATGGTTTAATATTGAATTATGAAAATCAATTATTCATTTTTTTATACCAACTCTTAAAATTCATTTTAGTTGCCGTCTATAGTTAAATGTACCAGAAAATATTTTTTGGTCTTTAACTATAGCTTTTTGTTTTTGTCACATTTTCTGCATTTTTTTATAGCTAATCAACGTCTTACAAAAAATATTTGTACATACATATATATACTTAAGAAATATCATTCAAATTTGCAATTTGATCCATTGAATCTTAATTTGTAATGATTCTCAAAATTTGTAATTTTGTATGTTAATGAGATGGCCAATAAAACTCAAATTCGAATTGGTATCCCAATATGAATTCTATACTTACTCAGTTATACACTTATATGCAATGTGAGTTCAATTCGAAATTGATTGCTGTTTGTCGATCAACGAGAACAAAAAAAGAGAGTCAATGTTTTAGAAGATGATGATGACAAAGCAGTGACTGTTCTTACAAGTTAAAATAATAACTCCAAAAGTGGTTGACTTTGGCTTTGATTTATTTTAGTGTGTGAGCACAACTTGCTTTATTCAAATCTTATAGTACTAGACTTGGATCTCAAACTAAAGCTTATTTATATGAAATAATCCAATATGTACTCAACTGATGGTTATATGTGTCCAAAGTGGTTTTGGTCGAGCTTGAAAGTTGGCAAACGGCCGATATCATCTCGAAAAGTCTTTCTTTTTAGATAAATGCTTCGTTTCACCGTATTTCTCTCAGATAAACAAAGCATAGTTGCACTACTAACCAAGTAATACGATATTCACACAGTGTAAGAGCATCATCAACGCTGATGCTTAGCACACTTTATTGGGTTACTTAGACCCAAAAATAAATTAAAAAGAAATTATAAGCCTAGTATCGATACTTATTTAAGGCCCAGAAGAAGCGATACTTGGTGTGTACGTGTCCCATGTTTATTGGACAGAGAAAAAGAGAAAAACCACCAAAGAGAAAAAGTTTATCTCGTTTTCGATATTCTTCTTCTCCCACAAAAACTCCACCGATAATCCTCTCCTCTGCTTCAATCCATCGTTTTTGCTTCCGATGTCAGCTCTCTTTCCGGTCAACCGAACTCTTGTGGCAACTGAGCTATTATCCGAGCAGGTTAGGTTTATTCTCATCGGTTTCATATTATTATTTTTTGATTGAATCGGTTCTTCTCATCAAAATCACTCTGCATGCGTTGTGAATCCCGCTTGTTAGTGTTTTTTTATTCGATTAGCCTTGGATGTGTTTTTTTTTAGAGATCAAGTGTTGTTATCGGATTTGTATATTTGTGTATCGGGTATTTGTGTTCTGATTTGTATCGGTTAGAGATCAAGTGTAAAATCGGATTTGTTTATGTATGGTTCAAATTTGTATATGTATGTTTCGAATTTTTTTATCTCTTTTGTTTCTTCTAAGTTGTTTTCTATTCATATCGGTTGATAGATTCAGAAGATAGTAATGAAGTGTATTAATGTGTTCATTAGTTTGCTTGAATGTGAATTGGTAATGAATTGTGTTTATGTGTGTTCATTAGTTTGCTTGAATGTGAATTGGTAATGATGTGTCTTTATGTGTTCATTAGTTTGCTTGAATGTTCATTTGTTTGGTTGATATCATTTCTTGTGTTGTGGTGGTCAATCATGTAAATTGTTGCTAATTGAGTTTGTTGTTGTTTGCAAATTCTGAGCTTGGTGTGAGGTGTCAAGGGAGCCCAAAGTCTCGGATTTGAGTAACTTCAAAGGGTTGAAGCTTTCCATTTAGGGTGTCAACTATGAGGTATGTTTTCACATCGGTTCCAAAGTGTAAAATGCATCAGTGTAGTTAGAATATTTGGTTTTCTCTCGTAGGTGTTTAGGTTTGGTAGTTAGAAGATTAATGAAGATTCATTTATGGAGATTACAATAATTCAGGGATTGTGTTTGGTTTGAAGTTTAATTGTCTTGACATAATTATCGGTAGAAATCTGTCTTGTCCATAGTTTTAATAGTTGGTTTGAAGTTAATTGATGGTGCTTTTTTATGGATTTGCTACAGCTTTAGTTCATTGATGGTGCTTTTTTAGAAGTTAAAGCTTTTCCTAAAGCTTTAGATAAAGCTTCTATTTGTGAGTTATCTTGTTAGATAACTGTCTACTCAGTTGTTTTTAATAACAGTAAAAGCTTTGTAAAACCCCAACGCCTCATCTTTTCTTTAAAAACCTTCCTATCTTGTATTTACTTCTTCTATTCTTTTCTACTTTGTTAAACTCCAACGCTTCATCCTCTCATCCTCTGTTTTCTTCTTCCTCTGATCTTCTTTTTCGATCACAATGGATTATTCTTCTTCACATCCATTCACTCACTCATCTAACTTTGTTGATCTTCTCAATAGTCAACAAGAACTTCCTCTTCATGATCCATTTTCTTCTCAAAGCCAAATCCCTCTGTTCAGCAGCCAATGCACCGAAGCCTCCACCTACAATGACGACAGCCCTGCAGATCGCAAAGAAAGGAAGGCCTGGACTCCAACCGATGATGTGATACTCATTTCTGGGTGGCTGAACACGTCAAAAGACCCGGTGGTGGGTAATGAGCAGAAGTCTGGTACCTTTTGGTGGAGGATAGCAGAATACATTGCTTCTAGTCCGAAGGCTGCAGGCAAAGAAAGAAGAGAACCAGTCACATGTAAGGCAAGATGGCAAAAAATAAATGATTTGGTGTGCAAGTTCTGCGGTTCTTATGAGGCTGCAACAAGGGAGAGAGCCTCAGGAATGAATGAGAATGATGTGCTGAAACTTGCACATCAAATTTTCTTTAATGATTACAAAAAGAAATTCACCTTGGAGCATGCGTGGAAGGAACTACGTAACGACCAAAAGTGGTGTGAAGTTTCTGCGAATAAAGTTGGAGGAAGTGTTAAAAGGAGGAGACGCGAGGACGGGCTACAAGCACCAGTTCCTGCTGCAGATGAAAACAACAATGTGGAAGGCGATCAAGGAGGCAACTGGCCACCAGGTGTGAAAGCTGCCAAAAATAAAGGAAAGAAGAAGGTGGATGATGGCAAGGCTTTATCAGAATTCCAAAGTATGTGCAAGCTTCATGAAAAAGACATGGCACTGAAAGAGAGGATTCAGAGGATGCAACTGCTAGACAGCCTCGTCGCAAAGAGTATGAAAGAGCCCTTGGAAGATTATGAAAAAGAGCTTAAGAAAAGACTCTCTTTAGAGATGTTAGGTTAAGGTTAATGTTTGTTTGTAGTTCATGTATTGTTGTTTCTAGTTTTATGTTTATTTGTTTCTAGATTATGTTTTCTGTTTTTAATGTTATAAACATGTATGTTTGATCTTTGAAATGAATCGCTTTAAGCTTGTTTAGTCTTTGGATAAACTCGATTATTAAATGGTTTTGGTTACTCGGTTATTTAAAAGTTTTTGGTTACTTGGTGATACAAAGTTTTGGTTTACTCGGTGATAGAAAGTGTATTCACTTTTCTGTTTTTAAAGTTTTTGATATTTGATGCTGATTGTGTTTGTCTCTTTCTGTATCAGGTATGAGTGGTGGATGTCGACACTAAAGATAGAGGTGTGGTGGTTGTTGATACAATAAATTTTTGTATATTTACTAAGTGTAATTTCAGTCCACAAATAATGAAACTTATTGTGGTGTATGTCGACACTAGTTTTTGTTTGTTTCCTTTGTACAACAAAGAACCGTGTATTTGTAATCCCAATTTGAGTCCACAAACATTGTATGGGACTTGTTATATATATAGAGACACTTCCTATATCTTTTGCATCACACTACTTCTCATTCCTTCTTTCTTTAGCTTCTATATCATTTCTTTCAACTTTGGTTGGTATAGTTTGCTTTCGGCTTATTTCTTTTTTGGTTCTTGTTTTCAGTTTCCTAACCAAAAGCAAACAAAACACAAAACACAAAAAATGGCTTCTTCTTCAAATAATCACAATAACCCTTTCGATGAATCAAGTCATCGCACAATTGATCAACAAGTTGATGATTACTATGATCAATACGTTGATCAGGCTTTTGGTAATTTGATGCTTCATTACCAACAAAACCTGGAGGCAAGGCCGTCAAAAAAAACGGGCTTATATTGAAAGAGATCGGGAGGCAGGTCATACACGGTTATGGAATGATTACTTCAGTGAAGCTGCAACATATCCAGCTAATATATTCCGACGCCGTTTTCGAATGAATAAGCCATTATTCATGAAAATTGTTGACCGATTTTCCAACGAAATTCGATTCTTCCGACAAAAAAAAGATGCTATTGGAAGGCCTGGTCTCTCGGGACTTCAAAAATGCACCGCAGCAATTCGTCTTTTGGCTTATGGAACTGGAGCTGATGCAGTAGACGAATACCTTCGGCTTGGTGAATCTACGGCTCGCTCCTGTTTGGAACATTTTGTTGAAGGAATAATACATTTGTTTGGTGATGAATACCTACGAAGACCCACACCTGAAGATCTTCAAAGATTACTTTATGTTGGAGAGGATCGCGGTTTTCCCGGAATGATAGGAAGCATCGATTGTATGCATTGGGAGTGGAAGAATTGTCCCACCGCTTGGAAAGGACAATTTACACGTGGTGCTGGAAAACCCACAATCGTTTTGGAAGCGGTAGCTTCATATGATCTTTGGATATGGCACGCATTTTTTGGTTCCCCAGGTACCTTAAATGATATTAATATTCTTGATCGTTCACCCGTGTTTGATGATATCATAAAAGGTAAAGCTCCGCAAGTGCATTATTCTGTCAACGGAAGGGATTATCACTTAGCTTACTATCTCACGGATGGTATCTATCCAAATTGGGCTACGTTTATCAAATCTATACCACTTCCACAGGGATCAAAAGCGACTTTATTTGCTAAACGTCAAGAAGGTACCCGAAAAGATGTCGAACGTGCTTTCGGAGTCTTGCAAGCTCGGTTTGCAATTGTAAAAAACCCGGCTCTTTTTTGGGATAAAGACAAAATCGGAAAGATTATGAGAGCATGTATCATTCTCCACAATATGATAGTAGAAGACGAACGAGAAGGATTAACTCAATATGATCTTTCAGATTTTCAACACGGAGAGGGCCACGGTAGTTCACAGGTCGATCATGACTATTCAACAGATATGCATTCAAATATTGCTGATATGTTGACTGCTCGAAAGAAAGTTCGAGACACACAAGTACATAAACAATTACAAGCTGATTTGGTTGAACACATTTGGCAGAAATTTGGAGATGAGGAAGATGATAACTGATCGTTTATATGTTTAAAATGTATCAAAATCTATGTTTTAATTTTATTTTTCAACTATATGTTTGTAATATTTTATGTTCTATTTAAATAAATAAATTTGTCATAAATTTCTTAAATTATATTTTTTTTTAAAAGTTAAGTACTCCATTAAGAATTCTTGCATTGGAGACATCAAAAACATATTCTTTTTAATAGAGATATTTAATTTAAGTTTAACAATTTTTTATTGCTAAGTATCCATAATGGGGTACTACCATTGTTGATGTTCTAAGAGTCCAAACAGTATCAAAGTCCAAAAAATCCAATATATAGGGAAAATTTCTTATATACTACTTGTACAGTTTATGGTACCTCAAAAATAATATTTCCAATAAAATTCCTGGTTTACTTCTTTTGATTTTTTTTTAAAAAATTGGTACTAATTCTATAAAACAAATTGATCTATTATCTACAAAGTCATAAAAAACGGTCTGATCTATCCTCTTTTTGTTTTTTTGTTTTTTTTTTCAGATATCAGTTATCAGATATACATGAATCATGATAATATATGTCAGAAAGAAGAAGAAAAAAAACATGACAATGTATTTACACAGTCAGCATCATTAGTGTACACGTGTCGGCTTGGCAAACAGAGAGAGGCAAAGCACAAGAAAACGTGGAGAGACACAAAACTCACTACTTGGCCGCTGGATCCAAAGACGAAACCCAATCGTCATCTTCATCAGTCATCATCATCAATCATCAATCCCCGATTCAGATTCACTCTTCATCATACGCCAAGCTACGACAATGGTGGCGGAGCCTAACCCTAAGAAATTCCCTGTCCTCTCCTACGTCCTGGCTCGTCTCCCTTCTTTCACCGGCAAATCCTCTTCCCCTTCATCCTCCTCCTCCGTTCCTGCATTCGATGTCGAGCAACCACCATCGTCGATCGAGATCGTCACCCAGATGCCTCACTTGACCCAACCAGGTGTTCTCGCCTCCATGACCAAAGCCATCTCTGACGTCGCCGAGACCCGATCCATCCTCCGAACCCTAGGACCCAGACCCGATCACGAGACCGTCGACAATGCCCGTGCCAAGCTCTCGGAAATCCAGGGCTTCTTATCCGAATCGTTCGAGGACATTGCGCTGACCGATGCGGCGGGCAAGGACGAGAAGAGGAGGCAAGAGATGGATCAGGAGAAGACGTGGTGTGAGTCGATTCTGAAATTGGACGAGGTTCACGCTTCGTACGAGAAGCTATTGAAGGAAGCGGAGGAGAGGCTGGTGAGGATTTATGAATCCGCCGAGAAGGATGCGGCGGCGAATGAGGATAGCGTTGCGGCGGTTGAGGTCAATGAGGAGGTTGTGGCTATACTGCAGCAAGCTTCGACTAATCCTGTGGATCTCGTGGATTTGTCTGGGAAGAAGCTTAGATTGCTCCCTGAAGCATTTGGCCGGATTCATGGGTTGCTTGTTCTTAACCTCTCCAACAATCAGCTCGAGGTAAAGAACTAAAATTTCAAAATCAAAATCACAACTTTGCTAGATTGTTGCTCATTTTGATTTAGGATCTTATTGAGAATTTGGTAATCTTTAGTGTAGCGCAAAGGTGAATTTATTGGCGGTTATGCAAACAATCCGTTTAGTTAAAGTTAATAATCACAAGATTACTCTTAGCATTGGGCTCTAGTTTCATTTATTTTCTGATGGGATTATCACTGATGTCTTGGTCTGATGTGATTCGAAGAGACTCTGTTATGTGTGCACGTCTTAGATTTAGGTCTTAATATCGGAAGCAATGATTTTCTAGTTTGATGTAATGGAAAGAGTTTTATGCGTGTTTGCTTGTTTTGGTTCTTCATCTTTGATATTGCCTTTTGTGATCATCAAAAGGAATATGAGTCTTGGAAAGTCGACTTTGGTCGTTTATTCATATTTTGGAAATGATTGTTGCTGATGTCCATCCTTCTTGATTGTTCTGAGGTTGGATCTATGGCTCATTAGGTTTTTTCTTGATTTCTTAGTGATTCCAAATAATTTTTTTGAAAGATTGAGTTGATGAGTCTCACATTTCTTACCTGACCGAGGTTTATCTCCAACAGGCGATTCCTGATTCAATAGCTGGGTTACACAGTCTTGTTGAACTGGATGTCTCCGGTAATGTTCTGGAGACATTACCTGATTCTATTGGTCTACTGTCCAAACTGAAAATCCTTAATGCCTCGACTAACAAGCTCACCTCCTTGCCTGATTCCATCTGCCGTTGTGGGTATGTAATAACTTGACTTTCTCTAGTTTTGATTTTTATTGATCAGTTTTAACACGCTTCTTACATCAAAATCCCCAGGTCGTTGGTTATCTTGGATGTGAGCTTCAACCGTCTCACCTACTTACCAACCAACATCGGATTCGAGCTAGTGAATCTAGAGAAGCTCATGATCCAATATAACAAGATCCGCTCCCTCCCGACCAGCGTAGGCGAAATGAGATCCTTAAAATACCTCGACGCCCACTTCAATGAACTGCATGGCCTTCCTGATTCTTTCGTGTTGCTCACAAACCTCGAGTACTTAAACCTAAGCAGTAACTTCAGTGATCTCAAGGATCTCCCTTCATCGTTCGGCGACCTCATAAGCCTCCAAGAACTCGACTTGAGTAACAACCAAATCCACGCACTCCCAGACACTTTTGGCACACTAGATAGCCTGACCAAACTGAATCTGGACCAGAACCCGCTCATAGTCCCACCCGAGGAAGTGGTGAAAGAAGGCGTTGAAGCTGTGAAGATGTACATGGGCAAGAGAAGGATTAGAATGTTGGAAGAGGAAGAGTTGAAGATGAAAATGGAGAGTGAAATGGAGCAGACAAACGCAGGGTGGCTCACACGAACTACGTCGGTGCTGAAAACTTACGTCACGGATGTTTCAGAGTATCTCGGATCGAAGTCTCCTCGAGACCCTTACCTTGAAAGGCCGCTGTGAGCCTGTGATGTGTGATATGGCTTCAAGAACAAATTGATCCAAAGAGGTTGTTTTTCTCCTCTTGTCTGGTTTTGTCTCTCTTTTGATTCAGTACATAAACTAAAGGGCTGTGTTCTTTACTGCTCTCTGTTGTGATTCTTTCTGACTTGTTCTTTAACTTAGGTTCAAACTCAAAAACTCTCTCCCATCTAATAAAAAGAACTCATTTGTTTATTTAACCTCAATTCTTCTCGGATTTTACTCTTTGTAAGTAAATCAAATCATATAGTTTGTGGTGTAATAAAGTCTATTCTGATGTATAAGAAACATGAAATAAAATTCATCTGCTAACTGTGTGCAACATTGACTATGAATCCATCTTGGATCCGTTGATTTTCCTGGAGACATTCGGAAATCAAATGGTGTAACATAGTACCCCTGATGCCATTTCTTTTTGTTTTGGTACACTAGTCTCTAATGAGAGCTTAGCAGCATTAAAACTGAACATATCTTTAGCTTTCTTAAACGTCGATCTAACACTTCCAAATGTGTTGTAAGATATTGAAAGCGTATGTATCATAACTTCATAAGCTTAAAATTAAAGAAATCAACAACTAGAGCCTAAAATCACATGCAAAAAATTAAACCGATGAAAATAATTTGTGGTTGATTCTTTGTGTGTTCATTTTTGAAGTGTTAACGATCTTCTTAGCTTGGTCTTGGAACGACAAATAACAATACATGGTCTCCTTTGTGATTGTTTTTTTTTTTTTATCACTAATTCAATTTTACTTTCATAATATGTATACATGAAATTTGTTCTTGCTGTATTAAAGCCAAAAAAACTGTAAACTTTGAGCCAGATTGAATCCAAAAGAAAAACACCGTTAGTTACGTTTATATATTAACGGAAGAAGTCAAAATTCGTAAGTCAAACGTTCCTTTCCTTCGTTTATACAATATCATTACACTTTGATTATTATTCGAGTAATCAACTACGTAAGTCCGTTAAAATAAGCAAAAAAATTGAAAAAGTATTATGAAAGCATTTATTGAAGAATTAAAAATTACGGAAACTGAAATCCGTGAAGAGCTTATAAAAATTACATAAACGCATTAAACTCCATGAACTGAAAAGAAATTAGTAAGTAACATTTTCATCTTAAATAGAGAAGAAGAGGAGAGAGAGAGAGAGGCGTTGTTGCAGCTTTAGCCCAAAATCTCTCATTGACCTTTGCTTCTTCTTCTTCATCTTCTTCTCCAATCTCAGTTTCTTCCTTTCTGGATTCCAGCATTCTGCTTGTAGTTTGTTCTCCTCGTGACCTAATCCCGATTCGATCCGTGGAACCTGTGTCCGAAGATCTTCTTCCCCCAAGGCGGACAGATCGATTGGGCATAATCCGAAACTCCCTCAAATCGACAAAATTCTTTGTAGGGTTTTTGATTTTTTTTTTGTCAAATAGAATCGATCAGATCGGAGGATGAAGATGGCGGCCAATGGCCGGTTTTTCACAATCGGGCTCGTCGCGTCGTGGTATTCGTCGAATATCGGAGTTCTATTGCTCAACAAATACTTGCTAAGCAACTATGGCTTCAAGTATCCGATCTTCCTCACGATGTGCCACATGACGGCTTGTTCTCTTCTCAGCTACGTCGCTATTGCTTGGATGAAGATGGTCCCGATGCAAACCATCCGATCCCGAGTTCAATTTTTTAAGATCGCAGCGCTTAGCCTCGTTTTCTGTGTGTCGGTGGTCTTCGGGAACATCTCCCTCCGGTTTCTTCCTGTCTCGTTTAACCAAGCTATTGGCGCCACGACGCCGTTCTTCACCGCCGTCTTCGCTTATCTGATCACCCTGAAGCGGGAAGCTTGGTTGACTTACATCACTCTTATCCCCGTCGTTACCGGTGTTGTCATTGCCAGTGGGGTAATTACTTCAAAATGTGCTCTTGCTTTTGTGTTTTGATATGGCGTATGCGTATTGAGATTGTTTCTGGTCAAATTCGCAACATATGTTGAGATCGAGGTGAAATGTGTTTTTATGGCTGATGAAATCTCTAGCTTTAGGGGGATAGGTAGAACTGTGAAGCAGAGGGGAATTTTACAGTTTTAAGTGCTTTCTGAATTGAATACTATGAGCTGACTCTGGTTGATTCAATTCATATTTAGATGTTGATAGAATCATAGGTAACGTTTTTTGGAACCAGCAAGGAAAATCTTTGGGATTGTTCTGAGCTTGAAGCTGCTGACTTCTGTTAACTTGTTTAGTTTATCTCAAATCACTTCACAATTTGAAAAATTTATATGCCGCTTCAAAAGGTGTAATTAGAAGAGAAGTACTCATAGGCTCTCTATCTGATTTAGAAAATTATTTGTTTATATGTGCAGAGTATGCTTCTTCTTGGATCTATTTGATTACATTTACAGTTTTATTTTCGATATTGACTTTACTCTCCTATCTGATTTCTTTAAATTTTCATGTATCGGTCAGGGTGAACCAAGTTTTCACTTGTTCGGATTCATTATGTGCATTGCAGCCACAGCTGCAAGAGCACTTAAATCAGTTCTTCAAGGAATTTTGCTATCTTCAGAAGGGTAAGAGATAATAGTATCTTTTGCAGATTTTTCAGCTAAAGTCTCATTTTTCAGAAGTCTGTACTTTTAAGAATGCTGCTGAAAATCTTTTACTGAATTTTTTGAAGGGAGAAGCTAAACTCCATGAACCTCCTCCTTTACATGGCTCCCATTGCTGTTGTGTTCCTTCTTCCTGCTACACTTATCATGGAGAAAAATGTTGTTGGAATTACAATTGCACTCGCCAGAGACGATTTTAGAATCGTCTGGTATTTGCTATTCAATTCAGCGCTCGCTTATTTCGTGAACTTGACCAATTTCTTAGTCACGAAACACACCAGTGCTCTGACTCTGCAGGTAACAACATATCTCTTCTACTTCTATACATGAACACTCTTTCCTTATAAGAAAAAAACTCCTCCAAACTGGCTCAACTCTATCATCTAAAACCATACCGTGTGTGACCACCTCTTATCAGTTGTAAGCGAATGATGAACTTCTCTATGACAGGTGCTAGGAAACGCCAAAGGTGCAGTAGCAGTGGTGGTTTCGATCTTAATATTCAAGAATCCTGTCTCAGTGACTGGAATGTTAGGTTATTCGCTCACAGTCTGCGGAGTTATCCTCTACAGCGAAGCCAAGAAACGAAGCAAATGATAAACAAAACCTTTATTTTATTTGTTAGGTACCTCAGGCAAACACAATGCAAGTTTCGTTTGATGTGAACAAAATACCTTACACAGCATCTTTGGACCAAAAGCAAAGTATGTGTAAAGCAACCCCCCCAAAGGATCAGAGTACCAGAAGCTATCATTTAGAGGACTTCACAAATAAGTGGTTTTTTGTTTTCCTTCTTTGCTCTTTTTTTTTTTTTTTTTTTTGTTATCTGATATTCTACAGCTTCTGTCGTAGGTTGTTCTAAGAGTAACTTCGATTTTGCTTTTTTTTGTCGATTCTTTAAACTACTTTTGTGATATCAACATTTACAACGCTGATTAATTAATAGAAAAGGACAAGGCCTTTTCTTTCACTTGTCTGTGAATCCAAGTTATGTTCTGCAGTTCAAGGTTATGATCTCAACTCACAGATTGGATTCATAACTGTTTGCCGTAAATTCTTCAACAGAGTCATAAGTTGGGTTACTGATTTGTAATGTTGCCATAGACTCTTTAATCAGAGAACTGAGTCAAAAGGACAGAGCAAGACAAAGGAGAACTAAATGAGACCAGAGAAGATGGGTCATATTCTTCTGCAACAATACCTTGTCTTGTCAAATCCTTTTACTTCAATCTTTTCCAGAGAACAAGAGAAAACACTGACTATAATGATCCAACCACTCAATTCCAATTATAAAGGCCAACCGATAACTTCTTGTATATATGTGCATGTATGTATGAAGAGTAAGGGTTCTAGAGCTTTGACTCACTCGTAAGTTCTTAAATCTGATTTGAAATTATTGCACCTATTAGTTTTTGTTTGCATCCATTAGAATTTAGCAGACTTTCAATAGTTTTTAATTATTTCTAACATGATTTCCTCTGCTTTTTTTTATTTGTTTGTTTGTTTGTTTGTAATGAAACATGATTTCCCAGCTCTTTTAGTATTTATTAAAATGAATTAAATTGTCCTTATTGCTTTTAAACTTAAACTTCAGTTACATGGAATCCTTCTTGCATGTTTAACGTTAGATGTCATCTTAAAAAAAGAACAAGTGTAATTAAAGTTAACCAATATAAATAAATACTATTGATCTATTTTATCTAAGTGTAATTAGTATTTTTTTTTTACCGTCTATAGATTTAATCAAGTTCCCAGAGTACAATCGTTGTTTACTTAAAGAAATCTGTGACAACAATGAAATAGGCTCCAATCCATTTGTGATAAAGAAATGAATGTCTTTTTTGCTAAAGTGAAAATAAAACATAGTAAATAACAATAATTCTCAAATCTCGCAAATTTACTTGTGTACCTAATTTTTTTTCGCGCGTAAATTTACTTATAAACATACTAAAAAACTATGGCAATTTATAGAATTGAAGATTAAATCTGTTGAACAAACTTTTGGTTGAAACTTGTCAACACAATAATAAAGTTACCAATAAAGTGAACCGGTATAACCGGTATAAAAAAAATCGGCCTAGCATTCAGAGAAAGCCAGAAAGCTCCGACCCGAGCGGCCCAAACGCCAAAATCAGAGAAAGCGAGGAAAAATCGCGATCGGCTTCTTCAGCCACACCGCCACACTGTGTTCATCAGATCACTCTATCTAAATTTCCCGGTAAACGTTTTACGTTTTCATTTTTATTTTTCCCGTTCTTCTTCTCCGGCCACGGGAGTGTTATCTCTCTGATAGCTCTCCATCGTGGTTTGGTTAGTGTTTTGTGCGATGCCCAATTTCGCGTCCGATTTCTCGATAATTTTTTTTCCCAGGCAAATCGCTGGTCGCAAATTTTTTTTTTTTTGGTATTGTTTTGTTTTTGTTCGGGTTAAAGAGCACTCGATCTAGTGTAAAAGCTATAACCCTAAATCGGTTAATTGTCATTTGATAATTGAGCACTCGATCTAGTCGATTATCATAATTAGCCTTTCAAAAATCATTGTTATAGAGCTTAGCTTGATATGAATTGCTTTCCTTTGTGGTCTCGTGGGATGTGTTTGTGACACCAGATAAAATCTGTTCTTAGAAATCTGATTGCATTTTGCATTTGATAAGTTAGATTCAGGCATGATAAGAACTTTCCAGACAAATGTGGATGGATATATTTGTATAGATTCAGTCATGTATGTTTCTGAGTAATACACTGGCAATTGTTTTCGCTAATCTAAGAATTTTTGGCTCTAATCTAATGTTTATTCTTGATTTAGCTTCAAACACATGATGTAAATTTTCCAGATAGATGTGGATGTACACTTGTTTAGATTTTAAGAACCCTCGAAAACGGACATTTTTCATAAACATTATTTCCCGTGATTTCTAATGTGGAACTTGTTTTGGAAAAGAACTTACCTTTTGTTGTCTTTACTTACCTACACACACGTATATATATAGTAAAGAATTATGAAGACCAAAGCCGCGTGGGAACCTGAATACCACAGAGTATTTGTGGACTTGTGCGTCGAGCAAAAGCTGCTGGGGAACAAACCTGGAACGCAGCATTTACTGGAACCATTTCAACAGAGGACAGGCGCGAGGTTCAACAAGAAGCAGCTTAAGAATCATTGGGACACAATGTGCAAGCAGTGGAAAATATGGCGTAGACTTGTACAATGCAGTGATATGAAATGGGATCCTGAGACGAGCACCTTTAATGCCAGTGATGAAGACTGGGCCAACTATATAATGGTACAAAGACCTGTTTTGTGTTATATGTGTATTTGGGTGTTTCTTAAGGATTATATAACATGATATTGGATTTTTCACAGAGGAATCCTGATGCTGGGCCGTATCGGCTGAGTCCTCCGTTGTTTCTCAAGAAACTAGAGATTATCTTTGAAGGAAGTAACGTAGATGGTGGTAGTAGAGACGATGACTCTGGTTCTAGTAAATGGAAGAGGAAGCGAAGAAGCAGGCATCATGAAGAAGAAGCTGAAACTGGAGATGATGATATGCAAATCGCGTCTAATTTCTCGACTCGTAATATGCAAATCGCATCTAATTTCTCGACTTCTCAGTCAAAAGGGTATTGGTCACCGGCCACACACGAGCTGTTTGTCGACTTGTTGGTCCAGGAGACTTACAAAGGAAACAGACCTGACACACATTATCCAAAGGAAAGTTGGAGAATGATGCTTGAGACTATCAATCAAAACTCTGGGAAAAGTTACACAAGAGCGCAGATGAAAAACCACTGGGATTGTACGAGGAAAGCTTGGAAGATTTGGTGTCAAGTTATTGGTAATCCTAACATGAAGTGGGATCCAAATACTCGTACTTTCGGCGCAACGGAAGAGGACTGGAGAATCTTAATAAGGGTAAGAAACGGTGATCAAAAATGTATTATCATTTGGTAAATTTTGCACCTTGAGGGTAAAAGATATGATCTTTTGTTTCTCTGTTTGTTGTTGTTGTTGGTGTTGATTTCACAGGAAAACCCTAGAGCTGCACAATTCAGAAGGAAACAAGTTCCTTGCGCGGACAAACTAGCAATCATCTTCGAAGGAGTTATTGAACCAGGAAAAGCAGATTTCCGTCCTTACCGCAAGAAAATGCGGGATCATTCCGAATCACCACAGCTACATGACCCAACTCCATTATCAACACTCTACATAAACGAGCCAGTCACTGGAAGTGAAGATGGAGATGATGGTGATGATGATGATAATGATGATGATCATAATGGTGACGATGATGCTGAGCCTTCTCACACTCCGCATCGCAGGAGATATAACAGTGTTGGTTTTGCAGAGTCTCGGTTACAAGATATTGAGATTGAAACTCCGATATGTACGCGGTTGGAGGCCGAGAGGTTATGTGAGGGTCCGTTAGCATCGGCTAAGCAGTACCAGTATACGATTGGTGAATGTATTGAGTGTTTGGACGCCATGGAAGAGGTAGAGCAAGGCAGTGATCTGTACTTGTTTGCGTTGGATCTGTTTCTGAAGAAAGAGTACAGAGAGATCTTCTTGCAGCTGAAGAAATCAAGTTTGAGAATGTCTTGGGTGCTCAGACTTCAGGCTGGTCGTCCTACCCTTGCTGCCTAAGTTCCTCTTTTAACTATCAACAGTCCCTCCTGCTTATGTGTGTGATTTAGCTGAACTCTTTATATCTCTTTTCAGGAAAAACCTTTATTTATCTTTTTCAGATAAACAGGTTTTTTTTGTTTTGGTAATATATAATGTTGGAGTAACCGAGAACAATGCATCTATTTTCAAACAGTTTGAGAACAATGCATCTATTTTCCACCGCCTCCTAAGTGATATTCTCAAAATGCGAAAAGAAGATCTTAATCTATCTATTGGGATCTGAGAAATGCTTATTAAGAATTGTTTGGTTGCTTGTGATTCAAGAAAGGCTTGCAAAGACGACCCTTCTCAGGTTGATTACATTTTTTTTCTCTTGTTTATGATTGGAACAGAAATGAAGTTTCAAAACTTTTATTTTCATTTCAGAACTTACGTTAGGTTAAAAATCTGACAGATTTCAAAACTTTTATTTTCATTTGAAATTTCTACGTTACTTTTTTGTTTCATACTAAATTTATATGTTAAGTATGGTCGATTCAGCTGTAACAAACTCCAGGCGCTATAATATTTTTTGTTTTAATAAAACTTTGGTTTGGAAGAACAAAAACAAATTTGAGTTTTTGAAGAAAGTAATCTGTAACTATTTTAATCATCAAACAAGTAAAAATCTTTAAAATGTAGAGATAATGGGATTTAATGAGCCTTAGCTATACTAAATTTGTCATGCTTTGTTGAAAATATCCTGACCGACATAGATATTACAAGTATACATCATTGATCATGCTTTGTGGAGTACAACACATTTTAATTGCTCGCTTTTAAATTTTAAATCGAGATTAAAACTAAATCGAAAAACAAAAAACGAAAAACATACTTCATATAACCGCGCCAGGTAGGGGTCGAACCTACGACCTTCTGCTTAGGAAACAGACGCTCTATCCACTGAGCTACAGGCGCTCCTATGTTGAAGCAATCTTTTTAGTTTATATATAAACGTATATTACAAATATCAGTTACATAGTCTACCTGTGTGTGGACCAGAAAAAAGACGATGGAATAAATTTGTCGTATTCAGAATATATATAAAAATCATTTAAAATCAATCATCTTTTCTGACAAAAACGAACCGCAAGAATCCGAGTGGTGCCATTCGCTTTTTTCCAATCCAAATTTCCCTTATATATAAAAAAAGAAAAAAAAAAAGCAATTCCTTTCTCTTCTGAGTGCCCCCAAATCAACAGTGACTCTCTCTATAATACTCTTCTTTGTCCTTCACAATCTCTCTCTCTCTCTCTCTCTCAGTTGGATCTTGAAGTCTGTCTTTCTCTTTGTGTTCTCATCACAGCTTCATATCCGAGGAAATTCTCATCTGGTGGCTCTGCTGTTTTTGTCTTCCTTGGTTGACCCACTTTTGCAGATTCTCATAGATTCTTCAAAGCTTGAGTCTTTTTCAGATTCGAGACAGAGTCGGTTTTATATGCTTGAAATCTCTCACCCAAATCAGGTTCTTGATTCCCTCAGTATACGATTCTTGATCTACCTTCCCTTTTGTCATTTCTTCCCCCCTTCCATTCCTAATATTTTATCATTAAATCCTATATATAAAAGCTTCCATATTTTCCTAATACCACAAATCAATCCTCAAGCTTCCATATTTTCTTTCAAAAAAAAAGAAGACTCTTTTAAGCTGTGTTTGTAGTTGAACCTTTTTCTTCCTCTTTTCTAGCTAATGGAGACTCTGCATCCACTCTCTCACGTTCCTATCTCTGAACACCGGTTCGTTGTTCAAGAGATGATGAGCTTACAAAGCACGAGCAGCAGCATCTGGACTAAAGAAGAGAACAAGATGTTTGAACGAGCCCTTGCGATATACGCTGAAGACTCGCCCGATCGCTGGTTCAAAGTTGCTTCCATGATCCCTGGAAAGACTGTTTTTGATGTTATGAAGCAATACAGTAAGCTCGAAGAAGACGTTTTCGACATAGAAGCTGGACGTGTCCCTATTCCGGGTTACCCTACAGATGGGTTTGACCCAAACACGTGTCGGAAACGACCTAATGGAGCCAGAGGATCTGATCAAGATCGAAAGAAAGGAGTTCCTTGGACAGAGGAAGAACACAGGTTAAGAGACTCTATATGTTTCTCTTGACACAAATTTTCTATATCTGTGTTTCTTGTGATGCAAGTCATTACCCTGATTTAAGGGATTTACATTGCTCTGTTTCTTGTTCTTTTTTCTCTGCAGGAGGTTCTTGTTAGGGCTTCTCAAGTACGGGAAAGGAGATTGGAGAAACATATCGAGAAACTTCGTGGTGTCGAAGACGCCAACGCAAGTCGCCAGCCACGCGCAAAAGTATTACCAGAGACAACTCTCCGGAGCCAAGGATAAGCGCCGGCCAAGCATCCATGACACCACAACCGTTAATCTTCTCAACGCCAATCTCATTAATCGTTCCTTTTCCGATCACATAGATATCCTCCCGGATTTAGGGTTTATTGACAAGGATAATGCCGAGGAGGGAATAATGTTTATGGGTCAGAATTTATCCTCGGAGAACCTGTTTTCTCCATCACCATCTTCCTTCGATGCTGCCATTAACTTCGCCGGAGCAAATGCATTCGGTGTTGGAGCTTAAGGTAACTTAGAAGCACCAAACTCAGCGTTCTAAAGATGTTGATTTTTGATTATGTAAATAGGGCAATACAAGAAAAAACCAAGTTTAAATATGTTTTTTGTGTGGTTTTAAAGTATAAACTTGTATTTCTTTTACATAAATGTGACTCTATGTGTGTGTGTATATGTGTGTGTTTGTGTCTACGAAATCCCACTAAATTAGAATATCTATGTTTTCGTTTCCATTAAAATAGTAAGTAGCTGTGAAAAGACTTCTGCGTTTACGATAACATTTGACCACAACTTTATGGAGTTAAATGCAATGAAGTATAAGAAGTTCCGGATCTTTTTTTTTCTCACAAAAAAAAAGAAGAGTAGTACATATAAGTGTATAACTAAGAAGACCCGAATTTCGATATGAAGTAACAAAAGTAAAAGTGTAAAACTGAATTAACTTTGATACTTGTTTCCGTAGTAGAAATACTAGATCCGAGTTATAGTTTTAAGAATTTTAATTAGAAATTAATTTGGAAAAATTGATTATAGTAGATGATATGGTTGGAAATTTTGTGTGGGCATTAGTGGAAGGTATGAACAATTGATTTCAGTATAAAATAGAGGCTGAGTCTGCTTTCCACTTCTGACCAAAGAATCTCATTCTTCTCATCTATTACACCAACCCCTTTGCCTCCCCATATATATTAAGTTATTAACTTGTTTAGAATTTATCTCAAATGGTGTCATTTGGATACAAAAATAATTTATAATATTTATGGCTAAAACTTTTGTTGTATACTTTATAGCATGAGATAAGAAAAGGATTATTTAAGTATTTTACTATGCTCAATAGTTTATAAAGCTACTGTATGAATAACGATAAATCATAGTGATCATATGGACTGTCTGCATGGGAAGTTAGCAAACTTTATCAATTTATTTGAACAATTCTGATACAGTTGGTTATTTTTCTTGATTAACGACAGAGTTAACATATATGACCCGGATTTTTCTTTTCATTGTTGAAATGAAATTTACATATAAGATGATTTGTGTATGATCCAGAAGGATCAGAAATGATCAGAAAGTTAACTAATTCATGTTGATATAATAGTTGAAGGATTTACATAAAAGTTGAGTTATCAATACTCGAGTTTTTATGATCATTATTTTTTAAAAAGGTCATTCCATGGTAATTTTCTCAAATATTATCATTATAAATGTTTTAAATGACAAAATATCTGATTTTTCTATAGATTATAAAAAGATGGCCTAGGTTTTGGATCAAGCTCTCCCGATTATAAAAACAAACACTAAACTTAACTAAGCAATTTATTTAGTATAATTCATATTCAAAGAGATCGAATTGATTGAAGAACCCTATCTTCTGTTTTAGATGAATCTTGATCATCAATTGTGATATGATATTGCGATTTGCTAATCCTATTTCGGAAATTATAAAGTAGAGTTTTTTTTTCTTGCAACTTTATGGCTTTACTTCTTTTGCCACCCTTTAGTTATTTTGTCACTTTCGATCTGGTCGCCTCGATGGGATCTACATGCCTTACACTGATGTGTACCAATTTGAAAAACACTAGAAATTAACCCACGCAATGTGTGGGGTAATGTTTTTTAAACTTTTTAAAAAAATTAAATTTTAATTTTTTGGTTAAATTAAAATTGATGGTAAAAATCTTGTAACGAAAAAATTAAATAAATAAAATTGGTGACTATTAGATCACAATACATATAGAAATATCAGACAACCAATATTTACTTATATATATATCCATCGAAAAGGAGTTTGAGCTAGTTTTGTTATTCAGTTTAATTATTAGTAGTTTTTGAATATAAAAGTGATATGATGTTAATATATAGATATATATATATATACATACCAACATGGATTAGAATCTAAATATATATATCCATAAAATAAAATTTTAATTGTGAATAGAAATCAATCTACCATTTTTAGTTAATGAATTCTATAATACGTGTTAATAATGATTATATATAGGATTGTTAAAGTGGACAAACCCATCTACTTTATCTATTTTCAATTTACTAAAATATTTTTTCAACCAATCCGTAAAATTTTGAAAACATATTTCACTTTTTATAAAAAAATTGAATTGATTTTTGAAAATATACTAATTAATTATGAAAATAAAAATAGATTTTTTATATATATGGATTGATTATTCTTTAAAATAATAGAATATATTTTAATATTTTATTAAGTAAAGAAACTAAATAAATTTTTGATTTATATCTATATATATTCAAAACAAATATGTGAGTTATATATTTAACTATCTTACGGCGGAATATATTGGGTTTTTTATATTCGTAAAGTTTATTTATATAATATCTTATAAATAAATATTTATTTATGTAATATTTTATAAATAAATGTTTATTTATGTAAAATATTTTGTAATATCTTACAAGTTCATTTATGTGAATAATAATATAATATATATAGATTCAATGTTCTTACGTCATACATGCATTACCATATATATACTATACAGTATACGCTATTTGGCCCACATATATAACATGCGTGTGTATATATCCACTATTTGATGACTAAGATTTACGATACTGATAACTTTGAAACAACATGAAGAAAAATCAAATATGGATTTAAAGTGAAATGACGACGATTCTTTAGATCTTTTCCATAGCAAAAGTATATGACAATAGATATAGTTATAGATTTTTATCATAAACTAATCGTGGAAAAGAAATCTGTAATACTTATATTTTCGTAATTTGTCCAAGAATTCAAGATTTATTGTATGAATACACTAGCTCGACTGAAAGAAATCATTTTTATACATGTATTTTCTAAACTACAACTAATTAAGTAGGGAAAAATATATTAAGTTATTGATGTATAAGTAGTATACCAAGCGACATATGCACAGAGGGCCTGTGGGCGTATATAAACATCATGACGAACATTGAAACAGTTAAAATAAGTACGAGAATCGTCGAGGAGCTTTGCGACGTAAGGCTAATCCTAATTATGAGCATATTAAATTGTATCATCCAACTATTTTATGCAAACGACAAAAACTTAATGTATAGTTTAGTAGTAGAGTCTATTTAAATAAGATGTTCTTAAAAAAGTAGGCTTAAAAGCATATTGCGTAGCAAAGCACATTCTTGATATCATACTTTCATATTTTTCGCGCTTATCATCATATATCCTTTTCACGAAGCTTCCGCAACCGGTGAACTTTATTTTCCTTCTTTTTTAGTTTTTTTTTTTTTGTTTCATGAAAAATCTCAATAAAGTGACTATATTCAAACCAAAAAAAAAGTGACTATTGGACTGTATATTCCTTAATGTGATTGCCTTTTAAACCAAACTATACGATATACAGTATGTTAGTTTTATACTAGTATGACTTAAGAGATTCTGGTTGAAGGTGTACTCATCTTGAAACGAAACCAGTTGTTAACCGAATCCACCACATCTAAACCAAAATCAACCAGCCTAATGTACATAATCTTCAATTAATATGATTCGTTTTGAACATTTGATGGTATCTATGTATTTTATGTTTTGTTACTTCTTAGTGGATTATAATTCTTGTAGCTAGCAATCATAGTACTGATTAATATAAATAAAATAAACTGTTAACATGTGATATTTTAGAATGCAAAATAAGTTTATATAATGTAAGATATTAGATCAAGGGTTTGCTGTATTAAAAGAAAGGATAATAGAATTTTCATGATTTTTTTTTGTCAAATTTTAAACATTAGGAAAAAAAAAAAAAAAAACTGGGTGTTGGACCCAGGGCAGTCACCCCCACTCTCGCCATGAGTTAGAGCTGGGACTGGGTCGTTGCGGGTATGGCAACAGGCTTTGAGTCCTCTGCTTTTTCATGTTCCTTGTTCAATAACTGTAACATACAAGCCATAGTTAAACAAACAATATCCGAAGAGCAAGTTCATATATTTTTAGAGTGAGTGAGCGAGAGATGATCCTCTGACCTTGTTGTTGATCAAATTGTGGAGGGCGATTACACTTCGAATGAGAGAAGAAAGGTAAATAACGAGCATCATGTCATTTGTTTTCACTGCACAAAATGAATAAAGTTATTATGAATGGAAAAAAAAACGTTAGGGAATAACTGTGCCAACATAAAATTTGAAGGCAGAAAAGGCAAACCTGAAAAGGCTTTAACCAATTCGTTGACGTTCAAGTTAGGAAGCAAGTTGAATACGTCCTACAGGTTTTCGAAAGAGTATTTAAAATTAGCTGATCAATCCTCAATAGGTAATAGCAGCAACAGATACTAGGACGATAACAAGTTTGATAAATAAAACTTCTACCAGTCATCTAGATTTAAAAGCTGGGAAGTGTTCTAACCTGGAGATGGTATAAGATCTCGTGGTTTAATGGGAGTTTTCCTTCGATTACAAGGTCAAGGTAACTCCGAATCTCCCGAAGTCGTGCATCCAATCCCTTTAGAGCAGTAAGTTTCGCAGTAACCTAAAATATATAGTTCCAATCATTTTAACTTCCTCCAGCATAAAGATAGATGTTCCTCACATTATATACTTTAAGAGTAACGATCATGATTTGGAGAAGCGTTAACAAGCATGATAATGAAATGCTCAAGTTTTGTGTGAGTAAACGAACCTCAGTTGCCAAGGTACTAATGGTTGTGTCTTTTACATCCCTGAGCAAATGTTCCACACCTGTTCAAGAACAAACAAGCAGGTATTGGACTACAATGAATTTCCTCATAATAAATTACAGAAGCTCATCATTTATACCACTAAAACAGAAGGATTTGTTTTCCCCATGTCAACATACCAATTTCCTCCACTTCGTGAGCAGCGATTTCTGTAGGCACGTGTACAAACACTTGCTGGCTCTTCTGTGTAGCATTCTACAGAACAAGAAAAGTACTATCAAGACGATTAAATATATGGATATAACTACAGAAAGATAAAAAAGTAAATCAAGTATCTCAGATGCAATTGAACAGTCGAGAAAATGATATGGTTAGAAAAGGGCTGGTGTTTTACCTCCTTCACCTCCTCAACTGCATAGTATGCTTTTGTGGGGATGCCAAGTTCTTTAGGTTGGACATCAATAATGACCAACACTGGATTTGGAACATAGCTGCAATACCAGGAACCAAGATCAAAACTCAAGAGTAAAGCATCATTAAAGGATAGAACGAGAGAAGAGATAGATTGTAAATGCTTTAAAATGATTTCATAACTTAAAGAGACCATCAAACCATATATATCTCATGTCACCACCCAAAAAGAAAGACTAGATGAATTTGCCTTAAGCCATGGTCCTACCCATTGAACAAAGCGTGAACATCCAAATCATTCTCTCGAAGTTTAGGACCTGTGCTGTACCAACCCACAACATGCTCCTTGGCTGAAAGCAAACACTAAATAGATCAACACGAGGTTTTCCAGCATAGTCATATATACTCTTAAGCATTATTTTATTTTTCCTGAGACATACCGTTAATTCTCTTGAACATGTGAAACATCGACTCGTGGTAGTTGTGATCAAGAAACCAGATGCTTGAGTCTTTGTCATCCTCCTCAAAAGGAACTGTAAATCGAGATACAAAAGGTCAAGCAAGTGCAAGAGCTCAAACAGAACAAACTGAATCCAATTCCCTAAGGAGGAAGACACTTAACTTGAGTAGATATCAGTCAGTATCACAGAATCAACTTAAAGTACTCAATTGTGCAACCCAAACGCTACAAAATCCCAAAATTACATTAACATATAAATTAGTGTCTAACCTCACGAGATGGACGAAATTGAAGTAAATTTCACATAAGACCACTAAAAATGGCGAATTCTGAAATAGCAAGAGCTCAAACAAATTTCCGAGATCTGAACTAATAGCAAGCAGTGAGATCGAAGAGAAAGGAAAAAAATAAAATTAGAGCACCTGCGTAGCTGTTGGTGACGTCGACGGTGCCACGTGAGCTATTTCCGAGCAAAACGCCGACGACGCGCTTGCGAGTGTCCTTGGCTACACGATTGTAATGGTCGACGATACTAAGCAAGACAAGTGGGTGAACAACCACTTTCTCGATCGTCCTCGCTGATATCTGCTGCGTTTTTATCACATCCATTGTAGGGAGAATCAAATTCGCTTGACAACTACTCAATTATTCTATCACTGGGATTTATCAAAACCAAAAACTTCCGATTCCGTTTTCTCTCACGGAGCTTGAGTTTACTTCTTCCCCAGGAAAAACCTCTGAGCCAACTCTCTCTTCTAGCTCTCTATTTTATGAAGCTGGATGGGTTAAACCAAATAATGGACCTTTCTATTACAGAGCCCATTTATATGGGCCCTAAAGGTGACATTTTAAACAATTTATTTGCTCATTAATGTTTTCTATCACTTTTGGTTTAGTTTAATCTCTGTTTGTTGTATCGACCCGGTTTGGTGGTACATGTAAATTGATTGGGTTACCCCAAAAACATTTTGAATAACTTCGTGATCAAAAATAATTTTTCCTACCATTAATGTAATTTATTATAGTTTCTCGGACCAAATACCTCTGTTTTTTTTCTTATTTCTCTTTTCGTTTGTGCCGTCAACAACTAAATAGGTCTAAGATTATGGTAGACTATAATTTTCAGGTCAATATTCTGTAAAAGCTTCCATGTTATGATTTGTACATTGGATATTTGAGTCATAATTCAAAATACATAAGATCTCTTTAAATGTCTTCTTCTTCTTTTTGTTCTCGGACTTTCGAGAGTCGAGACAATAATTAGGTGGTCACTACAAAATTCAAAGAAAGCTTAATCGGAGATCCAACGGCGATGGATGTTCCATCTCAGCTCCACATGAAGAGTACGACGGGAACGTCGTCGTGTTGGTCTCTCGAATGTATTCACGGAACTGGTTATTGCCTCTGCTTCTCATTTTCTCCACCTTGGAGTCTTCGAACGAGTTCATCGGAAAGAGTTGTAATGTCTCTATTACCCTCTCTTCCTCTTCCTCGTTTATTTCAAAAACATCTACATAAGTAATACAATCACCCTTAAAAAGTTTAAATACATCATATATCACTAAAAACAACGTAACAGCTAGGGGAAAAACATTATAAAAAAACCACAAAACAACTAGCCAGAGAAATGACATCAGCTATAGTATTTTCTTGAGAATTACCTTTATTCGATGGTTGACGATGGTGATGAGAAATATGATCATTTTCTTGATGATGATGATGATCAAAATCAGTGGAGATTTTTCGGCGTTTTTGCCTCTCTCTAGCCTTATGGTTTTGGAACCAATAGAAAACGTTCTTGCTCTCGATCTTGCCGTAGAAACTGAGCTCCGTAGATATCTTCTGAATCTGGTCAGTGGTCGGAGTTCTAAGACCGGCTCGAAACAGATCGGTCAATAACTTCAACTGCTCCACCGTCGGATTCCACCTCCCGCACTTCGTCCCCGTCCCTCCTCCTCCTCCGTTGTTGCCACGTAAGCTACGACCTTTCACGGGGAATGACATTTTCAGATATAATTCTTCAATTTAGGTGTTTACGTTTTAGGGCTTGAATATACCCCCATATATATATATAACATATGCGGAGATCTTTTAATGGAGTATATCATATATATATCATGATTGTGGATCTTTTAAAAACAAAAAGAAGATTAAAAAGAGAAATTGAATTGATAAATTGTCGGGGGGAGAGGTTTTCGAGCTATGTGTCGTTTTATGATGAGTTGTTTATTACGAAATGCATGCTTTGTTTTTTTTGGGGATTCGGGAGAGACTGATCTTTGCAGATTTGATCGTTTTCTTTATCCTAACCTTTGCTTCTGTTCCCATATGTATTCTCATATTATTATTTTGACACTTTCTAGTGTGATATAATAGTTTATCCATACAGATCTCCTATGCCATCCTTGTTTAAAGTTTATATCGAGTTCCAGACGTAAATAATAATGTAAATATTTGTAAACATGACACTATGTGAACAGATTGACTCACAAGTTCTTTAACGTTAGTTTCGTATTTTGTTTTCCACAGAAGATGTGACACTTCAATCTCACAAGTTATTTAACGGTAGTTTTGTATTTTGTTTTACACAAAAGATGTGACACTTGAGGGAGCTTGGTCGGCAAATTGCAAGACTGGGAAAATTTTAATTTCTTTTGTTCATGAAATTTTTGTTGTCATCATATTTATTTTAACTCAACAAAAGACCATTTGCAAATAAAACAAAAAATGTTTAGATATCCTCAGATTTGGTAAGTTTAAATAATAAGCAGGAAAAAAGTTTTATTAGTTTTATTTATAATACAAAAGTTTTATTATTATTTTTTTATAATACAAAAGTTTTATTAGTTGTAGACAGGAAATTTGCATGGTCTAGAACTCTAGATGTTTTAGATCTCTAAATGACATGCACTTCTAACAAAATAGAAAAAGTTTTTTTTTATATATATAAATGAAACAGAAAAGAAACATTAGAACTAAATCTAGTTGAAAAGAAAAAAAAATCTCATTTCGCTTATTTATATTCATGTGTCCATAAAACTGTATTAATGGTGATGATTTAGAGGACACATGCACGGGACGCTAAGCAATACGAAAATGGTCCAAAGAGTAAGATGACAATGTGAATAAAACCAAACATTGTTTTTATAAACAAAGGACTCTTCGCTAAACAACATAACAGTACTTCCAAATATCTTTGTCTCTCTCGTGTATAATTTGTTTTTCTTTTCGAACATTTTATTTAGCAAAGGTGCCCACAGATTTATAGGCAATTTACATCTCGCGTATACATTGCTTATTGTTTTTTCTTAAATTGATCAATACGGCGTCAAATTCAAAACTCTTGTATTGCCCTGATATTGATATTCAGTAGTTTGCAACTTTGCATAGTGTTTTGTTTTTTCAGGAAAAAAACAGAAGTCCGGGTTCCAAGTTTTGGGAACCTCAAAAGGCAACCTTGGTTTCAAAGTTGTTATACGATATTATTACTATTATTAAAAGCATACTCCATTATAGAGTGCTATCAATCAACCCGTTTGTGCTACTGCAATCGACACTTATGGAAGTTGTCTAACCTTGATGGACAACAATCTTGATTTAAGTAACTATGCGTACAATTTTTGGAACAAAAAAATTCACTTTTCTTACTAGGTCATACATGTGCGTACGCGCACGTTTTATTTCGCATAATTTTTCTCAAATATGTTTGAATTTCTTATATATGCATTGATATTTCTCAAAATATGGTAATTTGCTGGATACTTTTCTACATATTCTTAAATATGTTTATCAAACAAATAATTATCTGTATATTTTTGATGGTAAAATACTTTTGGACCACTGTTTATCATGCTGGAGAAAAATTGTAGGTGACATTCAATTTCTGATAGCACATATATATATATATATATATATATATAATTGAAAACTAATTGAATCTGTTTATATAAAATTTCATAAGTGTTATATTATAAAAAAGGAATTTAGAAAATTTCAAAAGTCTTTTATTATGTAAAACTTAATTATACTTTGATGATGTTTGCTACCTGATGAAAGCAAGTATTGATAGGGCCGACAATCAATTGTGTAACATAACTAGTTGGAATCCAAGAAACTTCTTCAGAATATCGGCATAAATTACTTATGACCAGAGGGTAAGGTTCGTATTTGCATATGCATTTGATCTTTGAAACCGAGTCAGAAAGATTTGTTTCTCAACAGTCAAAGAATTGTTTCTCAAAAGAAGTTGGCTTTAATTTGGTAAGTTCTCTCAACAAAACAAAGCCCAAATGCCCCAAACGACACAATGTTTTTATGAATAAACCAAGCGAATATGGTTGATTCTGTCTTAGACTTGGAAAGAATCCAAATCAAATTTGATTTCTAAACAGGAATGTACAGTCCTATTCATTTAGTAAAAAACCTTTAGAAACAAGCTTAAAGCTTTGACAAACAAGATAGATAATGAGAGATCTCTAATTGTATGTGTTCCACAAGTAGTTGCAACACAAACAATTGATCTCTGAAGGTGTCCTAATGGAAGATGGATGGTTCACAAAATGAAAAAAATGAAAAAAAAAAAAAAACACTGAAAAGAATTGTAGAAAGATGGAAAAGTAGGAGAGAATGTACAAATCAGATAAAAATTAGTGAATTGAGATCAAGCATCATCAGTATCACTTTCTCCGGCCTCAACTTCTTGAGCCACATAGTAATTGTTCCCATCCGGACCCCAAACCTTGTACCTGTCAAGAATTTGAAACCAATTCATCAGCTCAACTCAGAAAACCTTTGTTTAACATCAAAATCAGCTATCAAGATTAATCGGGTAGTTACCTTTCGAGAACAGATTTTCCTTCCTTGTACTTTTGATTCTTTTCAAAAGCAACCTCCTGTGAATAACAAACAAAGAAAAAGTTGAGACCAAGAAACCGTAGTGTAGCAAAGCAAGAGCCAAAATGCAAAATCACTTTTCCAAAAAAAAAGAGAAACAAACATTTTGATTGTTTCCTTACATATCTCCATCCAACATAAGAGCCGCATTTGACACAGTAAATATCAACCACGGTGTGCATTCCGGTCATCATCATCCTATCTTCCTTCTTCCCAGCATACACATTCGCTCTGTCCACACGAATTCAGTACTGGTAAAAATGCATAAAACTATTCCTGTCCAGCTTTGACCACAAAAAAAAAAAAAAAAAAAAAACAGATCAAACTTGAAGAAGAAAACTTACACCTTCCTGAAGAGGTAAGCTTTCCCATGTCGGGATTGAAAAGACTGTCAACAGACAAACAAAGATGTTGTCAGTGTTATTCTAAGTGTGAACTATAAGCACTTAGAAATAAGTAATCGAAACGATTGCATTTTTGCATCTAATCGCAATTAAATCCAAGATACGACACAGCTTAGACACCAATCAAATTATTATACTCGAAGAGAATGCAGGACAGTCTCAAGATCACATACCAGAAGAGAGAGAGAGAGAGAGAGAGTCTGACAATGTTTGAATCATAGATTGATCTAATTTCCTACATGAAGAGCTTAGAAATTTAAAAACAGTGATGCGTTGAGAATGCAGGACAATCTAAGAAAAATGAAAGTAGTCCCAATTCTCGTCCTTCTTATACAATTGAATCGATAATTGAGAGTTTTGATCAAGGAGATTCCAGATAATCATCAAAAGGGCATAGTCAATAACAATGCAAGCTTTCCAGTCAATTTAGATCATCTAATTGCGTAATCATCAAAATACAATCATAGTGAGAAGAAACCTCCTGATGATGATTTTGATCGGAGAGAAATCGCAGTAACCCAGATTAAGATTTAGCAGCAAAATCACGGTTAAGTAACAAAAAAACTTCCAGAAACCAAAAAAAAAAAAAAAAAAAATCAGATTCAACCTTGGAGACGACATCTTCGCAGAGGGCAAGATTAGTCTTGCAGTGCCTACAGCTGTAAGACTTGCCTTCCAAATTCACCAAGAACAATCTCCCCATCTGTCACTCTTCTCCAGATATCGATTTTAAAACCAAAAGAAAAAAAAATCTACTTGTTGAAAAAGGAACCGATCAAGGAGAGTAGTGTGATATACAATGGGAGATCACTAAATTACGGAAGAAGGCGTTAGAATTATCTGCCGATTTGAGATGAAAGAAAAAAAGAAAAACTATAAAATGGAGGAAATTCAGAGTGGTCTTTGACGATATTTTATATTTATATAAAAAAAAAATGCTACATCTTTTGTAGAAACGTGGACCTGACAAAGTCATGGCTTGGGAATTTACGGAAACTATTTTTTTTTTATGCGTATTACGAAGAGAACTCTTATAGTATATTTATAATATTATGTTTCATATTGCTACTAGATTGATGGAGTTTATATATACGTGATTGCTTCTTTATGTATCATACAAATTGTCAAAAATATTATATTGTTCACTGTTTATAATGCCATGGACAATTGGACATGGACCATAAATTTCGTCTTTTTTTGTCTTTTTCATTTTCCCCTAATTTTTAATCGATACAATGTAAAACCTTCTGGGCGATAAAGAGTCTTTACTAGATTCTCGACTCTCCTTTCTAAATAAGCCGCGAAGTTCTTCGGAAGCCGAACACAAACGCAAACCGCATCTTTCTGCGTCGTTCCTTGTGGTTCGTCGAAGTTAAAATCTCATCTCTCACTCAGTTGGTCGCCGGAGACGCCAACGAGGTTTTGAACTACGCGAACTTATTCGGACTTTCTTTGACTACCTTCATAAACCTTCAGAAAAGGCGAAAAAGGTATCAAGCCTTGTAATTTCTCTTTGGTCACATAGAATTAGATTTTGATATCGATTTTCAATGTGTTCTGAGTCTCATTGATTATCTCTAGTTTACGTGTTTATTCTTTGAATTAGCTTATGGTTCTAGTCTATGCTGCCGGATAGATGTTCGATCCAATGCCTGAATGAAATAAAAGAAGAGAGATTTAGTATCGCCTTGCTTATCGATTGTTTGTTTGTTTTGGGATGTCTAGATTTTGAACCTGGAGCGACTTCCTTGTGTGATTACTTAATTCGGCTATGGCTGCAACCAACGTTCGTAGTAGCAGCTTCTCTCGCAACATATCAGTTGTGTCATCGCCTCAAATACCTGGTCTCAAATGCGGTCCTAATGGCACAACCTTTATATCGACCGGGATTCGTGATCTCGACAGTGAGATTTCTCCTCCTTATTTACCAATCATGAGGATGAGAGACTTTGGCTTTTGGTGCTAAATATATTGTCTTTTATTTTGTTTCCAGGGATACTAGGTGGTGGGTATCCTTTGGGAAGCTTAGTAATGGTGATGGAAGATCCTGAAGCACCGCATCATATGGATCTGTTAAGAACTTTCATGTCTCAGGGGCTTGTTAACAGTCAACCACTTCTTTATGCTAGTCCTTCGAAAGATCCCAGAGGGTTTCTTGGTACGTTGCCGCATCCTGCATCATCCAAAGAGGATAAACCTACAGCGCCCGACCCTGATCAGGTGCTTCCTTCTCCTCTGTACCTTCTTTCTGTTTGTTTTTTCCTGCCAAGACATGAAGACTTATTTACAAGTTGGGTCGTGTTCATCGTTGTCAATATTGTAGGGAGAGAGCTTGAGGATTGCTTGGCAGTATCGGAAGTATATGGAAAACCAGAAGAATTCTATTGGTAATCTAGTTTGTGCGGCTATATAATCTCATATTTGTCATTCACGAATAAATCAACCTATTAGTAAGCTACTATCATTCTGTGGATACATAATCCTTTTCATTTAATTCTGGAACAGATGATTACTCCAATGACTTTGATATGAGAAAGCCCTTGGAGAGGCAATTTCTTAGCGGACGGCCAATAGATTGTGTCAGTCTGTTAGATTCTTCGGATCTTTCCGTTGCTCAGGACCACTGCGCCACTTTTTTATCAAAATTTCCGAGGTTGTGTGGCATCCCTTTCTTATTTGATGGTCAACTACTTCTCACTAGTTTCGAATCCATAAAATTTGCTTGTCCAGTTCCATATCTATTACGTGAAAATTTTCCTAAGCTCATTTTCTCGACATCTCTCCTATACTTCCAAATGTGCTACTTTATTGGGAGGGACTTTAGTTTTTTAATGTTCCCAATATAAAGATGATACAGTATGTTTCCATTAGTTTTATCCTCAGATATTGTTCTAGTTCGTCACTTGTTCAGATATTGTTCAAGTTCTTCTATTAATTTTTCGGACTTTATTAAGATGCTTATCCTTTTTTCTTTGTGTGATTATTTCCACAGAAACAGCAGTAGCATTGCATCCGTTGGCCGCATCGCAATCCAGTCATTCTGCTCTCCCCTGTGTGAGTATTCTGATAAGGTAATTTGGTCGAAGAGCTCTCTAAACTTATAGCCTATCTTCATATAACAAAGTGTCAGTTTACTTTTTAACCAAAATTCTCTGACTCTAAATTTGATGAAAGCTAAAACAGTAGCTGGCACTCTTCTATCTTCTACCAAGGCAATATTATCGTGTTGTTTTTGATTAATTGTTTCTGTCAACACAGGAATCAGACATGCTTTCGTTCATAAGATTGCTAAAAAGTATGCTGATGGTTTCAAATGCGGTAGCCATTGTTACTTTCCCGCCTTCCATGCTCTCCCCGTCTTCCTCAAAAAGATTGCAGCACATGGCGGATACCTTACTCTCTATCAAAGCGATCCCAGGTTTGTTCCCCTGATCTGCTTATTCTCGTTAATAGATTATCATCATTGGCTGACAAGTGTTCTCACCTTTTTCCCAGATGGTGACAAGGAATTGGAGAAACTTCTCACTGGCTACAAGGACATAAATGGATTCCTCAACGTACACAAGGTTGCACGAATTAACACGCAGGTATTTATCTCCTCAATGTAGACATGTTATTACCCTGAAACCTGTTAGCAAATACGGTAAAACCCCTTTATGGGCTCCTCTAAGCCACAATCAAAACAATTCCAACCGAAAAGCCTTGATGAAGTTTAAATTTTTACCCAACCCCATCTGATCCAAAGTTCCCTCTTTTGTTCCTAAAATACTGGCTTTGTCTGGAATTGTTTAATGAAACAGGTGCCTGTAATTCTTGATGCAAAGACTTTCTCGATGAGCTTGAAGAAGAGAAGATTCTTGGCTCTAGAGTGTCTGAATCAAGCCCCCGTAGATGGGTCCAGTGGAACATCGTATGGCACATCTGGGAGCTGCTCAGGATCATCCAAATCTGGAGCACTCGATTTTTGAGTTGCGGAGTTAGTTTTCCTCATCTTCTTCTTGGCTTTATTTTTCTAAGTTCTCTGCTTTCACTTCAGGAACTGGGCATTAGAATGTTGGGTCTTAAAAAAAAAACAGTTTTGACATTAGCTAAAAGCGAAGCAAAAGTATTTTCTATAATCTGTCTTTTAAGTAACAAAAACATGAGATCTATATCATGAGAGAAAAAAAAAAAACAAAAAAAAAACAAAAACATGAGATCTATATCATTTCATTTGTTGTATCCATGCAACTTTGGCCAAATAATAGATCCAAAGTACCTAACGGCTAACGTATGATCTAAAAAACGTGATTATATAAAGAAATCGTTGGGGGCATTGAATGAAGTGTCGGTTGATCTATATTTGGTGCTCCTTTACTTACCAACCAACGAACACATCATTTGAATTATTGCTCATAAATCTGTGTCTCTACCCACACTCATTATTTTTTATTGACTTGTATTCTTTCAAAGCTTATAATAAACATAAACAAGAGAAACCATAAACTAATATGTCCAAATATAAGCAGAAAATAAAGCTTTCACATCATTCTTCTATCCTAGCTTTCCATTGTTCTATGAAATATATAAAAGGAAGTGATGATGAAACTATAATATTAAAGTAAAATCATCATTGAATATTGTGTTGTTCACAAACAAACAGGCCTAGGAGAAACAGATCCTTTAAAAAGGAAATAACAGTAATGCCCGTCATATATAAGCAGGCTTTTGTTTTGTTTGTTTTTTTTCTTGTTTTTTCAATTTTTCTGTTGTATTTATAAATAAATAAAAAACGAGACTTTCGTGCATTTAATCTCGCAACTTACGACAAAGAGTGTGCGAGATCGATACAGAGAGACAGAGAGAGAGAGCGAGAGAGAGAGAGAGAGAGAGAGAGAGAGAGAGAGAGAGAGATCGGTCAGGTTTGCCGTGGAGAATCAAGGGCCAGTTTCAGTTGTGGTGAACAGAGGAGGAAGAGACGTGATTGTGTGGTTGGTTGGTGTGAGAGAGATTAGAGAGATAAAATGGTTGGACCGTCGCGGCCTCAGATCGTTCTATTTGGATCCTCCATCGTCCAGATGAGCTTCGGCCATGGAGGTTGGGGCGCCATTCTCTCCGAGGTCTATGCTCGCAAGGTTTAATCTCTCTCTCTCTCTCTCTCTCTCGCGATCACTCTTTGTAACTTCTTCGGGTTTTTATTTGATCAGTAATTCGCTAGTTTCAGAGAAATCTTAAGTGGATCGCCTTGTTCTAATTACTGTTTTTGTTATGTCCATAAATTATATGTTTTTTTATTAAAAAAAAATTAGCCTTCGAATTTCTGAATTCTAAACGTTGATTCTGGAAAAATTCATGACCTTTCTTCAACGTAGTTGATGACTAAAGGATTGCAGAAGCTTATTACTTCTCCCTTTGGGATGTTTTCATGTTTGGTTCTCTTTTCTGTGGAACTATTGTCTAAAATGAAAAGTGAAGCTTTGCCGTGTTGTTGTCTCTTTGGTCGGTGGAATGATATTCCAAAAGGAAATGCATTTAATGCAAAATTAAATTTGGTGGGATTTTATGGAGACAATTGATGAATGTGGGCTCTTTGATCAAAAATGTGACTTTTTTCTTCTGTGAACAAAACGTGTATAGGCCGACATCATTCTGCGAGGATATTATGGATGGAACTCAACTCGTGCTTTGGAAGTTGTGGACAAAGTGTTCCCTAAGGTAACTCTTGAGAATTGTGGATTCCGTATATCTATTAGTTTCTTTATACTAGATTATCATAGATTCAGTATTGGATACAAAGAAATTCTTTGGAAACCTTGTTTGATTAATTACCATTATAAATTGCTCAAAAGGATCACAAAAGTGTCTGTAATTACTTCCATGGTTAGGCACATCTGTTGCCAGAGAAATGTATCTTGTCTGCCTGGTTCGAGTTTTCTTGATTGTTAAGCTGTGTTCTCTGATTTTATAATGTCTTGAATCTCCATGTACCTATCATTGAAATTTTTGTAGAATGAGCTTTACGTTTGCAAAGAACTATCAGTGTACAATGCTTCTGGTTTCTTTCCACATTGTTGTCTACAAATGGCAGGCGTAGATATATAACTCGTAATGGATGCAGGATGCTGCAGTGCAACCTTCTCTGGTAGTTGTCTATTTTGGAGGAAACGACTCAATGGCGCCTCACCCTTCTGGTCTAGGACCTCACGTACCAGTTACTCAATACGTTGATAACATGAAGAAGATCGCTCTTCATCTTCAGGTTACTTCCTTACAGATATTGATTTATTAATCTTTTTCTCCTGTCACGTTTGAAAAGCCTTCTCAAGTGCTCATTTTCTTTCTTATGAAGACTTGGAATTGAGGCTTATCTTACTGAATCTTTATAATGTTATCCTTAAAGCTTCTAATGCTCTATGCTCTGTTTCATCAGAGCCTTTCAGACTCGACCCGCATCATATTTCTTAGCTGCCCTCCAGTGGACGAGGCCAAGGTTCGTCAAAACCAAAGGTGACATGACTTCCCCTGACTTTCTCCACTTATCTCTTCGTATTTGCTCCTGTCTTAATTAATATTTCATTGCTTCTTTGTTTCTCTCTCACAAAAAGCCCATACTTGAGCGAGGTGATCCGTACAAACGAGCTCTGCAAGACTTATTCAGACGCTTGTGTGGAGCTGTGCCAAGAGCTCGGCTTACAAGTAGTTGATCTCTTCTCTACTCTTCAGAAAGCAGATGACTGGGAAACCGTTTGCTTCACGTAAGTGTGTTTAGAATCCAGAACAAGTTTTGATCTCAGAAAGCAGATGACTTTAACGATGATGTTCTGGTTTCTTACAGAGATGGGATTCATTTGTCAGCACAAGGAAGCAAACTGGTGGCTGCAGAGGTACTGAGAGTGGTTAAAGAAGCGGAATGGAGACCGTCGCTTCACTGGAAATCGATGCCAACTGAATTCTCTGAGGACTCTCCGTATGATCTTGTTTCTGCAGATGGCAAAAAGACTGTTAACTCTTCGGAATGGACTTACTTTTGGGAAGAACAATGGGATTGATTTGACCATTACAAACAACAACAACAACAACAACAACAACAAGAACTTTATATAATTTATTGTTGCCTTGGCCATTTTCGATTCCAATATGTCTTAATGTACTTTGTTTTAGATTGTTTACTAGTTTATCTTCTGAAAACGTTTTTATTTCAAAGTGTTTTGGTTTCCTCATGCTTTACGTTTATACAGGAATCATAGACTCCAAGTCTGTGCTTAAGTAATAATTTCTTAAAGAGCCTCTTACCTTCGGAAAAAGTCTTCAAAGTAGAAAGTTGAAATCTGAAACCCATTACATGGTCAAAGGTTGTTTCTTTACTTGTAACATTTAACTATAACAAAAAAATGTCAAAAAATTATGAAATGTTTAAGAAAGAAAAACTGACATAATCAATGTCTATGTATTTTGCCACATTCATACACACACACTAATCACGAGAGCTAAAATTGGTTTTAATAATTATTTTAAAGGAATAGATAAAATATCAAATGGGAAAAATACAGAAAACCAAAAGGAAAGAATACTTTAAATATTTCAAGGAAAAATAAGCGGTTTATTCGTAACAAGTTTTAGAAGCTGACTAGTAAAGAATGGATTAGTTTGGGCCTACAATTAAAATAGGTTTCGAACTTACGGCCCAATAAGGGTCTCCCAAATAAGTAGCCTTCACCCAAAGCGACGTATCTTCAATTGCCAAACCTTTTCGCTGACGCAACCAAACTCCCAAAAATAAAATAAAAAACATAAAAAAACCTCTTTTTCCTCTCTCTCTCTCTCTCGTTTCTTTTTCTTCCGTCTGCTTCTCCTTCTCTCTCCATCTCATTCCAAGCTCTCTCTATCTCTTTCTTCTCTCTCTCTCTCTATGTCCGAACGCATCGGGTCTCAGAAACCATTGATGCCGACCTCGATCCTTCTCTACTAGCAACTGATCTATACGTTTACACACACCGTATTTATATACGGTCTCAAATACTCGTACCTGTACAGCCATGGCCGCCGTTTCCTCTAACCCTCGCACCGTCGAAGAGATCTTCAAGGATTATACCGCTCGTCGCTCCGCTCTTCTTCGTGCTCTAACTAAAGGTCTTACCAAACCCTTATTTTTCTCTCTTTCCCTCTCTCTCTCTCTCGAAATTTCCTAGATTCATTTATAATCCCTTAACTTGTTCCTCGTTTTTTTCCAGATGTCGATGATTTCTACTCTCAATGCGATCCGGGTAAGTCTGCATTAGCATTCTGCAGAAGAAAGACTTCGCCTTTTTTCTTGCTTTGGGGATTTTATGCAGAACAAGATACCTAATTTTTCTCCTTTTTCTTTAAGAGATTTGATTCTTCTGGTTGATTTCGAAATTGGTGTTTGTGTAGAAAAGGAGAATTTGTGTTTGTACGGACACCCAAATGAGTCATGGGAAGTGAATCTACCAGCGGAGGAAGTCCCTCCTGAGCTTCCTGAGCCTGCGCTTGGTATCAATTTCGCCAGAGATGGTATGCAGAGGAAAGATTGGCTTTCGCTTGTTGCTGTCCACAGTGATTGTTGGTTGCTCTCTGTCTCTTTCTACTTTGGTGCTCGGCTTAATCGCAATGAGAGGTATTTTCTCCCTGACCCTCTTTCGACTTAATTTGATTCAGCAGCACTCTCAATGTTTTGAGTTTTGATGAAGCCTAGCCTTGTACATCTAGTTGATTTCAACGGATTTTGTTCTTCTTGCATGGAACCTTATTTCTTTTTATGATATGTTTCTTGGCTCTTTTAACCCCAACTTTAAGCTTTTTGTAGAATGAAATGTGCAGTGGAAAACGTTAAGAAAAATTGGAACTTTTGTCATGGAGTGTGTTTGGAATGAGAGCGCCTTTGGTTGCACTTTTTTATCTTCTCCTTTGATGCGTGTGGATCTTCTTTTTTCTTCTTTTTCATAGGCTATGTTTTCATGTGGCTATGTTTTCCTGTGGCATGACTCATATCTTAGGATCTCGATTATTACTACATCTGTCTAAACTTTTATCAGCTCTTTTTGGCATCGTTGGATATTGTTATGGCGAAACTTGTAACTATTTGTTGTGGGTGTCATTACTTGATTTACTCTTCTTTATCTTAGAAGCCAGGTATTTGCTATCTTATAACATCTTCACAAACGATATTTTGTGGAAGCATGTGATGAATTTCATCGTTTCATTGTTACATCTGGACGCAAATCGTAGTAACTATTAAACTGTTGCATTGGAATCTCAAGAACTTTGCTGTAAAAAGGAAATGTGTTGCATATCGACAAAATGGCTCTTTTATTAGTACTATTGATATCATATCACTGTTATATATTTCTGTGAAATAATCTTTTTTGGTTACTTTCTGTCCCACTGTTCTCTTTCAAGAGAGAAGCTTTTTGGCATTTAGATGGCTACCGACTATAGGTTCACGAAGCTAGACATTCTTTGAGCTCACATTGTACATGACGAACAGGTCACGAAAGTGATGGCTTCTCTTATCATTTTCAGTAGACTAGTTAAAAGCACGCTAAAGACTTTATTCCGGAGGATGGAGAATCTTAACCTACATAGTTGGGAGACATATAATGCTTCACATAGATTCACAATTGGTGTACTGATATTAAGATTCTGTATCTTTTTTTTCCCTAATCAAGTTTGTAACTTCTTTCATCTCCCTTTTCTAATGTATTGTCCACCCATAAAATCATATTTTCAATTTGCAGGAAACGGCTATTCAGTCTGATCAACGATCTCCCAACTCTCTTCGATGTAGTGACTGGTAGGAAACCTATCAAAGACAATAAGCCAAGCTCAGATTCCGGAAGCAAATCCAGAAACGGGACTAAGGTACATTAGAAAAAGGGATTTTCCTTTTCACTTTGTTATTTGTGGATTCTCGGGGTTCTCTCGTTAATAACGAAAAATGGGTTTGTTGCAGAGATCAATAGAAGGGCAGACAAAGAGCACAACACCAAAACTGACGGAAGAGAGCTATGAGGATGAAGAGGAAGAAGACGAGCATGGAAACACTCTATGTGGAAGCTGTGGAGGCAATTACACAGAAGATGAGTTCTGGATTTGCTGTGATGTTTGTGAACGTTGGTACCACGGAAAATGTGTGAAGATCACTCCCGCCAAAGCAGATAGCATCAAGCAGTATAAATGCCCGCCTTGCTGTGCAAAGAAAGGTAGACAGTGATGAACTGATGATGGTCAGTCATCATCATCTCCCAGAGCCTCTGGTTCTCATGTCTTTATCGATATATTAATCAACCTTTTTTCTTCTTTCTCTTTTTTTTTTGTCCTTTTCTTCTTTAACCTTCTTTTAATTTTAAAGCATACAAAACTCTCTCTTTAGATCACCAGAAAGGGATTTCAAGAAGTTGAGAGAGAGGAGCAACTGTTTGAGTACTATTATTATTCGTATAAGAGAACTGGTTTATTGTTCCATCAAATGTGCCATGGGATTTGTGTATTTTGCATTCTATGTTTAATCCTTTTTTTTTGTCTTGTTTGGTCTTTTATCAATGTTCTACAATTTTTAGAATATTATTATCTGAAATTATATGAAATGTCGAAGCGAATTAATTGTAGAGAGCGTTTTTTTTTTGGTCGAAATAGAGAGCTTTTGTTTTGTTGTATGTCACTGAGATGTCAAAGACACCAAACTTATAGGCTCGTAGTTAACAACAATCGGAAGAATAGATAGACAATGACTAATGAGACCACCATGTATATATTGGAAAATATTAAGGGCCCCCAAAAAAACATATCCAACCCTTATTTCCAATATATACAATCTGCTCATGAATATTTTACTTCTTCTAGCTCACATGTGTTAAATAGAATTTTTTTTTTTTTTTTTTGTGTAAGAAAATAGTAATGTAGTAGTAGTTAGAAGATCTAAGAAAGAATGGTAGGAGAGTGTAAATTTTTTTTTCTTTTTTTTGGTCACAGGAGAGTGTAAATAATGAAGTAGTATATATTAGATCTAAGAAAAAATGAAAGAAATAGCGGTACCACTTTGTGATGGGTAGACTACACTATACTAGCGATATATGTTTACCGTTGCGGTAAAGGATTAGCAATCAGATTTTGAACCAACAAATTTGAAACTTGTATTCAAATTGTTCGTTGAATAACATATTGCAACCTATAAATTAAAATTTACTAATTGAATAATACAAGAATATTAACCAAACTCTAAAATCAATAATTGAATAATTAAAAACTATGATTGGAATGTAAAGTCAATGCAAATCATCAATCTAATAAACCCCGCTATTAGTTTATAATATAGATATAATAGTCGCCAAAATTAAGATTTCTAACATGTATCAAGGAGGGCGATCAAAAAAAAAACCAGCATGGGGCTCACCACATCCACAGACATACTAATTTTGGTTTTTGGGTATTGAAAATGTTATTCCTCCAATCTTCTTATCAACCGTTAATTATTAGTCCCCATGTCCCAACTATATATTATAAAGAACTTAAATCGAATCTAACAAGATTTTACAATAAGGTCAACACGAATTGTATCCGTTATATACACGTAAATTAAAATAATGTGTGTACCATTAACTAGATACTACTCGTACTAGATATTTATTGCGTTCACATGTCGGTCATTTTGTATGTAATGCTAATTTTTAAAGAAACATATTGTCTGGTAGATTAGTTGCTTAATCAATACATGAAAAAACTATAGTACCAATAAGCTCCATTATTGTTGTTTCAAATAATAGAGGAAGCATGATTAAAATTAGTATGCTTCATCAATCACGGAATCACCATAACATCATGTGATAGTGAGGTTTAACAATTATACTATTTATCTAGTTTCGTATAAAATAATATGTACGTTCTATGTCAAGTCTTTCGAATATAACAGAATACATTTTGATAAATAATTAATGACCAATCAATCATCATCACTAAATTTGGATTAGGTAACTGTTGTTGGAAGGAGAGAAAGAGTATAAATATAGGATAATGATAAACTATATAGTATAAATAGGAAACTACATTTTATTGAGTTTATATATATTATTATACAATAGAGTTACTGTAAATATATAGGAACCACAAAATATCTAAATTGCATAAATGCTATGATAGTATTCTCGGTAATGCATTGATTCATTTTGTTCTCCAATATATATCTTCGTCGATCATTAGAATCTTTTGGTATCTTTTTGATGTTCCCTAGCTTCGATGTCCTCACCACCCTATTCAAATAATGTATCCTTCAGAAATTAGTTCACATTGATCAAAAAGAATATTAATGTGTACATATTGCTCAATACTCAAATAAAGATTAACATATATATGTATTAGTAATTGAGTTACTTAAGCAAGAAAACTTACAGTTCGTCTCTTTTATCGGACATTTTGTGAAGTATATGAATTAACGAGGGGATATAAGAGACTCAACGTAGGATTTTCCACGTGGACCTTGAGTTCGAATGAAGAGTCTATATTGATCAAAGGTCATAGGAGGATATAAAGGAGGATTATTAGAGGTTACAAGTTGTTGCAGTGGTTGGATCGGAATGTCACTCTTAGGGTTATAGAAGAAGGCAAGTGAAACCCTTTCTTTCTGCGAATTCACTATCACTCGATGTTCCGAACTCTTGTATATCGAATTGCTTAGTATCTGCCATTTATAAACCGCATTTCAAAGTTTCCTTAGGGTAAAAAATTATTAATGCAAAAGCTTTTATTGCATAACTAACAGCTTCATCAAACGTAAATTAAGATTCAAAATATGCTCGATTTATGCATGCGCTTCTAAAAACTACTCAAACAACTTTTCTCCTTTTCTTGGTTAAAGACTACTCAAATAATCACAAACCGCAAAGTCTCACTTATTGATTTGTTTATTCAAATATCGTCTTATATAAAATCAAATCGTTTGATGTTATGAAAGTGTACATGATCAAAGATTCAAACATGAGTCATTATATTTAAGTCGTACAATTAATATGTTTCAGAAGTTTGGCATAAAGTTAAAACTGGTTGTCATATATTAAGACATATCTAAAACGTGGAACTAATTCTAGGATCATCTTCCACCAATTATCGGTCATTAACATAATTTGCATTTTTGTTTTTGTTTTGGTCAACATCTTTATTTCTATATTCCTGGTGTTGTGGTTTACGAGTGTATGTGGTAAATAGGAAAGAAAACTTGGAAACAAAAAGAAACGTAGACTTTACGCAATTAAACACGAATTTTTTTTTTTTTTTAAACTAGGGTTACCTGAATTTGATCGCCGAGATTGACGATAAAAGCGTGGGGGAGAGGATTGACGGTGATCCACGTGTCGCTGTGACGGACTTGAAGACCAACGACTTGATCGTCCGGCAAGAGGATGGTAATGCCGCCGGGATCGGAATGAGGGGAGAGGCCGAGGGCAAGCTCCGGTCGAGGGCATTTCGGGTAATAATTAATCCTCATACATGCGCCTACGTCTTGTCCACCAAATGCTTCTTGAAGTTGTTCTTCTTTTAGTCCCAAATTTGACGATAATATCCTCATTAGTCTCTCGCCCAGCTTCACTAGTTCCTTACCATACTCATCCATCACTTCTCTATAGTTAACAAAAGAAGCATTATAGATCCCAAATTAATATGTCTAAGTATAGTAGAAAACAAAAATCATATTTTATGATTGTATAGAAAATTTCCGGGTTAACTCATAATAAAAAAAATGCTTTTCTCTTGTCATTCATCTATGATCGTAGCATAATTCTCTTACTTTTTAAAATGTTGTTTGGCTGGCGTATCTTGAGTCGCTAAAAAATTCTCAATGCAACTCAATTAATACTATAGGTTAGTTTTACAAAAGGACTAAAGAAAGGGAACATGATTAGTTTATTAATTTAATATTTCAAACAAAAGTTCGAGAAATTTCATGCATAGAAATAATCGAACACGAAGGTCGTTAATCATATGAACAAATTAACCCGTTATTAAGTAAGAAAAATAAAATAAAGAAAAGGAAAAGAAGTTGAGAGGCTTAATTAATTACCTAATGTTGGAAGGTAAAGAAGGCCATTTGTTGTGATCTTTCAAGAGAAGAGGAAGAAAATGGAGAAAATAATAATCATTCCAATCAAGAATTGCTCCTTTTTCCACACCCAATCTGCTTCCGTATCCTTCATAGGTCAATGGCGAGTTTGAGTAAACTTCTTTGGCTTCGACTGGTAAATTGAAGAAACTTTTCCAAGCTTCTCTAGCCGCATCCATCAGCTCCGGCCTCACCTCATGGTTGATCACCTGATCATATGATCGTGCTTACATAAACGATCAGTAATATTATTATTTTTAACCTAACAGACACTGCATGTATTTGGTGCAATAAAACTGAAAATTCTTGAAAATTCAATATTTTTGAGTTAAAATAGACACTAAAGTTCAGGAAAGTAATTACCCTTTATATTGCTTTCTCCAAAATTTAAACCGAACAACCAAAAATTGTAACCCTACCGAAACATCAAATGTCATTTTTACCTGGAAGAACCCAAACTTACGGCATGCCTCCGACATCCTCTCCTTGACGTCTTTGTTACCGGAGAAGAGGCTCTCTAGGTCTATGATCGGGATATTTATGGCGGCAGCTTCCGGTTGGTGGTTGATAGTGGTGATTTGAGGGCGTTGAGACGGCGGCTTAATGTAACGGTCGGGGAAGGTGGTGAGATTACTCTCGGCTAGGGACTGAACTCGGACGATTGGTTCTGGCCACTTTTCGCCGAGGCCGTTCTTGTTCTTGTCTTGGTCGCTCATGTTGTCTATCTTGACTTCTTGTTTTTGGTTGTTGAGGCCGTTCTTGTTCTCAAATTTGATCTCGATCTTGTCCGTCGTCTCGGCCTCGGTCGTGATTTTGTTATTGTTCTTGATCTCATCTTGGTGGTTCATGTTTTCTGTTTTGGCTTATTAAACTTGCTCTTGTTCTTTCTACTTGTTCATGAGAAGTTACGTTGTGAAGTGTTGTTATCTATATATAGAGTGTTTATATGGTTAGAGACTTAGAGACAATGAAAGAGAAAGCCATAAAGTGACGAAAATTTGGATTAACTAAATGATAAGTTACAAAAGATCTGGACTTTTGTTACCTTGTGGTTTGTGAATATATTAATTAGCCCTATTGTTTATCGTTCTTTGTAGAAAAATAACGAAAGAAACCGTAACCGACGAGAGAATCCGAAATTCGTAACCGATGAGAGGGAATCCGGAATCGAGTCCATACGATTGAGGCCATGTGGTTGTTAATTTATGAAACGTGTATATAATGTCATTTTTTTGCTAAAAACGTGTATAACATGTAATCAAATGTTTTACTACGTGGTATAAACGAATGAAAAATGGGAGGATCTCAACTAATAATACGTGGTTATTGTTTGTTTGGAGTTCTTCGTAAATATTTTACCTAAAGAATAGGCCGACTTCCCAATAATAGAAACATGGTTCATTGAATTTGGAAGGCACATCGCACATGCACATACTAACCAACTACATATTGTAACACAAACTAATCCCATTTTTAAAATCAGAACAATTAATAAAACAAATTTAGGGAGGTTAGGCAGAATAACTATGATTGTGTTAGAAAGGTTACCTACGATGAAAAATTAGGAAATTGATTATTAACCTAAAATTATGGATGGGCAGACGGTCAAAATAATATATTAGCTTAAATAAAAGACGAACTATATATCTCCTCAAGAAGTTGTCTAGTTAATCACCATGTTACTCAAAAAAATAGGGGAAGAGAATCATTAATCAATTCAAGCATGACTTCTTAAATCAAAATATGTGTTATATTGTAGTGTTATGCGATGGGCATTCGTACTACGCATTTTTGTCGGCTCACTACTCCAATTGATTGTTTGCAATTTTAAATATTCCATATTGTAGTGTCATTTTCTGAATTTTTTGTTTCTTTTTTTTTTTGTTATTACAGTATAACAAATATTCCGGTAAATAAATGTAGTTATTTACCGTATGAACAAAATCAAGATAAACATTCTTCAGAAATGATTATTGAAACTATCCTTAAAATACAAAACTAATCAAAACTGAAAATGTTTGGTTTTATCATCCAAATACAAAATATACATAAAACTTTAAGAAGCATGAATCTACGACAATGCAATGTATCTTAAATATATATAGCTTCAGTATCGAATCAGCTGGTCAGGAGTAGAAGATTTTCACAGCTTCTCTCTCTCTCTCTCTCTGCCTGCTTCATTTCAATCTGCTCTCACCTTGATTTATCCATAGAGATTGGGATCTGCTTCATAGTATACAACATCTCCTTCGTCACTCACAAAATGATCTTCTTTAATACTTTTTGCGAGAATTTCCAGCAAGTGTACTGGGAAAGGTCCAGACTTATCGGGCTCCCTGTAATACTTCCCTAATACTGGTTTAGCTGCTTCTGTCTGCAAAAGAGAAAAGAGCAAGCAAACACACAAAAAAAATCTAAGCTTTTGTAGTATGGACTCCAAAAAAACCAAAACTTAAACACTCTTTTAGTCTTTTGTTTCAATTACTTACTGCTTCTACTAGATGATAATGTGGAATCTGGGGGAAAAGATGATGTATCACATGAGTTCCAATGTCGTGATGGATGTTATTGATCAACCCGTAGTCACGATCCAATGTTGTAAGCCCACCTCTCAAGTAACTCCATTCCTGTTTTTGGGAGAATCATGAGATTTACACACCAGTGGCTTATAAACCTCAAAAGTGAGAACAATATAGCCAAAGAACAGTGAATGCAGAGACTATGCGTTTTTACCTTCCCACGGTACCAAGGGAGCTTATCTTCATGACCATGGTGATGCAGGTAAGTCACAAAGTCCAACCACATTACATTTATCTGTATTTGACATAAAACAATTTCCGAGTAAGGGAGAGAAGAATAATGATACGCAAATTGCTTAGTGGGGAGTAACAGCGGCGCATTACCCAGTAAGGAATTCCATAGAGTTTGAGCATTTGCATTGGACCCATAACAAAGTTGAGACAGATAAGCAGAGCAGCCATTGCAGTCCAACAAGCAGTAGAAGTGAGGACATCTTTTTTCTCTTTAGGGAGGAACAAGTCGCTGTCCGGATGGTAATGAGAACCCTTTTTCCCTGGACTTCGAGCCCACTGAATCATATGAAGAAAAAAACATGAGCTTTTTTTAGTTGATGTGTCAGTTTAAGTTATTACAGTAACAAACAGTCGTCGAGTTTTACCAAGTAGAAAGGGTAGGCGAGCATCACGAGAGGCAGTGTAAATCTAAAGAATCGAGTCGGTTTGTCCAAACTCTTGTAGATTTTCTCCGACATCTGCAATTACAGAAACAGTTAGAAACTGCATCTAAGAAACACAACACGACTGAAACAAGATTGGACCAAAAAGCCGTGTAAACTTACAGGATGCCAAGATTCATCGTTCTCAACATGTCCATGGTTCTGGTGATGAGTTCTGTGGCTAATCCTCCTGCAGACCAACCAAAGTCATATTATTTTACATGAACAAGACGAGGAAATTTTTTGAGAGAATGGTTTTGAATAGTAAACTAACCAGCCATGGTAAGGGACCAGGATTGAAGAATGAAGAAGATGACCCACAACACTGTTCAACCTCGGATCATTTGAGAAGCTACCATGTCCACTGAAATCAACCCAATTGACAATAATTACAAGGAGACAATTCCAAAATCATCTGCAAAACAATAACTAGTTGCCAATTGGGTTGGTCTACAACTACCAAGCAACATGATATGATTATGACAGTTTGATAACTCAGAACCCAATTCTGTCCAAGAGATAGGGTCATGAAGATGTAAAGCCAAGATTTTTGTTCAATTGGTTCCAAATTAAAGTGGGAACCATCCAAACTTGACCAAATCAGAGGCATCAATTTCGGTAGAAAACAACAAAAAAATGAGGGATTTGTTATAATTACCAGTCATGGCCAAGAACAAAGAGAGCCCAGAACATGGTTCCTTGAGCGAGCCAATAGAGAGGCCAAACAAGCCAATTGTTGAGGTAAGCAGCTCCAGCAGCCAATGCGAAGACGATGGCGACGTCTCTGACGACATAACTCATCGACTTCCATGGATTCTTAACCCAGCAATGCTTAGGTATAGCAGCTCTAATATCCGCTAAATTGAACGGAGGAGGCGCGCCTGGGTCGAATCTCTGCGTCTCGTGTTCCTCCTCGATTGGAGTCTCGACTGTTAGAGGCGTGCTCACATTCAAAGCCCAATTCCTCGTGAAGAACGCATCTCGTGAATTCAGACGAAAAGCGAGAGAAGACGATGTGGTGGAGGAAGAAGGTGATGGTCTGAAATTGAAGATGGGTTTGTTGATGTTAGAGAGGGGATTGGATCTGGGTGTGGTGTAGATTCTGGGGAGAGGTCTTATGCCACATTCTGATAAGACCAAGTTCGCCATTAGAGCTCTCTCCCCAGAAGAAGAGAAGGAAAAAAAAAGACTCTTTTTGGTTGTGTTAAATGAGAGGTAATAGAGAAAGAGAGAGTAACGAATAGATAATGTGTGAGAGATTATTATATCTTCCCCACTTGGTTGAGAGAAAGAGAGAGAAGGAAACTTGTGCTTCTACTTTGCCTGTCGTCTCGACAGTTTCTCTCTCTCTCTCTCTCTCTCTCTCTCTCTCTCTCTCTCTCTCTCTCTCTCTCTCTCTGTGGTTCACACGCTAAAGTTTTTTCCTTTATATATAGATCTATATATATATGTGTGAACATCTGAAACCAGAAAGGAGCAGGAAAATTGATGCTGATGTGAGCGATTTTGTTTTTCAGACGGTTAATTTTGACCCAATATTTCAATGTCTAATTTATTCAACACGCAAATAAATCAATATTAGAGTTTAAAAAAAAATCGATTTTTTGTTGTTGTTGATCTGTGTAAGTCTTTCAAAAAGAAACAAAAAGACACAAGAGAAAGAAAATCTATGAGGCATATGTTTCATGACACTCACTTTCATAATTTATTTAAGGTAGCACGAAAATAGAATCGTGGAATTGATGCACATTATTTTAGTGACTCTAAACATTGTTAGACGAAAAGAAAGAGGAGTTTGGGAAAGAAACCTATTTAAGAATTTGAGTCAACTACGTTTCAAGGTTTCATACTAGTCAATTTGTTGCTTTATTTTGATGGAGACAAACTAACGTCATACTAGTTAATAGTGGACTCACATAACCTAAGCTAAGTTACCAAATACCTTAAGGGTGCGCATAAAATTGAACCAAGTTGGAATTGGTTTTCATTTGCTAAAAGTGTCCGCAGACCAAAGTAGATGAAAATCAATTTATTTTGAAATCAATCCATCTAAAATATATGTAAATCAAATATGTATACACAATAATGTAAGAATGTTATGATCAATTCCATCACCAAATTGAAATTTAATCGGGTTGATTGTGGTTTTGAGTCTCAGAAATTACCGATTGCCATCCGTATCGTCAAGAATCTATCATCTTAACTCTTTAGAGCACTGTTTACGTGAAAAACCCCTTGTATATATAAAGAATAAATGCCATAATGAAGGGATTTCTTGGTCAAAGGTGTTACAGAGCACTTGTGCTGGTTCTTTTGGAACAGTGAGTGGTCTTAAAAAAATACTCGGATCCAATTATGGCAACCGGTTGGGTGATGATGAATTGAAACATTCTCATTGTGTGTTGATCTTGAGAATGTTTAGACAAACGCGTCTATTGTGTGTTGATCTTGAGAATGCTTAGACAAACTGTGTGAAAATAATTCAATGATTTATTGATACGACTTACAGAAACGACTTTAAATAGCCAAAGACATGAAGACTAATAAGTCTGCTACAACCAAATAAAGAGAAACTTGCGGGAAGTAAAACAAGTAAAAGAAATAGAATAACTAGGAGGACTATTATTAGTATTTGATTTCTACAAACCAAGAGCTTATTCAAACTGGAAAACAACTTAAAAGACTCATTCAAACCCAACAATGCCTCTCCTAAACTGAAAGCAATAACATTCAGTTCAATTCCGAGCCTTCTTCTCCCTCAGCTTGACAAAGACTTCCAGCCTCAAAACTTAATTTAGTCAAAATCTCTGCTACCTGATCGTTTGTTCGGCAATGTACCAACTCAACAAATCCATCTTTTTGTGACATCTCTCAGTCTAGAAACTTTAGTCTTTGGAGGACATATTGAATCAATGATTTGGAATGATTTTAAATTTTCTTCAAGACTCCTCCTCTTACTCAATTGATGATTCTCTTAAAATGTTTTCAAATCATATGTTATTGAATCATATCATTTGTAAAACAAACTTAGAAATCTAAAGTTACTGGATTAGTAATTAGTTATTCAAAAATAGAGTTTGGAAAATAGAGATTATTCAAAAAAAAAAAATCAAATGTTTTAAACCTCACCTTATTGGAAAATAGAGATTCCGTGAATAAATCAATTAAAACATCACTCAGTGGCCTCTAATCGAAAGAAAAAAAATCATTGAGAGGCCTCTGATCATTAAATCCTTTCAGTGAGTGGTTAAACTGAACATACATATGTTTGTGATACAAAAGTTGGATTGAAAATTGATCTTATGTCCAAGAACATATCAACAATGAAAGGAATTGTGGTGAGAATATTGCAGGGAAATGCTGTGAAGGTAAAGAAACGAAATTCTAATGAAGAAGAACAAGAAGGAACATCACCATTCACAACCACAAGATTAAATAAACTTTTTTCTAGTTTTTGTTCACAGCATCAATAAAAAAAAAAACACATAGCAACATCACAACCACATCTTATATATCATGTTTTGTTAGTTCACGGTATCAAACAAAAACAACAACTTATTTCTTCTGCATTCATTTCCATTCACCGTTGCCCAAATTACGCAGCAAAGTGCGCAGATAACTATGAAGAGGCGACTTTGACACCTGAAACAGTAAAATCAATGAAAAACGTGAAGATCCTCCCACGCGGACACAAAAGGTAAATTATAGATTTACTGTTTTGGATTTTTCAACTCCAAAAAAAAATCCCCATTATATTAGGTTGAACCCATGAAACTTTTAGGACAAGACACACCAACCAAGTTTTTGAGTTGGTTAACCGCGTAAAATTAACGCTAAGTTTATATGATTCCGATACCTAAAGACTATCATGAGTCTTAACGTCCGAAACTCTATAATCTATATCGTCTAGCTAGTTTTAACTTTGAGCCTCTGCAAAATAATTTAAATTTTTGCAAGTTTGGAGAGTACTGTGAGATATCGACCGGTTGTGTGCTCGGGACAACTTGATGGTCCAAGAAACAATGACACTGATGCTTACACTGAACTGACGATTATGTATAAGTTAAGTAAATGAATCTTCTACTAGAATGGACCAACTTTCTATATATTTTTATAGTATATAGTGGACATATAGATGAACTGACGATTATATATAAATTAAGTAAATGAATCTTAAAAGAAGGAAAATAAGTCTGAGAAAAGTGGGGAAACAATAATTATACAGGCATGCAGCTAGTCTGGATTAGTACAATAGCCAAACATACAACTCCCATAAAGTAAGGGGACATTTGAAAATAATAATGCAAAAGGTTAGTAATATTTTGGACAACCGACCAAAACTTTATAAGGTAATATATATGCGCATGCATATAACTATTTCACAAACTCATTTATCCTGACATCATTCCCCATACCAAATCTTGTTTGATATTTGGTTAGTTTTATCAGATATTTTTTTGTCAGATTAACTAAATAAATCAGTTGCCTTAACAAAAAAAAAAATAATAAATCAGTTGAGTTACAAGATTTTTACTTGTCTTTGTGATTACTCTTTATTTTACACCCCAGTTAATTTGATATTTTAATCTTTTGTTATTGTTTTAGAATCGTTGTTATTAGTAGTTTTGATTAATATCGGACTTATTTAGACGTAATTGGAAAATAACATTGGCACCAAATTGGCAATTTCCAACTATAACTTGTCTTGTCTTAGTATCTGCCTGGGATTATTACTTTACTAGCTAGCATCTATTTTTACAGATAAATTTCTATGATCAGTATTTATACTTCAGAATCTCAGATGGATACACGCACACAGCAAAATACTTAACTAGCTATTTATACAGATAAATTTCCATGATAAGTATTTATGATTCAGATGGATATGTAGATAGTACATTTACTAAAATAATAATTAAAACTATGATGAATGTGTCTGAAAAAAATGAAATATAAATATATTAATGAAAAAGTGTCAAAACGAGATATATCTTTAAAGGTAATAAAGAAATTGTTTGTTTTTTGGGGTCTTTTGTATCATACATATTTTCCTCATTTTTCAGAAGTAATAATTCAAACGAATAACAATTTTTACAATTTTCCATACATAATTGATTAATTGTTTTATACCAACATGCATGTTTGAATCCGAATAATGACGCAACTACGATAATGTGATTTTCCAATCGTATGGTAAAATCGTATTTTACATTTATTCATTTAATGATTCCACGAAATTAGTAACAAATACGCATGGAGTGATAAAATATATTTTTGTCTTATAAAGCATGTAAAACCATATTTTTTACGATCTTAATCAGTATAGAAAATTATGCTAACACATCCCACACGTGTGAGTAAAGCCTTATTTATTCCATGCGTACAGTTCTCTAGTAGTCACCTCCATTATCAGCATACGTATACTCATATAAGCCGCCTTCAAATGGCTTCCTCTTCGTCTCACCTAAACCACCACCAACTTCCGAACATCCACGATGGAGCCACGGCGGCGCCTCCGCCAACTCCGTCATTTACACATCCCAACACAACCGCTAAATCGGAGACAGCAGCAGATGCTCTCTTCCACCTCTTCCACCGTCTCCCTCCGAATCTTTCACTCCCCACCCGCCGCTCCTCCGTCGTCGCATCTCTGCCGACGGTATCTTTCCCCGCCGGAAGCTGTGACGATCTCATATCCGCCGCTACTGAGTTCGGCTATTTCAACCTCGCTAGTAATGATGACTCGGATACAATCATCCCTTCTGGACTCGCTGAAGCGGCCGAGTCTGACTCGCTCGCGCTCTTAGAGCTCAGTGAAGAGGAAAAGGAATCGTCGTTTCCAAAAAACTGGCCGCTTGGCTACGAAACCGAATCTGAAACGCCGTCGTTTTGCCTAGACGCCGATTGTTCGACCGAGTCGAGCGAATTAAAGCTGAGTTCGCTGCGCGAGTTCACTCGGAGTCTCGAGAAAGTTGGACTGAAAACGGTAGAGATGCTGGCGAGGGCACTCGGGTTGGAGAACCCGTTTGGAAACGACTCGACCCGGTTTAGTACCCTGATGTGGCTTAACCAAGGTGTTCCCGATGATAAACCGGCGATAACCAACGGGTTTTATCCGTTTGTTGTCTGTTTACAGTATCAGATAAGGGAACAGAAGTATTGGTTGCTGTCCGAGTCTGGTTGGGTGTCCGTATCACCCCGAGTTAACTCGGTTCTTGTGACGCTCGGTGACATTGCTCAGGTTAGTGATCTTCTTAGCTTTAATAATTATCGCATTTATCGTCTTTGTGACGGCGTTTTCTCGTTGCTTCGAATTATTTTCTTGGAAAATGTCATACATGTCCTTTTCGAGATAGATGCTTTTTTTTTTCCACGCATTGATTTAAAAAGAAACAAAAAGACAGCAGAAATTTGGATATTTCCGATGATTATTGTTGATAACAACAAAAATTGTAGAGCAGGAGCGGGCAAATTTTATATGGTAATCTGTTTCCATTTGAGACAGATTTTTAATGGTATTGGGAAAGAAAATTTTAATATGGAAATTTTAATTATAAACACATTCTTATATTGCATTAGTGATTGTCCTATAGAGTTAACACTTTCTTTTCTTATAAACACACAATTACGAAATTCCTTACTGTTAAAATGAAACAAAAAAAAGGAGTTATTACTTCTAGGTTAACTATAAAACTCAATGTATAATTTTATATGTCGATAGTTGGTGACTCAACCGGTTCAACCCATGAAACGTTTAGGAAAAGACATATTTTACCAAGTTTTGAGTTCGAACACCGCGTAAATTTTTTGTAATTTGTTGTGATTCCGATCCCATAAGACTATGAGTCCTAAGGTCCGAAGCTTTTTTATAATATATATCGTGTAGGTAGTTTTAACTTTAATCCTCTACAAAACGATTTCATATTTTTTTTTTTAGGTTTGGAGAAGTGGAAAGCTCAAAAGAGTGAGATATCGACCGGTTGTGTGCTCGGGACAACTTGATGGTGCAAGAAAGAGTGTAACAATGACATTGATGCTTACACTTCGCATGGACAGTATGGTTTCACCTTTGAAAGATATCAGTGACGTCGACAAAGAAGAAGAGTATGCAGAGAAGCATGATGAAGAGGGTAGGGTATTTCGGTCTTTTTGTTTTGAGGATTACGCATGGAGAGTGTACCATGAACGTCTCTTCTTCAAGGATCCACTTGACAGATACAAAATCAAGACTTAGACAGATTTTGACAACTTATGTTGAATTTGCTTGTTTCCTTGATTGCATTGGTATTTAAGGTCGAGTCTTTTTGTTAGTTTCAAATTTCAATAAATTCGTCTGAATTTTGTTTTTTAGATTTGCGTCGGATATTAACATTTTTGCATTGGGATGTTTTGGGTTATTTTTCCTTCAATTCAGTTCGGAGTATGTTCCGTTTTGATAGTTACTTCGATAATAAAAGATATTTAAACTACCGCTCTACAACGAATTTATTCATTATGTAAACCAGTTGAATTAATACAAACGGTGTACTACCACAATTCAAAATCCAACTCTTTTTGGTTAAAACCAATATTACTCGATCATATCCAAGTCAAGTCCATGATTTTATATAGAATAATCTCTCAATATACTGAGTCATCTGATCATGCGAGAAACAAGGCTTACTTTATGTTTATTAAACATGAGTCTTTTGGAACTATATCGGCTTGTTGTGATTCAAAAACAAGAAAAATCTCTCTAAAAACTGGTTGGCAGAGTGATAAGTTGCAATGCAATGAAGAACTTGGAGACCTGGTCAAGGTAATCTTGAAACTGAGACTTGTCATATGAAGTGTCTCATATGTCTGTAATTAATTAGTATGTTGTAACGAATAGTTTGTTCTGTTAATGACCTTGTCTTGAAGCTATACGTACATCAAAGCTAGAGCTACTCCAAAAGGTCATGTATATTCACAAAAAAAAATGTTTACAGATCCATACTTTTTTTAGAATTATGGTTGTTAGTAAAGTTGAAATTGATGATAGATTAATTACAAGAGTTGTCAACAAATTGGGAAAGACCCTCGTAATCCCAAATATAGCATCGATAATTATGTCTATTTGACTGCCAATTTTGGATTAAGAACCCTAGACATGAAGCTAGATACTTTGGCAGATACTTTTCTTTAGCTCAACAAAAACACAGAACCTTGATGATATTTGATCATTGGCATTATGTTTATGGTTTTACGAGAACAAATTGCTCAAGGTACATAACTTCTCTACGAATATATCTGGAATGGGTGTTCTAACAAACAAATATAGGATTAAGTGGACTATTTCGAAATCATAAAACCAAGGCTAAAGATTACATATTCTAATGTACATATATTTGTTTTTTTGTTCATAGTTGTGTAATATATTCGGCCATTGGTCATTTGCTCAAAATAACGCTTAAGATTCCCAAAGCTTTCGTGATAAAACCCGACCCATTATTGATTGGCTCGGACCAAACTCGACCCGACCCAATCCGACCCGTTAATTTGCGAAAAAACACATCGTACAGCTCAGGCACTTGTAGCACGTCGTCTCATTTGGTTCTCCCCTTATATTCGACGAGTGACTCCGATTGGATCGCTGTTCGTCATTTCTCACTACCAAAGAAAAGAAAAAAAAAAGAAAGTTATCTATCTCCTTCATCACCTTTCTCGTTCACTAGCCTCAGATCTGGCAGCGATTTCAAATCTTCTTCAGTTTCTATCGCATCGCTCCTCTCTCTCCTGGCCGTTGACGGCCCCGTCCCGGCCGTGGATCTGATTCTAGCCCCGGATTCTCTTGCTGCGATCTGAGGTCAAACATGGCGGCAGCAAACGCCCCCATCACGATGAAGGAGGTCCTGACGGTGAGTTCTTCATCTTCCTCCTCAATTTTTGAAAGATATGTAAATCTCATGGAATCGAGCTAAATTTTCGACGATTAAGATGTTTCTGTAGTTGCAGTCTCTGATTTCTAACGATTTGGTTCTGCTCAGACTGTTATATGATTGATTCCAGTCTCCTACTGTTTTGAATTCTGCTCGATCGTTGCGGTATCAGTCATTTTTTTCCGGATTAATAGTTTGTGTAATGCATGTCTCTGATCAGATTTCCCTACATACGCTCAGATCTGTGTAACCTGATTACACCAAGCCCGAATTTCAATTCTTATGTAGTCCAATGTGCTGATTTACTCGGATCTCGTAACTAAGTTAATGAAACTATGCGATTTTATTCTTTTTCCAGCTTCCGAGCATTGGGATCAATCAGCAATTCATCACGTTTACAAATGTTACTATGGAGTCTGACAAGTACATATGTGTACGAGAGACGGCGCCGCAGAACAGCGTTGTTATTATAGATATGAATATGCCGATGCAGCCTCTAAGGAGACCCATAACTGCAGATTCTGCCCTTATGAACCCAAACTCGAGGATCCTTGCCTTAAAAGGTATTCGACTGTTTCCTTCTATTACTAAATCGTGCTTGATTCTTATCAGTTATATTACCTAGAAATGTTTCCTTTCGAAGTTTTCTTAAACTATCATGGATAAATCCTATTTTTTGTGTTAACATATGATATCTACTACCGATAGGATGCTTTAATTATTTTTATTCTTCTCAACTTTAAGTAATATCCCTATATTGGATAATATATTATAAACCCTCGTGATTCATAAGTTTAAATAAGTGCGTCATTTCATAGAAAACCTATTATATTCAATCAGTGTGGAAACTACACTCATATGTTTCGGTCCTATGCTTTTGTTCTGGTGAGATAGTATGTTCAATGCAGACATCAGTGGAGTTCATGAGTTATATTTCTCGTGGTTGAGTTGTCTGTCAAGCCTAGTATAGTTCAATTAGGTTTGTAGTGGATATTTCCTTACATTGGCTATTACTTATTTCTTCCTTTTTTGCTCACTTTTTTCTTTAATTTGCATATAGCTCAAGTTCCAGGAACTACTCAGGATCACCTACAGATATTTAACATCGAAGCAAAAGCAAAGTTAAAATCACATCAGATGCCTGAGCAGGTGAGTATTGAAACAAAACCTTTGTAACTCGATTATCTTTCATGTTGTACGCTTTATTCAGACTCTGATTTTTCTGGCCTGAATTTAATTTTCGGATATCAACCACCCATGTTTTATAGGTTGCTTTTTGGAAATGGATTACACCAAAGATGTTGGGGCTGGTCACACAAACTTCGGTGTATCATTGGTCGATTGAAGGTTTTATATCTTTAGCTTACTGTCATCTTCTTCATATCATGATTTGTTGTTTCTCATTTTGCTCCGATATTTTCAGGTGATTCTGAGCCAGTTAAGATGTTTGATAGAACAGCCAATTTGGCAAACAATCAAATTATAAATTATAAGTGCTCTCCTAATGAGAAGTGGTTGGTATTGATTGGAATTGCTCCTGGATCTCCTGAGGTAGGTTTACTGCACCACATATTAGGTTGAATGAAGACATCATAACGGTAGTCATTGGACATATTCTTGACTGAATCCTTTCAATTTCACGTTCTGTAGAGACCACAATTGGTAAAAGGGAATATGCAGCTTTTCTCTGTGGACCAACAGCGGAGCCAGGCCCTTGAAGCACATGCTGCTTCATTTGCTCAGTTTAAGGTAAACTATCTGCTTCTTTTGTGATTTCGTTCCGTGGTCTGATCTTGAACTGTAGTATGACAAGCAACATTATTGAATGTAGGTCCCCGGGAATGAGAATCCTTCTATTCTTATATCCTTTGCAAGCAAGAGCTTTAATGCTGGGCAGATAACATCAAAATTGCATGTCATTGAGCTTGGTGCCCAACCAGGTTTGCATCCTCAACAGCTCTATATGCTCTTTGGTTATTTGGCGTCTTTGGTTACATTTTTAGTTGGTAATCATCTATTCATCTTATGTCTAAAGGTGGGCACATTTTTCCTTTTTTGGCAGGAAAACCATCATTTACAAAGAAGCAGGCAGATCTCTTTTTCCCCCCAGATTTTGCTGATGATTTTCCTGTAGCCATGCAGGTTCGTAGTTGCATTAGAAGTTCAATTAACTTCAGTCAGTTTCTGGGGAAAATTTCATGACACTTTTTTTTTATCCGACAGGTCTCTCACAAATTTAACTTGATATATGTCATCACCAAGCTTGGCCTGTTGTTCGTATACGATTTAGAGACGGCTTCTGCTATCTACAGAAATCGGATAAGTCCAGACCCAATTTTCTTGACTTCTGAAGCTTCCTCAGTTGGGGGTTTCTATGCCATTAATAGGCGAGGACAAGTTCTTTTGGCTACAGTAAATGAGGCTACGATAATACCTTTTATTAGTGGTCAAGTATGTTAACTTTTTATTCTTTCTGTTTTTTAAAATATAATCTATCCATTATGACTTGCTAAGAACTCAATGCTTTGATAATGCAGTTGAACAATTTGGAACTTGCTGTCAATCTTGCTAAAAGAGGAAACCTCCCTGGTGCAGAAAATCTGGTATGTGATGTTTACCTTGAATCAGATGTGTGGATCTGTAATCTTGCTGACGTAATTATAGTTGACGAATGCCAGCGTGACGGAAAGAGTCATTCGTTGATATGATATGAAGTTTCTCATATTCACTTCGGATTGCAGGTTGTCCAGCGGTTCCAGGAGTTATTTGCTCAAACAAAGTACAAGGAGGCTGCTGAGCTTGCTGCTGAATCCCCTCAGGGAATTCTAAGGACACCTGATACAGTGGCTAAATTCCAGGTATTTATTCCCTATTCAACCTAGTAATCCTCTGTGAACATGTTATCTACTACTAGATGTAGGTAACAGCAATCTAAAACTACATCATCACACAGACTATGCAATTTTGCAGAGTGTTCCTGTACAAGCAGGGCAAACTCCTCCATTGTTACAGTATTTTGGGACCCTTTTGACTAGAGGGAAGCTCAATGTATATGAGTCTCTGGAACTATCTCGGCTTGTTGTGAATCAAAACAAGAAAAACCTCTTGGAAAACTGGTTGGCAGAGGATAAGTTAGAATGCAGTGAAGAACTTGGAGACCTTGTAAAGGTAATCTTAAAGTTGACCATTGTCTTTTAAAATGTTTCATATGTCTCCTTTAGCATGTTGTAGTGACGATCTTTTCTGTTTCAGACTGTGGATAATGACCTTGCTCTGAAAATATACATCAAAGCTCGAGCTACTCCAAAAGTTGTAGCAGCTTTTGCAGAGCGAAGGGAGTTTGACAAAATACTGATTTACTCAAAGCAGGTAGACAATAAGTTTTTTAGTTTCTCCCTCCCTGTTATGATTATCCGAAGTTAATTGTCTTCAAGAAGTAACATTGTTTCAAATTGTGACTTTAGGTTGGCTACACACCTGACTACAT